TGCCAAACATATTTTATTTCTCGATATTTAAAGAGAAATATGTATTGATTATATATTTCATATATTCGATAGTACATAAGAGGCATCCTAAGGCTATGAAAAAAAAACGTAGCTATGGAAAATAAAATTTTAGATTTTTAATTTTTTGTACCTTCTAATAAAGTACTTCTATTCAATAAAAATTAACTAGTATGATTATGTGTTATCTGTGCTAGTATTAGGAAACTGGAGTAAATACGGAGAATATTAATTCGTTCTCTAAGATGAGCACTACTAAGTAATTTTTAAAATCTGACCCATAAGGGTGTAATTAGATAAAGAGATGTAATTATACAAAAAAAAAACTGTACCTACTAGGAGTATGAACTTTGCACAGATGTGGCGCATTTGAACATTGATAAGCGATTTTTGGAAATGTATAGCCTAAGGGTAGTGAACTGGGGTGTGAAATTTTGTACAAAAAAGTGTTGGATTTAGGAGTATGAAATTTTGTACAGAGTTCCTTAAGTGACGAAAGTGAGTAGTACCTAGAAGCTGGATTCTGACATTCATCCCTTTAGAAATAGGGGATGAAAATTTGAAAACAAAAGGTTAAAAATCGGTTTTGTAGAAGTATGAATTTGCAGGACGTTCGTTATGTAACGTAATTCTAGCATTAAGAAGTAATTTTTTGGAAATTCGCCCCTCTGAAGTTGTGTGAAATGAGGGTTGAACGTTCTGGAACAATAAATTCTGTTCAAGGAATATGAGAATTTGCACAGAGGTTCCTTATGTAGCGTAATTGAATAATTAGAGTGATTTTGGAATTCATTCCTTAAGGGGTAAACTAGGGGTGAAAATTTGTATAATTTTTTAATGTAAATCCGTTCTAGGACTAGGAGTATGAAATTCTGTTCAGAGGTCCCTTAAATGATGAGGTGAGTACCTAGAAGCGAATTTTAGGCATGCATCCCCTAAAAAATAAGTGGGATGAAAATTTGTACAAAAATTTGTTAAAATCGGTTATAGAAGTATGAATTTTGCAGACGTTCCCTTATGTAACGTAATTTAGCACTAGAAGCAATTTTTGGAAATTCGCCCTCTAAGGGTGTGTGGAAATGAGGGTTGAACGTTCTGGAACAATAAATTCTGTTCAAGGAATATGAGAATTTGCAATAGAGGTTCCTTATGTAGCGTAATTGAATAATTAGAGTGATATTTTGGAATTCCTTATGGGGGTAAAACTAGGGGTGAAAATTTTGTATAATTTTTATGTAAAATCCGTTCTAGGACTAGGAGTATGAAATTCTGTTCAGAGGTCCCCTTAAATGATGAAAGTGAGTACCTAGAAGCGAATTTAGGCATGCATCCCCTAAAAAATAGGGATGAAATTTGTACAAAAATTTGTTAAAATCGGTTTTTAGAAGTATGACTTTGGTGCAGACGTTCCCCATGTAACGTAATTTAGCAGTAAGCAATTTTTGGAAATTCGCCCTCTAGGGGTGTGAAATGAGGGTTGAACGTTCTGGAACAATAAATTCTGTTCAAGGAATATGAGAATTTGCACAGAGGTTTATTATGTAGCGTAATTGAATAATTAGAGCGATTTTTTGGAATTCATTCCTTAAGGGGATAAAACTAAGGGTAAACATTTGTATAATTTTATGTAAAATCCGTTCTAGGACTAGGAATATGCAATTTTGTAGAGAGGTCCCTTAAGTGATGAAAGTGAGTACCCAGAAGAAAATTTTGGACATGCACCCCCTAAAAAATAAGCACTCCCTATAAAACAATTAAAATAAAAAAAATTTGTCTAAAAAATAAAAAAAAAGTTGGGGTGGACCACTCTTATCACTTAGGGGTATAAAAAATAGATAACCTGGGAATAGGTTGTGACCAAACCAAACCAAACCAGACCTACTGAATATACATATAAAATTTTATCAAAATCGGTCTAGCCGTTTCGGAGATGGTAACAAAAAATTAAAAAAAAACAACCCCTATTAAAATATAGGGGATGATGGTGGAACGGTGAAAATTTAGGGTTATTTGTATTTATTAATGCCAACTAAAAAAATAAAAACATTTTTTCTTTTCAAAAAAATAAAAAATGAGGGTGGGCTACCCTTACCACATAAAGGGTATAAAAAAATAGATAACAACCTATTCTTAGACGTACTGAATATACATATAAAATTTCATCAAAATCAGCAAAACCGTTTCGGAAATGGTAAATAGAAACTTTAAAAAAAAAACAACCCCCATTAAAAATAGGGATGATGGTAGAACGGTGAAAAATTTAGAGTTGTTTGTATTTTTTTAAGGCCAAATAAAAAAATATTTTTTTCAAAAATAAAAAAAATGAGGGTAGGCTACCCTCTCGGCTGCCATATCACTATGGGTATAAGAATAGATAAATAACCTATTCTTAGACGTACTGAACTACATACATACATATAAAATTTTATCAAAATCGAATTAATCGGAGATGGTAACAAAAAATCTTTAAAAAACAACCCCTATTAAAAAATAGGGATGATGGTAGAACGGTGAAAATTTAGGGTTGTTTGTATTTTTTATTGCCAAATAAAAAATTAAAATAAAATAATTTTTTCAAAAATAAAAAAATGGGGTGGGCTACCCTTACCACTTATGGGTATAAAAAATAGATAACAAACTATTTTCAGACCTACACAATATACATAATAAAAAATGTCATCAAAATCGGCCAAGCCGTTTGATGATGATATCAAAAAAACAACCCCTATTAGAAAATAGGGGATGATGGTAGAACGGTGAAAATTTAGAGTTGTTTGTATTTTTAAGGCCAAATAAAAAAATAATTTTTTCCAAAAAATAAAAAAATGAGGGTGGGCTACCCCTTATCACTTAAAGGGTATAAAAAAATATATAACAAACTATTTGCAGACCCACTCAATATATGGTTATAAAATTTCATCAAAATCGGCCAAGCCGTTTCTGAGATTGTATCAAAAAAACAACCCCTATTAGAAAAATAGGGGATGATGGTAAACGGTGAAAATTTAGAGTTGTTTGTATTTTTTGAGGCCAAATAAAAAATATTTTTTTCCAAAAATAAAAAAATGAGGGGTGGGCTACCTTACCACTTAAGGGTATAAAAAATAGACAACAAAACCATTTTCAGACCTACCCAATATACATAATAAAATGTCATCAAAATCGGCCAAGCTTCGTTTCGGAGATGGTATCAAAACAACAACCCTATTAGAAAATAGGGATGATGGGTAGAACGGTGAAAATTTAGAGTTGTTTGTATTTTTTAAAGGGCAAATAAAAAAATTATTATTTTTCCAAAAATAAAAAATGAGGGTGGGCTACCCTCTCGGCTACCCCATATCACTTAAGGGTATAAGAATAGATAAATAAACCTATTCTTAGACGTACTGAATATACAAATAAAATTTTATCAAAATCGGTTAAGCCGTTTCGGAGATGGTAACAAAAATCTTAAAAAAACAACCCCTGTTAAAAAATAGGGATGATGGTAGAACGGTGAAAATTTAGGGTTGTTTGTATTTTTAATGACAAATAAAAAATAAAATATTTTTTTTCAAAAAATAAAAAAATAGGGGGTGGGCTACCCCTTATCACTTAAGGGTATAAAACAGATAAATAACAACGTATTCTCAGACCCAATTGACTGAATATACATATAAAAATTTCATCAAAATCGATCAAGCTGTTTCGGGAGATGGTAACAAAAATTAAAAAACATCCCCCTATTAAAAAATAGGGATGATGGTCAGAACGGTGAAAACTTAGGGTTGTTTGTATTTTTAATGCCAAATAAAAAAAAATAAAATATTTTTTTTTAAATAAAAAAAAGGTGGGGCTACCCTTATCATAAGCATATAAAAAATATATAACAACCTGTTTTCAGACCTACTCAATATACTTATAAAATTTCATCAAAATCGGCTAAAAGCCGCTCTGGAGATGGCAACAAAAAAAATAAAAAACAACCCCTATTAAAAATAGGGGATGATAGCAGAACGGGTGAAAATTTAGGGTTGTTTGTAATTCTTAATGCCAAATAAAATAAAAAAAAAGCATTTTTTCTTTTCAAAAACTAAAAAAAATGAGGGTGGGTTACCCTCCCTCGGCTACCCTTATCAGTTAAGGGTATAAAAATAGATAACAACTTATTCTTAGACGTACCTGAATATACATATAAAATTTTATCAAAATCGGTTGCTTGCCTTTGGAGATGGTAACAAAAATTAAAAAACAACCCCTATTAAAAATAGGGGATGAAACCCCCATTAAAAAATAGGGATGAAAGTAGAACAGTGAAAATTTAGTGTTGTTTGTATTTTTAATGCCAAATAAAAAAAATTAAAATATTGTTTTTCACAAAAATAAAAAATGGGGGTGGACTACCCTTATCATTTAAGGGTAAAAAATATATAACTACCTATTCTCAGACCTACTGAATATACATATAAAATTTCATCAAAATCGGTTAAGCCGTTTCGAGGAATACGGTAAACCCAAAACTGTAACACAGGGAATTATATAAGATAAATATTATATGTAAACTGCGGAGTGCGGAGAACGGAAAGACTGATTATAGCAATAGATAAAATTTAAAACTATAATTTTAAAACTATTCAAGAAAGTACACACAAAACAAGGCAACGCCGCGCGTCTATTCGTTCAATTCCGAGCAAAATAGCGAGGCTCCACGAAGTTGGGGCCTCGCTCGCCAAAGCGAGGCCCCATCGACAGGTCAGATTTTGATGCCAGACGAGACTTCTAGGGTATTAAGATATTCTTTGTTATAGCCCAGGCATTACTTTCCGCCGACATGAATGACGTCACAATATCTATTAACGGCATTTTAGTAGGCTACCGTTTAACGGCTGTTTAAGTACATCGAAAATAAATCTTATTTTTACGTGACGATTTTTTCCACGAGAGATAGCACATGTTAAACACCCTGTATACGACTAATTCAACTAATGTTATGACTTTGACTTGGTATTTCTGTCAAAACACTCAAATCTGACATCACTCAAATTTCAGCAAAATTTATCTAAAATCTCACCACTCATTTATATCAAGTTTACAATGTTTCCTCCAATATATCTTCCACCCACCGATCAAATAACGCTCTTTGGTGAACAAGTCAGTTTAACCGACTTGAGTGAAACACAGGTACGAGTATATAACAGAGATATTCGAAGCTGAAAGGAATGTTTTTGTGATTTTCATATGGGTAGTTTAAAATTTCCAGCCATGAGAAGGCGAACTTTAAAGAAACCTTGCTATCGATGCTCGATGATAAAAATAGGATTATCGAAGCTTTGAAGAAGCAGGTGGAGAATCAGAAAATGCAGCTGACTTACTACATCAAGAAGGACATGAATCCGAAAATGATTCAAAAGCTGTCTGAATCAGTAAGTGAAAAGATGTGTATTTATCTCATTAAAAATATAAAACGTAAAAAATGCCAAGATGTAATACTTTACACTTTGTTTTACATATTTTGTTTATATAGTGTTTATAGATTTTTTTTACATTCTATGTTTTTGATGGGATCTTGTTTCTTTGTAGATCAACATCTTTTTTCTAGGGTAATATATCTTTCACATTAATATCAATGTAAAATAAGTAATCAAAATAGAAATTATAAAACTAAAATCGTGAAGATATACCGTATGATCGAAAAAAAAAAGGCGTCCAGTTGGCTTGAAAATGATGATTGATGACATTTCCCATATAATTTTACATATAAAATGACAGCGATCTTCATTTCATAGCCATCTTTGACGCCGTTTTTATTTGATGATACGGTATTACAATCAGAAGCAATCCATACAGCAGTTGACGTAAGATATTCGTTTTTAATATGAAGATAAGTCAAAGCAGTCAAAATTTAAAGAAGAACAGAAAATCAGTAAAAAATAGTTGAAACCAAACCACACAAAATTCATTCGTGTGTGTCAATTATCGATAACGGCCAGACGTTTGAATTTTAATAATCAATATTTTTCATTTGATGAATTAAAAAATGCGGATTTTTCATTTTTTTTCTGTTCTTATAGGCTAAACTTTAACCAAAAAAACATGTATAAAATTCATCACGGAACTCCAATAAGCTGATGACTGCGCTTTAGTGGCAAAAACGTTACACAATTACAAGAGATGCCGAATACATCTACATGGGCATACGAGGCTTTGGGCCTTAAGATGAACATCGATAAAACTAAAATAATGTGCACTCCCCCGGAAAATCATAACGATGCTATAAAAATCGGAGAAGCACTATTGGAATATGTAGCGGAATTCAATTATCTCGGCAGTTTGATTTCGGAAAAGGCCAATATTGACTCTGAAATTCAGCACAGAATTAGCGGCGCCTCAAGAGCATTCTGGAAATTAGAATACAGGGTTTTCTACAATCTTCACTTGAGCACAATACAGAGCAATAATAATCCACCATGTTATATGGAAGCGAATCCTGGGTGCCGTACCGCCGGCAGATCAACGCATTAAATAAGTTGCAACAGGGACAACTAAGACAACTGTTAAGAATTAAATTGTACCAACATGTTTCAAACGTACCGGTCCTTGAAAAATCTAGCTGCGAAAGCTCTGAAGTTTATTTTAAATATTTCCTAAAATTTTAGTCACACTTTACTTTACACTTCTTCTGAAAATTTACAAGTTTTCTGTCAGTTTTTAACTTAATGGCTGACCACACTGCTAATGGATCCATCGTTTCTACTTACAAAAAGATCCAGAAACGGCAGATATAATTTGTTCACTTTTACAATTTTTTTGTCTTTTTTTGTCAAAACTAACAAATTTGTCTGAATGAACGGGAATCTGTTGGAATTTGTCGGAATGAGGATTTAATCGTTTGAAGCTCACTAATTTCTCCCCACAACACTCAAGAATTGTATATTTACAGACTTGGAAGAGAGAAGCGTCTGCCCAGCAGTTAAAAGACCATACCATAACTTGGTATACTGATGCTTCCAAAACCAATGCGGGAACAGGGATCGGAGTATTTATTTGGAGAACCAATGGGCACCTACCCTAGCATCCTACAGGCAGAAATCTACGCTATCGAAAGATGCGTACAACTTATCTTAGATAGGAACTATCGGAAACAAGAAACAGCCATCTTATCTAATAGTCAAGCAGCGTTAAAAGCGATCAACTCAGTATCAATCAATACGAATTGGTCAAAGAATGCATAGAGAAGCTGAATAAATTAGGCAAAGAAAAGTCCTCCTACTAGCTAGAAAAGGAGCGAACACTCCACTAACTGGACCAGAACCGTTCTGTTTTCCAAGTGGTAACCAACTCAAGGCGGAACTCAAGAACTTGGAAGACTCCATCCGCAACCTGGAATGGGAATCTTGCAACGGACACTGTCTCCTCAATGAACACCTCAGTAGATTGAAACTAAGAAGAAACGGCGAATGCAGATTCTGTGGGGAAACACCAGTAAAAAATGGACGGCAACCATTCGTGCCATGAATTTTGGTACGACTGATATTGGAGATGGAGAACTACCCTCTATAAAACCGTCCCAGCTACTGGCTTTTGTCAAAGCCCTGGGACTGTATGATGAGTTATAACTCAAGAAAGGGGGACACAATATATCTGTAAGGTCGCAGTGATTAACCCCCCTCCCATTCATTCTAAATTCTAAAAAAAATATTTACAGAAAAAGTGCAAAATTACAGTAAAATCTTGAATTTACAGGAAAGTGTAAATTTACAAAAAATTTTAAAAATTTACAGAGAAATATCCAATTTGTATAGAAATGTAAATTTACAGAAAAAGTGTAAATTTACAGAAAAGTGTAAATTTAGAGATATAGTGTAAATTTGCAGAAGAAGTGTAGATTTTGCTGAACATATATTTTTTTACTTTGGCATGGTCAGCTCTACGCTTTAATAAAATACAGTGTCATATATGTACCATTTTTTATTTTTGCCTTTCCTGTCCTTCCTACTGATTAAAAGTCTCCCGTTTTTCGATCAATTCCAGTGCAGCCCCCAGGTCTCGGACGAGAGCCTGCCCCTCAATTTGGCTATAAACAAATTTTGCCGACAGAACGGGCTGCAGACGAGGCTATCATGCATGTACGAACGCATGAACCGGCTCGATACGAACTTGTTACGCTGCCTTAGAGACCAGGAGTACGTGCTCGAGCAAATTGTCAAGGAATTATGCAACGATACCAAAAGAAAGGCTAGTATAATGCTTTAGAAACCACGTTTTGTGAATGGGGTTTAGGGATAAAAAGAGTAAATATACTGGTGGTTTAAAGTAAAGATATGCTATAATTCAAGAGGAAACTCATAGGCAATATAGGCATATACCGTACGATCGAAAAAAAATGGCGTCAAAAACGGCTGGGGAATGACGTTCGATGATATTTTTGGTGAGGTCATGAGACGTCATTAACTTGGCCCGTACTCTTCTTTGTTTTTTAATGGCGCTTACTGGTCTTCAGAAGGTAATAATTTGTTAATAATAAACGTGATTTTTAAATGGTGTAGTTTTTTTTGGAAATAGATTTGTGGTATCTGGAAACGTTCTATCCTTTTTTAATCTTTTTTATAATTAGTGTTAATTTTTGACAAGTTTTATGTCAATTGTTTAGTAAATGACGTCTAGAGATTGACCTCGCCAAAATTATCGTATTTGACGCCGCTTTTTATCGATCATATGGTATATAATTATTTATTTTTTTTTTAAATTTAGTTCACTGGAGTTCCCAAAGTTGAACTGAAATTCCAGTTTGGATCACCTTACGTAACAAACCCTAACGTAGTAGATTTGTTTATAAAATTACTCAACGCAACCCTGCATTTGAAGAGGAAATTGATCGGTTTTAAGATTTGCTGCGATCGTGTGTTGATTGTTGAAGAGGAAAGAAATGGCATAGGTATATTATTAAGTAAAAATTTCATAATCATCCGAGTGCATCTTTTCTCGATACTTTGTTTTTAGATTCATTTTAATAGCTTTATTTTTATTGGAAATATTCGATTTTTAAATTACTACTAGCAGAGATGGTTAGTCCAGATAGTATGCCATGTTCTGTTATGATACAACTTCTGGGATTCAATCCATTTCTGCTAGAGTAACTGCCAACAAGCAATAATATGACTGTTCAATGACACTAACAATACAAAAACAATTCATGCGCTAGGGAAACACTTGATTTTCTCTCTTTATTCAGTACGTCTTAATGTAGTGAGCATATTGACTATACTCTTACGTACAAATCAGCACCTAACAAACTCACTCAAAAATAAAAGGCAGACATGGTCTGTACTACGAGAATTTTTGCATTTTACCATATAAATTCGGTTTAAACCTCTCCTCCTCAATCACCACCAAAAACCCTTTTGCCCTATTCCAGTCGAACAAGTTTATGCGATGCCGACTGAGCAGCGCTGCGATTGCAATTATTTGCTCGGCTTGCAAATGGAAAAGGCGGAAATGGAAAACGAAATCAGGAGGCTTTCGGCGGAAAATGTCGAGAAACAGGACCGCGTAGTGGAGCTGAACGTGGTGGAAAAATTGTTGCATAATCTGAGGTGGGAGTTGGACAGTTCCTTTTTGAAAGATGAAGGTAACAACAAGTCAAATGAAGGATATATAGAGTTTTTTTAAAACGGTGTAAAAGTTGTTACTTAACTTCAGTGAGCGATTCTACAGATGTAGATGACGACTTTATAGATCTATTGCGTAAGTTATAACTCATACAGTCTCTGAGATGGTTTTTAGCTATCTGTGGAGACGGTTAATTATCCATCTCCGATATCAATCGTCTCGGCACACTTAGTGATTAGGTGTACTGGTGTTTTCCCATTTTCCCCGCAGAATCTACATTCGCCGTTGTTTCTTAGCTTCAATCTACTGAGGTGTTCATTGAGGAGACAGTGTCCTGTTAAAAACCCCGTGACAATCCGAAGATTGTTCTTACTTAAATCAAGCAAAATCTTTGATTTTTCTCGATCGTAAGTTCTGAGAAATTTCTTCGAATGTTTTAGATCATTGGAGAACTCCCATCCCAGGTTACGGATGGATTCTTCCAGGTTTGTGAGTTCCGCTTTAATTTGTTTTCCATTTGGAAAGCAGAACAGTTCTGGTCCAGTTAGAGGAGCATTCGCTCTTTTTCTAATTGATGGGTTAGATCATCCTAATGGGAATCATCCTACTATAGGTGGGCTGACACCTATAGTAGGATGATTATATTTTTTTGTCTAATTTGTTCAGTCTCTTTAGAGATTCTTTGATTTGTTTGACTAAGTTCGAACTGATGGCTACTGAGCTGATCGCTTTTAAGTATGCTTGAAAGTAGGGTTTGGAAGTATCAGTATACCATGTTATGATATAGTCTTTTACCTGCTGAGTAAACGTTTCTCTCTTTCAGTTCTTTTTATTGTTCAATAATACAGTGAGGTGTTTCTCATTTGTACATTTTTGGTATGTCATCCATTCGGAGTTGGAGGAGTGGAATTTTCCTTTTGATTGTGTTTCAAGCTCCTGAGCTGTGACAATTCTCCCAGTACCGTCAATGACCATTCTAATCATTGTTGCATTGGCATATCTACCGACGACAATGTACAGTGGTGTTAGGTTTAGAATGACCTACATTGCTGGTGATGGGCAGGTTGTCATGGCTCCTGTGATGTGGAATATTTTGTTTTATTTTTATCTGTAGAATCACCCACTGAAGTTTGGTACACTAAAAGCTTTTGGGATCTAAATTAGACCCAAACACGGTTAAAAAAACATGTTTTTTTATTTGTAAATAAAACATATATTTTTATAGTTTAAAACAATTTTTATTTTTTCAAACATGATGCTATAATGCGAATTTACGGATATATTTTTGAAGATAGTTGTATCAGTGAAATGTTGAAAAAGGTCAATTCAGAGGCAAGAGTCTTGTTGGCGATGACCCAGGAACAGAAACACAAATTTAAAGGCGAAGCTTACTGTGACAGGACTCTTTTTTATATCAGAACTGCTCTAAACAATGGTGACGTTTCGGAGGAAGAATTGCGCAATATGGGTATTAAAGACCAAGAAGGACTTAGGTACAAAGAAAAATTTAATAATTTGATAGAAAACATGAATTTTTCTTATATTTAATAGAGCTCAGCAACATAATTAAACCTAGAGAGTTTATAAAAAATATCAAAAAATTCTGTTTGACTGCTTTCAGTTTTTTTGACCTTCTGTTGTTCTATTAAAAAATGCAAAAAATAATAAATAACAAAACCAGGTTGTACGAGACCATCAAAAAGGAAATCGATTCGATTAGAAAGTCATTACGAAAAGAAACAGAAAAGGAAATTACAAAGGCAGCGGACGAAAACAAGATGTTACGGGACAAAAACGCAAAGTTAGTGGTAGAAAATGAGAAAATGACGATCGAGAATAAACGACTAAAGGAAGAAGTAGAGCAGGCAAGCATTTTTTTATTAAGACACCTTTGATTTTTTCAATAATATGAGGCCGACCTGTGCCGGAAACTCTTTGACCTGTAAGGTCTATTGTGTTTGTCCTGTTTCTATGTTCACTCTCCTATCCGTCTGCCCTGCACTAGCTTGAGCAGGTCCTTGACAGGGTGAGAGCATTGTTTCTCCGGTTCTAGTCTTGTTTTCCCAAAAAGAAAGTGTCGCTTGCGATCTAGAGCCTCACAGTGACATATGTGCTCTGCTCTTATAAGATCTCTATCGCAGAATCTACAGCAAAGAGTTCCTTGATACAGGTTGAGCTTGTTCAGGAAGCACTTGACATATGTCCTGTCAAGAGACCTATTTCTTAATTTTCTTAATCATTTCGACAGTAATTTATTTATAAATTTGACAATTTAGGATATTCTAGGAATTACTTTTTTTTTTAAATTTTTACTTTCATTATTATCAGTCGGTAGGTTATTCTGATGAGCATTTTACATTTATTTGAGACAATTTTTTTGTCTCTTTATCTAAATTTTCACAGAATTCGGAATGTTTAAAATTCTATATTTTCATCTGAGATGTTGCAATGCTCTCCTGTATAATATATTGATCGCTTGTAGATGAAGTTGGAACAGAAAAACGGTTATAGACGTTTGAAGCACGAAAGAGACGCTTACAAGTCCCAAGTGGACGATTTGCAAGCGATCAGGGAAGCTTACGCCCAGCTGGTCGATAAACAACCGAGTACCTTGCAGATCGAGAGGGAATTTACCAGGCAAATCGATGATCGAGACAAAATAATATCAGGTAAAAACGGAAGTAATTCCCCTGCCCAAACGTCACTTCACATTTCTTCAAAAGGGCAAAATTGTTTTTTCTAAATATCAGTTGAAACTGTTATTTAGTTTAAAGATAATAAAAATAATTCATTTTTTAGTTCAACATATTTGACATTTCTTCAAAACTGTTATTTTTAATTAACAGTTGGAACTGTTATATAGGAATAATTTAAATATATCAAAAATAATTCCAAACCAAACCAAACATATTTAACATTTCTTCAAAACTGTTACTTCTAAATAACAGAAATACTTCGCCTATTCCAAAATCGTTATTCTAAATAACTGTAAGAACTGTTACTGCTATTTAAAAATAACAGCTTGAAATAATAAGATTGAGAATTTGATTGAATAACTGACTGAAATAATTTGATTGAAATAATATGAGGTAAGTAAGGTAAATAGAAGTAGTTCATTCCTCTGTTCCAGCATTATGTGTGGTCAACACTGTTATTTTTTAAATAACAGTTGGAACAATTTTTACAGATTATTTAGTGTCGTTTCTGCTTGGTTTTGAGTAATGACTTCTATTCTCGTACACATGCCATGTGCCAGAACACCAGTGTCGATGTTTTTTTTTAATTATACAGGGTGAGTCTTAAATAAGTGCAAATGTTTTGAGGGGTAGTATATTTCGACCCCAGAAACACGATTATGATTTTTTTTTGCGAAAATTTTTTTTCGAAAATTTGGAATTTTTCCAGAAAAAGAAAGAAAAAATAAAATCCAGAAAAGATCCAGTGGTTCTCAAAATTTTAGCAAAAAATATTTTTTTGGAAATTTTAAAGTAAAATAACTCGGTTATTTTGGACTTATTTAAAAAACGGTAAAGAGGAAATATGTCTCTTTTATCGAGATCTACCAGCCCTGAAAATATTTGCACTTATTTAAGACTCACCCTGTATATATATTTTTTAGTCTTTTTTTAAATTTTACTATTTTTTTATTAAAATCTTTTTTTCTTAATATGAATATTGCTAGACTGCCATTCTCTTTTATTATGATTTATTTTCATACATTTACACTATCTTTATTCCAAAAACTGAAAATCAGTTCTAAAACTGATAATATAAATGAAATATAATGAAATAGCATCTTCTAAAAGATACTATTTTTTCCGATATTTTTACTGGTGTCGCATGTCGATTAGATTTTTATGACTTTCAAATTTTGTTTCAAAAAGGACATACCGAACGCGCTTAGTGTTTTAGGAAATTCGTTTCGAAAATCGCTTTTTGGAGAAAGGGTTTTTAATCATTTCATCATTCGAATTCGCAAACTGCCAATGCCATTATACAGTGGACGTTCAACATAGCAATTGTTTTATGGATTTTTAGTGGTTATTGTTACGAGTGTTGGCATTTTGTAATTAAAAAAATGCAACAACAATTTTTGTAGCTCGTTTTTGGAGTACTCTTGAAACTTAAATATTTTTTATAATTTTACGAGCCGGGCCTGATGATTACGATCCAATACAAATACCGGCTGTTCTAAATTTGTCTTTCACCATGGAGTCTCAGAAACGGTAATAAATACAGAGTGGCTCAAATGCGATAAAGTTGCGTGTCAATGAAATCAGTGATAATCCGTTAAACAGTTTATTTTAACAGTGCGTTTCCTAAAAGCGTATAAAATCCCAAATGTCAATGCCACACATAATAGCTTACTTGGGATTTTTCTTATTACCGATTCTGAACCGTCCTAGAATTATGATACGCATACTCAGAAGGAAATATGAAGAAATTATTTCAATTCGTATGTGCTGCAGAGTTCTAGGACAGTTCAAAATCGGTAATAACAAGAACCCGAACAAAGCTAATCAAAGTGATCCGTAGATCCATCTTGGTTCAGACCAAGGCGACAAAAAGTGAACACGATTTTGAGACAAAAACAAGACAAACTTGCGACAAAAAATGGGGAATTCCGACAAGACAAACTTGAGACAAATTGTCGTGTTAGTTGTTGTGAATGAGTTTTATTAACCATGTGTGATTTCACTGGTCTCTTATACTGTTGACAGCACACGTCATCTACACTGCGCCGACAACTTATCGTAAAATATACGAACAAAACATAGACACTTTGATCTTTACCGACTCGAGACGGGACATTGAAAAGTCTCCGAATTTTGAAACAAAACAAAAATGAGACAAAAATGTCGCAGACATGTATTGGATTTGTCGCAATTTTGTCGTAAAACATGAATGTTTCTGTCTTGTCGTTGTTTTGTCTGCTTGGTCTGGACCCGGCATTATACCCTATCGGCAACATAGAGTCTCGGGTCTGTATTTACATGTCTAAGTCGGACAGAGAACATTGCGAAGTGTTTAGTGTTTATTGCATATCCACTTAATCAGGCGCTTTATTTTTCATTACATACGATTTTTCATGCGACTGAACACATGACTATACTCTTCGTACACACGAAAATCGGCACTCAAAGGCAAACGTTACCGGCTATGTATAAAATTCCACCTCCATATTTAAATAAATAAACTTGATTATAGTCGCAAAAAACAAACGTCTTAAATGATTTTTGACGTTACCAAAAGATGAAACTAAAAATGGTTCTTTAAAAATAATGTATTTGTAGATTTTTCTAAATTTTAAAATAAACATCAAAAATACAAGGTGTCCCAGAAATAAGTGCAAGTATTTTACTGGTAGTATAGTTCAACCCCAGAAACACGCCTATGGTTTTTTTTCGCAAAAAAGATTTGAAAATTCCGAGTTTTTTGAAAAAAAATTTGGTTTTTTTTTAGTTTTTAGTTAAAAAATATAATTTATTGATAATACGGCAACATAGGTAGTAGATTAAATTTACAAGAAAGAAAATCCCGAAAAGATCCAGTGGTTCTCAAAATTTGAGCAAAACAGACATTTTTTTTTGGAAATTTTCAAAGTAAAATAACTTTGTTATTTTGGACTTATTTCAAAAACGATAAAGAGAAAATATGTTTCTTTTATCGAGATCTATCACCCCCTAAAATACTTGCACTTATTTCTGTATAAAAACATTTTTTTTTAAAAACGTTATTTTTCAAAAGTGAGTTCATTCAATTCTTAAAGGGATTATCACTGGACTGGCCAATTTTCGTCAAATTGAGACACCCTGTATAACTAACACTCCCTAACTATATAAAAGGTTAGTTTCCGACGCCTCCGATTCCCATTACCGTGCCAAATCATAATTAATTTCCTTTCGGTTCAAACTCTTCGTTCTCTCATGAATTACGCATTCGCCAACTTTCTTAAACGGCCAAAACTATTTATGGCTTCGAACTCGTAACTAGTTCCGAACTAGGACTCGAAACTACATTAAACGATCCAAACTATTACCTTTCTAGCCTAGCTATATAGCTTCAGCTATTACCTATAGCCGTTAGGTCGTGATTGTGTTATATTGTAATTTTCAATCATCACGTGATGAGAGGCAGTAAAGAAAACGCTAGAGAAAATTTTCACATTGGCTTAGGACAGAAATAAGTAAATATAGAGGCTTTCTAACATACGTATAGCCGCCCATACTAAAATATGTTAATAAAAAGTTGGTAGGCAGTTCTTTTAGTTTCAAAGTAAAGGAATTTTTCCAATTTTTTTTATCTCAAAAACTGCGGCTTTGACTGATTTTGATGTTATTACAAATTTTGTTGCAAATATTATTCGTAATCTTAAATTGAAAACCGCGTTTCGCTAGCTACTGTAATTTTGGAGTTACGATTTTTTAAAATTTTTAACCCCCTCCCATACCTCCTTACCAACCCCCCACCCGCACCAAAACTAATGGCCAGATTCTCGGGTGCCACAGTATTTTTGTGCCAAATTTGGTTAAAATCGGTTTAGCGGTTTTTGAGTTATCCTGTTACCTGTGACCATACCTGTTGGTATGGTCGGCTAAAAAGTCGTCCATTATTCCCAAAGAGACCTGGTTTATACATACAAAAGATGCAAAAAGCAGACTTTGAGTCTTTTTGCTTCTTTTGTATTTCTAACATACAGTTTTTTTAAATAATGTCTATACCTATTATAGATTGTAGATTCTAGGGGGAACTTAATCACCGTAACCTAATAGATCTATTGTCTCTTCCTTACTTGACTTATAGCTCATCATACAGTCTTAGGGATTTGACAAAAGCCAGTATCTGCGACGGTTTTACAAAGGTTCTCCTCCTCCGATAGTCAGTACGCACTCACGTCTCGGCGCACTCAGCGATGAGGTGTTCTGGTGTTCCCCTATTTCCCCCACAGAATCTGCATTTGCGGTTGTTTCTAAGCTTAAATCTACTGAAGTGTTCATTTCAGTGTCCTGTTAAAAATATCGTGACAATCCGAAGATTGTTCGTACTTAAATTAAAGTAAATCTTTGATTTTCCTCGGTCCCAAATGGAAGTCCTGAGAAATTTCTTCGAGTGTCTTAGACCATTGGAAGATTCCCATTCCATGTTACAGATTGAGTATTCCAGGTTCTTGAGTTCTGCTTTTTAGTTGGTTTCCACTTGGGAAGCAGAACGGTTCTGGTCCAGTTAGTGGGATTGATCCCTCGTTTTCAAGCTAGTTGCTATTTCATTACGTCTTGGTTGGCTGACCCCCAAGCTAGTAGGACTTTATATTTTCTTTGCCTAATTTGTTCAGCTTTTATAATCATTCTTTTACCAACTTCGAATTGATACTGACATTGACTCGTTACTGACCGGTCTTAAAATTTCAAATAGTTCCTATCTAAGATAAGTACGCATATTGTGATTTCGACCTGGAGGATGCTTGGGTAGGTGCCCATTGGTTCGGAATATTTAGATTGTTGTCTGTAACTTTATGACGGGTTCATTTCTAGAAAAAAAAATCGGTTTTCGCTATTGGAAAAAAACTTAGAAAAGCACAACCAATCCCAGGGGCGGATCGTGAATTTGTGGGGCCCTGGGGTGAAACTACTTAGGGGCCTACCTAAGTACTCAACTAATAGCCATGTCAAAAAACTGTTTCTATAATGATATTATAGACCAAACCATAAATGTTACTTAAATCTACGCAAGTATTAGTTGTACAAAAGGCGACTTATTGCTGTGGTAGCAATCTCTTCCAGGCAACCTTTGGGTGAGAGAGAAACCGAAATAGTGATATTATATAAGAATATAAAAAAAACAATAAAACAATTTTATTTATTTATTATGAATTAGTAAAAGAAATTGATAGGTTGCAGTCACAGAAATTGACAGTTATTTGGCCATCACATTGCAAGTCTTTTGTTAGATCACAGTTTATGGAAAGAAGTGATAAATTATTTAGTCGATGGTTCGACATTGTTGTCCTATATTTATTTTCTACATAGGACATCTTGGAGAAGAAGCGTTCTGCTTCACAGCTACCTAGTGATTGGCAATGATAAAAAAATCTTTATAATGGTATAGCAGTTAGGGAACACGTCAATAAGTTTATTTTCATACATGAGCATAAAAATATCACTGCAAGAGGTGTAAGACGATTTTAATTGAATGCACTCATTCACTAAATGCTCGTCTACGTCATCGGGATAGTAATCAATAATATGACGTGCAATTTCCAAATCTATGTTTTCGATATTTTTGTCTTGCAAATCCATTAAAAATTTGAATTTTTTGCTATATTTATGTCTCATAGACTTGGCTCCTTTTATTTAAATCCATAATCAGTTTATCCAAAGTAACGTTTAACGCGTCTCTTTTAAATCTTTCTTCTTTCTGCGCAGCGCCCTATACTGAGAATTCACCTGTAGACTTATCTGAAAATTTTGGAATAATGCGTCTCTTGTTTACGTCATTGCAGTCTATCCCCACACTAGTACTTAATTTTTAGCTTTCTCTTCGTATTCCTTTAGCTATTGATCTGATCAGTATCGTATGTTGTTCACAAAGTCTTTTAATGACACAATTAACTTGTTGCCTTAACAAATGTCTAAACCAGGCGCATTTTTTTATTAACTAAATGAAATCTCTGCAAAAGTTCTTCCCAAAAGATAATCAAAATTGCAGTCTCGAGTTTCGCCATTTTATTGAATAAATTTCGTGCCTCTTTCCGGAAATCAACTTTCTCAATCTCATTTTCGTTGAAACTTTCGAAAATTTTTATAATGTCATCATAATTATTTTTAAGGCTTTGACAGCATCATAGTGGCAAAACCATCTGGTCTGGCTTAAACTTTTTAACGTGAATTTTAATTTTATTTCACGATTCAACAGTTCCCACCTATGGGTCTATTGTTTTTAGCGGGGTCTGGGGGCCCCTTTTAACCTCGGGGCCCTGGGCTGCAGCCCAAACAGCCCTTAGGTAGATCCGGCCCTGACCAATCCGCAAAATTTCAATTCAACATATTCTGATGATGTCGATGTCGCCTCTAACACATTAATATATAAATAATATTAGATTCTTTACGTCTTTAAAGTTATTATCCATAAAGTTTTTTACTCCTAAATTAGACAGTAAAATATTTTCTAAATGACAAATTCTATAAAAAAACTTGGTTTCGGTTGCTTACTAATAAATTTCTTTTCAACTAAAGTTGTTGTCGAAAGAAAACAGCATGCCATGCGCTTAAAATTAGATAAAATATACAGTTAAGAAGCTTAACCATTTTGCAAGACATTTTAATTTATAGTTAATATGCTAATGTGCACTGCAAATGCTTTGAGCGCTAACTAATGCAAGAATTATAATTTTAACCTACTTTAAAGTTTCTGTTAATACTCTTTCACTAAGTTTCTACGACGGGAAGTTTATAAGCAACTTCATTTGAATAAAGGAAATAAGTATATCGTTATAGTGATTGTGAACTTAATTTTGTTAGCAAAATTGCAAACTAAAAAATTTTGTTATTGTGGATAAAAAAAGTTATATACAGAGTGGTCCGAATTGTAATCAGGAAACTTAGACAACATATTCTGCAGATGAAAATATGTAGCAAAATTCGTCTAAATTCTTATCCCAAAATGCTTCGTTTCGGAGTTACAGAGTTTCGAAGTTTCATTTTTGTTTCGGTTTTTTTCAAATAATTTCTGAACTAACGTCGATATTCGGGTGAAAATTGCTGTGTATGTGTTTTTAACATGATAAATTCGTTTTTGATGTTAATATAACTCCTACTTGTTGGGGGCGCCACGTATACATTTTTAACTGTTTTGAAGAGTAGTAACTTTTCGTCCGTACTTGTATCACACTACGAAGGAAAAAAATATATTTTCGTCATTTTTTACTTGGTAAAAACCGCTAGGAGCAACCGTTTCAGTTTATTTTTTGAGTTACGCGTTGCAGTGGATTTTTATTTTGTTGTCTTTTCATTTTTTTTTTCTCTCCAACATGTTTTTTGTTGTACTAAAGTTTATATCAAAAGAAGACGTTATTTTGCATGAAAATAATTTTAAATTTAAACAGTGATAAGCTTAACTATCCACTTTAGTTTATAATTAACATGCTAATGTGCAGTGGAAACACTTTAGGCTCTCATTAGCGCATGAATTATAATTTTAACTCACTCCAAAGTTTCCTGTAAGCGTTTCTGCAACAGAAACTTTATAATAACTTTATTTAAATTAGGATAAATGAACCATTTCTGTCATCGCTTGGAAACATTGTACATACCTATATAATATATTATACAGGGTGGCCCATCGAAAACGTTCCGCAAGGTATAACGGCCAGGGTAATTTTTTTTTCAGAAAATTCAAAAACACGTCAATTTTTGTTTGTGAGGGGGACAACTTTTGCCCCAAAAATGTTTGCAAAAATCTTCAACCCTCTAAGCGGGGGTGTCATCCCCCAATTTTTTTCAAATGGGAAGGGGGGTCAAGTGGTACCTCAATGAAAAGGGCTTTATATTCCTATACTTTCCCGTTTCGTTTTTGAAAATCGATCGAGTCATTGAGAAAATATGAAGGATTGAAATTTGAAAAGTTTATTTAAACATGTATTAGAATAAATGATAATTAAGGATAAATCCGACCAATTTGCTGTTTTTTCTTATTATTTCTAGATGTTTACGCATTTTTTCCCTTGCCACAAGGTTGAACGATCAGGTGCGGTAGTTGCTAGATAGCTGTTCTGTGACTTTTGCGTTGAAGTTTTTCTCAATATCCTTAAACTGACCAACAATAGAATTTCCAAAAATACCAGCCCACACGTTCAAATTCTGAGGGTTTTGTGTGCGCACCTCGTGAAAAACCCTTACCGACAGTTGTGCCGATTAAATACACCGTTTAAAAAGAAAGTACACTCATCCGAAAAAACACACATTAAATAGGAAATTATTATCATTCGCCACTCGTTCACTCATAGTTTCACAAAATTGCAAGCAACGATCAAAATCGTCTTCGTTGAGTTCTTGTACCAACTGAATTTTGTACGGGTGGAACTTGTGCTTTTAATATCCTTTGGACACTTACGATTCACGCAGGTCTCATTGGCTAATTTTCTTGTACTCATCGTACTAGCCATGGCAACTTGGCCCAATACAAATACCTCTATAGCTTCATTTACTACAGGATATTCCCTCTGCCTCTTTTTATTCATAACGGACCCAGTTTCGCGAAATTTTGCTACTAACTTGCGAACAATTTTGCCATAAAGGTTTTGTCAGGATGGCATTTATTGAATATCTGCGCAACCCGATACATTCATTATTTTTAAAATAAAGTTCGATTATTTCCACTTTTTATGCAAGTGAGTACACCATAATTGTTAAAAAGTTTAACGACATTGAGAAGAACTTCAACGCACAAGTCACAGAACAGCTATCTAGCAACTACCGCACCTGATCGTTCAACCTTGTGGTAAGTGAATAAATGCGTAAACATCTAGAAATAATAAGAAAAAACAGCAAATTGGTCGAAGGAATTTATCCTTATTATTTACTCTGATAAATGTTTAAATAAACTTTTTAGATTTCAATCCTTCATATTTTCGCAATGACTCGATTTTCAAAACCGAAACGGGAAAGTATAGAGAATAGAAAGCCCTTTTTATTGCGGTACCACTTGACCCCTCTTCCCATTTAAAAAAAAATGGGGGATGACACCCCCGCTTAGATGGTTGAAGATTTTGCAATCATTTTTGGGGCAAAAGTTGTTCCCCTCACAAACAAAATTGACGTGTTTTTGAATTTTCTGAAAAAAAAATTACTCTGGCCGTTATGCCTTCCGGAACGTTTTCGATGGGCCACCCTGTACATATATTATAACTATACGAACTTAATATACCAAAAGAGATTTTCATATTACATAAATTTACATACATTTTAGAAGAAAACTTTTATTTCTAGATTATGAAAGAAAATTTGCTGTTATGGTGAATCGAATAAAAAGGGATAAAGAAAAAATATCCGATCAAAACGAACAAATTGTGATACTAAATAGAGTTTTGAAGTTGAACAAATCCCGTGATGTAAGTAACTTATAAACTCTAATTTCAAACAATTCTTTTTTATTTTTTATATTTTAATTCTGAACGTTTTTTGAACAAATTTACAACGTTCCTGTAAGATATACCGTATGATCGAAAAAACGGCGACAAAGACGGCTGGGAAGGACAATCGATGATAATTTTCTAGGGCTTGACCTCGCCAAAATTATTATCGATTGTCATTCCCCAGCCGTCTATGACGCCGTTCTTTTTCGATCTTATGGTACATCATTCCATGAATATATTTTCTACTTATAACACAATTGATATTGCAAACAAGTCTTAGATATCTTATTTTAACCTCTAATATACTTAATATAAACATTCTAGGAAACCATATGTGACCAGAATCCTCCTAAAAAAGAAACTAAAATTCCTCCATCCACATTCCTAAATCCTACGCTGCAACAAACTAAAAAATTTCCCAAACTCGACATGCCTAAAAATAAGACTTTTCAGCCTCGTCCACTTAACGCAAACGATAAAACCATAAATGAAAAGCAGCCTGAAAACGAGGTCTCTAATAAAAACAAAACGTCGCAATTTTTGGAAAATAAAAATGCTCCCTCGGATGACGCTGAATGGTCGAGTTGTTCGAAGCTCTGTCCCCTTCAAGACCAAAAAAATTTGGGTGACGTACAACTTAAGTCTGTGACAGAAGATAAAGGAGAAGAACAGTAATACATGTCAACAATACCGTGTGATCGAAAAAAAAAACGGGGTCAAGTGACTTTAGAAATCTTTTTTCAAAGGTAATTTGACGCCTTTTTTTAATCGATAATACAGCAATATATAAAAAAAAAGTGTCAGTAAATCTAATTAATAAAGAAATGTATCCTAGTTTGTGTTTTTGATAGTGTTTGTGGAATTAAGAGTGTAGTCATAGTGTTCTAAAAATTGTTTACCTTTACTTTCTTCTCCTACTAGTTTTCTTCAATGTTCTCTTGCTTCTACTCTTTCTGTAGCTTCTATAAGTTCTGGTAGAGGTACTAGTGTTAATCTATTTTTTTCTCTGTTACACATATTTGAAGAAATGAACGAACGAAAAATAAAAAAAAAACATTTTGTTATATTTTCTTAGTTTAAAGCTAGTGGCTCGTATGCAATTTTTAGTTGACCAATTATTTAGTTGCAAAAATCAAACGGGGCTTAACTCTAACGCTAACTTTTTTTTGTTAATTTCAATATTATTCCGTAATGCCTATAACTCAAAGGATTAAATACCCTATGATGGAAAAAACGGCATCCTGTTGGAAATTAACATCAGTGACATTCCCCATATAATTTTACATATAAAATAACAGCGATCTTCATTTCATAGCCATCGCTGACGCGGTTTTTTTTTCGATCATATTGTACTTGGTAAACTATTTAATATCGTTAAATTTAAATAAATACAAACAATTTGCTCACTGATAAGATAACTGTATAGGATAATCTTTTCGAACAAGTATATTGATAAAACCCAGTATTTTATGATGAAAATCATTAAAGAAAAAAAATAATAGTATTTGATTAAATATAAAGATATATTACTGTAAAGTACATTTTTTTATCTAAGATTTGGCGAAGCTGAACTGCTTAGAAATCCTTGGTTTCAGATGATTGTCTAAAAATATCTTTTTCTGCAGTGCGACAGGTCTGTAAACGCCACTCATGATTTGACTGTGAAGACCATCACCTAAAATATTCATCAAAATATTGGTAACCCATTTTTTAAATGTGACACCCTGTAAATTTTTGTGCATTCGCTATTTAAACCCATATATTTGTATGTACCGGTTGTTTATGATATTCTCCGACGGTGGCAGCACCGGCGGAGAATGCAATAATGTAGCGTTTACGTTACGTACGCCAAAATATTTGCTTTAACTCTCGTTTGCGCGACGACGCATCCACATCCGTAACATAACTTTTTGCGTTACGTATCGTTACGTTGTGCCGTGCTTTAACCAGAGCTTTAACTCTAGTATCTCTTACCACATTGAGTGTATTGGTCGTTAAAACTTTTGCCTCTTCCACAAACTAGTTTGCATATTTTTATTATATTTCCTATAATAATTCCTATCCATATTCCTAGCAAAAACCACCACCTAGAATACTTGAAAGAACACTTAATGCATTCTATTCTTCTATTTTTCTGAACATCATTACTATTACCATCCTTTGCATATCTTTTTATTCTTTCTTCAACATCCCAATAACTATTATTTGTATTTTCTGGCAATATCTTGATGTCTTTTAGTACAAACTTCATTAAAACTTCATCAGTTAATTTTAGAAACTCGAAAAAATATCTTATTACATCAATTCCTTCAAACTTTTCCATAAAATAATTTGACAAATCCAAACTTTTATTATAAAACTCCACTAAATTATTGTTTTCTGTTAAATTCAACAGAGTTTCAAAGTTAGGAAAGACTTGATTATTAAGGTTTCTGGTCTGTGAATAGGTAATGTGCAAACTTTGAAGGTTCAGGATATTTGTAGGATTTCTACTGTTTGTTAGGCTCACTTTTACCATGCTAGAGTTATCCAGGATTGTGCTGTAGGGAGGTTTCTGGATATTAATTCTGAAAGGAGCTGCTTTTATGTCGTAGGAAAGGCAGGTTATCCTGAAAGGAAGAAAACGTGGGATGGAATTGGTTTGAATGGAGGTAAATTTCTTACAAAGGACATGTACAGAGTGATTCTTTAACTTTTATTTTACAGGGATGTTTTACAAATATTACGTTAAAAGAAATAAAAATTTGATTTTTAAAAAAATTTAAATAGGTTTTTCAAAACTATAAAATTGTATTTTTTTAAACGGAAACATCAATTTATCTTATTTTTAGTTTATTTCCTGTCAAAAATAAAGGTGATTTTGTACAGAGCGATCAACAATCATTGAATTAGTATAAATACTGTGTTTGGTTTGGTTTGGTTTGATTTGGATTGATTTGGTTTTGATTGATTTTTGGATTAGTGAATGGTACTTATGCTAAAACAAATAATCGATCGAAAAGCTTTAGCGAATAATTTGATTGACTTTAAATTTTTTGACTTTAATTTACAAGTTCTGACTTTGTTATTTGTGAAATAGCCATATTATTACGAGCCCGTAACATAACTTATATTTTTTAATACACTTATTCAATAACTAGCGTGTACCAGCGACTTTGCGTCGAATTAATCATTTGTAATGGTGATGATAAAGCAAAGCAAGAATTTCCATTAACATACAAACTGGATAAAATTTTCTCACATTTATGTCAGCATGAAAAAAAAACAATATGGCAATATTATTATATAACTTGGTAATATTTGAGGGGTAGTTTCATCTCGTTGGAATTTGACTTTCGAAAAATCCGTTTGCCAAAATAAGCTTTTTACGTCAAGCAGTTTAAGCAGAATCGTGGTTAAGAAATTAACCAACTTTTGGAACACCCTGTATGATTTTTTAAAGAATTTCAAATGTAAAAAGACCAAATAAATTATGCTTGTCCAAGCGTTTTCCCGAAAGACCAAGCGTTTTCCCGAAAGAAAGTTTTATAAATAACAAATATTGTAATATTTGAGGGGCGTTTTCACCTTCTTGGAATTTGAGATTCGAGAAACCCCTCCTTATCGAACCTCTACACCCCACAGTCAATCCGTTTGCCAAAAATCAGCTTTAAACGTCAAGCAGTTTAAGCAGAATCGTGATTACTCAATGGTCATATTTTATGAAACACCCTGTATGAATTTATAAAAAATCTTAAAATATGTAAAACAACAAAATAAAATATACGTGTTTAAGAGTTTTTCCGAAAAACTCACCGGTTTTTAAATAAAAAATATTTTAATATTTGAGGGATAGTTTCACCCCCGTAGAATTCGAGTTTCGAAAAATCCCTTCTTATCGAACCTCTACACCCTAAAGTCAATCCGTTTTCCAAAAATCAGCTTTTTACGTCAAGCGTTTTAAGCAGGATCGTGATTAATCAATGACCAGATTTTTCGAACACCCTGCAAACATTTTTAAAAAATTTAAAAAAACAAAATAAAATATACGTGTTTAAGCCTTTTTTCGGAAACTTGACCGTTTTTTAAATAAAAAATATTGTAATATTTGAGGGGTGGTTACACCCCCTTAAAAGTGAAATTTCAAAAAATCCCTTCTTATCGAACCTCTACACCCTAAAATCAACCTGTATGCCAAAATTGAGCTTCTTACGTTGAGTGGTTTGAGCAGGATCGTGATTAATCAGTATGTCAGTCACTTGAGGATTTTATATATTAGTCTTATATTAGTATAGATTAAATTAGAAAAAACTTGACATTAAATCTATTTATTTCTCATCTCGTATTGATTAGTCTCACATTATTATGGAAAACGAATTTAAGTATCGGCAAAAAAAATAATCTTATTATTTAACTTTTGGTTTGTTTTGACTCTAGTGATTCCCCATCTAATAAATAGTTTTATTTTTTCATTATTCGAATTTCTTAAATTTATTGCCAACCAAACGAGTAAAATCAGAATATACTTACAACTAATTCAATCATTGTTGGTTGCTCCATATATTTTCCTCTATTTTAAAATTAGAAATAAAGCTCTATAAATTTCATTCTATATACATATTTTATTTATATACAAAGGATATGAGTTATACAAAGTAAAAAATATTCGATGGGGTTAGATACATTTTTCTTATTATACTATAATCGGGTCTCTTCATGAGCATCTTGTTCATCGTCTGTTGTGTTCGTTGCCACAGATGTCACTTGTTCTCTAATAAATTCGCTATATACCCCTGAGTGTAATTGCTGCCCTACCACTGATAAATCTGGAACAAAAAAAGTAAAATATAACAAATCATAATTTTTGGTTTTGAAACTTTTCTAATAGCTAATATTTATTTCGAAATATATAAACATCTTAAGAGAATAGTATAACGTAGAATGTTTATAGTTTATAGATTTTGGATTAATTTTAGTTTTATTTTTTAATATTTACAAAATATGTATATTGTATTCTGGAAACTATGATATTGAATACGTTGATTGTTTGATGACATACACTGTTTTATTTTATATACTGTTTGGATAAGACCTATGTTTTTAAATAATTGAGTATTTTTTAAACCGCTTATGTATGTTTTGCATACTCTTTACTGGCAACTCACATCGTCAGTACTAACATAAAATTTGAATTTGGTGCAGAATGCTTTGGGATATCCACGCAGTGCAACTGTTCTAATTTTATTTACAAGTCAAAATCGAGTCACTTAAAAATCACTGCTATCAAGGGAAATTACTTGTTTAAAAAAAACTGGTAATATAGATTCGATAAGTACCTACTGAAAATCTGATTCCGAAAAAAGTTATCGAGATATCTAACAGTGCTTTCAGATGGAGCGGACCGTCCGCGACGGACCATACCGCGACTTCGAGCAAGTACTATGAGTTTTTATGTACAATTTCACATGGCTCGCGTATGTTCCGTCCGGATGATTTCGTCCGACCGACGGCTATCTTGAAAAAACACGACGGACGGTCTGTAACAGCGCTTTCAGATGGAGCGGACCCGCGCGGGTGTTTTTTCAATATAGCTCATCCGGACGGAGCATACGCGACCCATGTGAAATTGTTCATATAAGCTTATGGTACTTGCTCGAAGTCGCGGACGCTCCGCCCCATCTGAAATCGCTGTTACGAGACAACAGAGCAAAAAGGGTTAATACCAAAAAAATATCAAAAAATGAGTTCTACACAACGGTAAAAAAATTACCGGACTTATTACTGTAAAACCTTATTTTCATGACTGAAATCAAGTATGTAAATGTGTGTTATACTATACAGGGTGTTAAACAATGAAGTGTCCGATATTTTACAGGGTGATTTTCAAGTATTTTTAAGTTAAAAATAACAGAATTAAAATTATTAAAATAGAATTAAAAATTGAATTTAGAACACAATATTCTAAAATTAAAAAAAATAGAACATGTGTTTTAAAAGGCTCCATTTTTGAGAACATGTTGTCAGGTTTGAGAAAAAAAATCGTTCGAAGCCACTCCGGATATTTTTATAAAATTTGGTACATATTTTTTGATGAAAAATATTTTTTCAAGTTCTCACTGGTAGCGTTCGTACGAGGTATCGACTGAATACTTTTGAAAGAAAAATATGGTACAAGCCGGGGACATACTGTAGTATGAAATAAAAAAAAATCTTACCACATTGAGCATCCTTGTCCTTGCTTGTTTTCGATTTCTTACATGCCATCCTAATCATCCACGGTACGTTTCCAACAATTATTCCGACAACAATTCCTATAAGACACCATAAAATAGCGTACCCAATCATATCACAATCCGGGCATGCATTGTTGAGCTTCCTGTTGCCAAAAAACTTTCCATCTACAATCGCCATAGGTATCAGAGTTTTTCCACTAGTTTCGCCCTCATACACAACTTTAAATGCTTCTGTAGTCGAAGCTACTACTTCGTCTATCTTCGTTTCAGTCATATACGTTGTATCTTCAACTCCACAAAATGCCTCAAGCATTACAGAACTCAAACTATCAGACCACGATGAAATATTACAATCCCAAGGATTGTCGTCAATAAGCATGTAGAATTCTTCAGTTGTTATTAGTTTTTCTATCAGAGATTCTGGCAGTGATGTCAAAGTGTTGTTAGTCAAGTTGAGTATTTTTAAGCTTGAAAAATAACTTACGTTGAAGTTCTCAAACGTTTTTAATAAGTTATTTGATAAATCTAACAAAGAGATCTTGTTATCTACTTCAAAAGCCTCAAAATTAAAACTCTCTAACTTGTTATACTTCAAGTTAACCTTCCTTAAAAAACTGCAATTTGAAAAAGCGTGGTTTTCAAGAACCTCAACTCCTGAATTTGTGATATCCAGGGACTGTAAATTATCAAAATCTCTTAGAATGTCTTCGGACACTGTCCGTATGTCGCTGTCCCTGATGTCCAGATGTGTGATGTCCTGTTTGTTTAAGACGACTGAAATCTGGCTTGAAAGTTCTTGGGAATGCATGCGGGAACAGTTCACTTCAAAGGATTTCATTGTGCAGTAGTAATTGCAAGAAGCTCTGTAAATTGAAACATATAGGTATGTGGGTGTGTATGTATTCTATGGTTTTGTTTGGGAGTGGAATATGAAGGTGGATGTTTTATTTAGTAGGGACTAATATTTTAAGCCTTGTTTTAGTATTTCGCGATTCAACTTGAAACACTGTTTTGAACAACGGGATGAAAATAATCTGTAAGTATTCCTTTTCCATGTTGAACGCTGTAGTTGTATTGAAAAATACTATTGTTTTACATTAAAAAACATACAGGGTCGGCATTAGTGCGTCGGGCATCTGTAGCTCCTATAATAAGAAAGCTAGGAATTTTGTACGTGCCAAACCAAAGTATATACTAGGATGTATTTCAGGAAAATATTTTAACAAAAGTGTGAGTGGATCGGGATGATTTTTTCATGATACACTATTGATCTGCCAAATGTAATAAAGACATCTCACATAAAATGTTTTGCCGATGACACACAAATATACAGCCATTTTAAGTGTAAAGAATATGAACAACCAGTCATAGACATTAATGCAGATTTAGAGAGAGTCCTCGATTTTGCTAAAAATCATAATTTGCGCTTAAATCCAACCAAGTCAAAAACAATAATATTTGGATCCAAAAAGTATCGAATTTATTTGAAATCAAAAATAAAACTTTATATAAATGATCAGCCTATAGAAAATGTAGAATCTGTTAAAAATTTAGGATTGTGTATAGACGAAAGTTTTAAATTCTCAAACCATGTTACTCAGTTAGCTCGAAAATGTTATTTGAGTTTGAAACAGAAGCATATATTGACATATAACATGAAAAAAACGTTATGTCAGAGTCTCGTACTCTCAAAGTTGCAATATTGCAGTATGGTATATTTTCCATGCCTCAGTTCAATTGATGCTTATAGACTACAGAGGATTCAGAACAACTGCTGTCGTCTGATACTAAATAAACGAAAGTATGATCACATTTCCTCAGCTTTTGAGACACTCAAATGGCTAAAACTAAATAAATTATTTAAATTAAGAATATTGACCTCCGTTAAGAATATTGTAGATACTACACTTCCTTTTGATCTTTTCAGAAAATTAAATTTTAGAAATTCAATGCATGATTTAAATATAAGACACAAAAAAATGCTTACTATGCCAAATCACAAAACGGCCATGTTTCGGGAATCGTTTACTTACAACTTTGTATGTATTTTTAATAATTTAAGAAAAGATATTCAAACTTTGTTTATTCTATGTTCATCATTTAAATTTAAATCAAGTCTGAAAAACTATTTATTGCTGGAACAACAGACCCCAAGCTTAGGATAATTATTGTGATATTTTTTTGTTTGATTGTTTACTTTTTAAATTTTTTGTGTTTGTTAAAACGTATTGGTCCATACAATCGAGCCACATTTATTGCTCATTTTATTTTTATTTTCATCTGGACATTATTTTCGAATTTATGTTTCTTTTCTTATTATGCATATTATAAATGTATTGATTACGTTAAGTATGAATGGCTCTGTGAGCTAGACTTCGCCTATGTAATTAATTAATACATTATTGTAATTGATTAATTATTAATAAAGACCATTTATTATTATTATTTTTTTTTTTTTAAATGGAACACCCTGTATATTATAGCATTTTTGGCTTCCTTTTTTATCACTTTACATAATCCTAAGGTATTATTAAATATATTTCGATAGTTTCAAAGATATTAATAAATAAATAAAAAATATATTTTTTTTTCAGCCTTTCTTTAAAAAATATTAAAAATACAAGAAATATGCAGAAATCAAAACTATATTAGGGTGGCTTTGATGAAAAAAAATTCTCTTGAAAACTCCATATATAATATAATACCACGAATATCCGCAAAACCGTTAAAAATTTTGAAATACTTTAAATACAAAAAGTGTTAATTTCTTAATTCTCCATCTAACAAAGAAATAATATACAGGGTATTCTATTTAAAAAAAACCAAGAATAATTATTTTATATTTTAGAAAGTTTGGCATAGAACAGTAAATATCTAATATAGTTTTGATTTCAGAATATTTCATGTTTTTTAATATTTTTTTAAAGGCTCAAAATATTACATTTTTTATTTATTTAATTAATATCTTTGGGACTACCAAAACATATTTAATAACATTTTATGATTATGTTAAGTGACCAAAAAGGAAGCCAAAAATGCAATAATATACAGGGTGTTCCATTTAAAAAAATCATCCCGATCCACTCACACTTTTTGAGCCACACTGTAAAAGTTAAAATATTTTCCTGAAATACATCCTAATACATACTTTAGTTTGGTTTGGCTACAGATCCCCGACGCACTATTGCTGAACTCTGTATTGATTTCACAAGTAACAAAGTAAAAACTTGTACATTTTCAAGAAGATAAAGATAAACCAAAAAATTGATGGCAATGAAATTGACCTAATTTGCTAAAACTTTTTCATTAGTAATTTTTCGTATAGGATCAATACGAATCACTTATCCAAAATCCTCTAATACTGTACCTATTGCTAACTATTTTAAACCTTGTTAAATTTTTGATCTCTCAATTTGTGTGAAAAAATAAATAAATACCAAATCCATAATTTTGGAATTTATATTCTTCAAAAACTGTTTTTCCATCGCAAAATATAAAATATTATAACTAATTATATCATGCGTCAGTCACAGTTAATTAGGTGGTATGTGGGAATAAATTATTACGGAAAAAAATCTCGCGAACATATTTTAGTTGCCAATTATGTCATAAATTTTATAATTAATGCAGTATTGCACATTACAGTTCAAACCAACATGAAACTTCGCTCGACATTATTTTAAAATTAATTATAAATACATATAGACGGAGAATGCACGGTAGAATTAATAAATTATAATCATAACGATATTGTTGTAAATATTATATTGTTTATTACGAATAAATGAAAATAATTAAATTTTACACGCATAGCTAATATTCTGTTATATTTTAAAAATTATATATAATAACAGTAGGTATAATATTTTAATTATTTTATTTCAAAAATACTGTGTGCAATTTAAGAAACGAACGAATATCTTTTACAGCACTCATAGAAAGAAGTAAACATAGACTGACTAAAATTAAAATAAAACCACAAACAAATGGTTGTGAGCGTCCACACTCTACGATTTTTGTCTATGTAAACCACCAAAATCTATGACTAGGAGCTAAAACTTTTAACTCTTAAGTCTTTTAAGTGTTCCGAGTTTGTGCAGTTCTCAAATTCGTTCAAAACTTGCTATCCACACGCTACGTTTTGTCTGTTCAAGCAAATTGTACGAAGCCATTCCGTCTGAACCACGCTTTATGAAGAATCCATTTTTTTCAAAATTTTAATAATAAAAGAGGGTTTAATCTTGTAAAAACTGTTCGGGGACATACTACAAATATTTTATAACAAAAACCGTGAGTTGCAAAAATACTCATATTCCTAATTAAAATTAAATAAATTTTGTAATCATAAAAATTACTTACATATTAATAAATCCAATAAACAGCACTGTCCTGCACAAAATACACATTGTTTACAGTAGTTCACTTATTGAATGAAATAAAATTAAAACACTTCAACTTGAATGACTCCCAAAGATGATCTTTATCCAAGTATAATATTTTGATCGATTTCCTGAGTCACACTTATCATATCTTATCAATTATTATTAACTCGAAATATCTGTAGTACTATTTAGTATACCTATTATTATATTATTTATAGTTTTTTAGATGTTTGTTTAAGGTTTTTTCGCTTGTCGTGAGAACGGTTCGACGGGAAGTGACATAAAAACAGGATTGACATTGTGGTTTCACCAAATCTGACTTATCTCCCGATATTTCATAGACCGAAGGTTATTTTTAAGAAAATATTTGTGTAATTTTATGTATTACCTACTAGCTTTTTCCAGCAACTTCGTCCGCATAAAATTCAAATTTCTTACTACTCCTAAAGCCGATTTAAAAAAGATGTACAAATTTTCACCCCTAATTTAACCCTCTTAAAGGATGAACTTATAGTGTTCAATTACACCGCTCAAGGGACCTCTGTGCAAAATTTTATACTTCTAGGATAGGTAGATGTTAATTTTTTTATACCTACAACATTCACCCTCATTTCACCCCCTTATGGTACGAATTTCCAGTAACCACTCCTCAGTATTCAATTATGTCACCTAAGAAACCTCTGTGCAAAATTTCATACGATTTACATAATTTATTTTTTTATGAAAAAATGTCATGCTTTAAATTTCAGCTTAAATATGGAACGTTCTGTATATATGCACATACATACAAGTTCCCCAAAAAGTTATACTCGCTTTATGAGATCTTTTGTGGGATTCCGACCACCTGCAAGGATCTCCCCTAATAACAATATCTACACTAGGGATGCTAAATATTATCGATACCTACTTTGAGTATCGATATATTATAAAATATCAATATTCCAATGTCTTTAGTGTAAGAGAATAAAATGCAATGAGAATAAAGTTAAAATTCTAGAATTATTTTATTTATTTATTTTTGTTATTATTATTCTATTTTATAGTAAAAATGAGTGCAAGATCAAAAACTACATGTCCTTAATTTGTAAAGAAACAATTGTGGTGTTATTAAATTTAATTTTGAATGCCAAAAACAACGTCCATTATTTTTTTGAATTATGTTATTATGAATTTTACATACAGAAACAAATAAACATTATATTATTACGGTTGTGGGCTGGAACCTTTGGTGTTACAACAGCAAAATAAAAACTAATTTGCGGTGAATTTGTGTTTTATTTTGTTTAACATTATATATCAATAGATTAAACTTTAATAATAAAACATTATAATTATGATATAACAATCATATACGAGAGATCTTTGTTAATAAACTTTAATAAATACACAAATGACAACCTAACACTTGTTTTTGTGTTTACATCTAGTTTGTGCCATCATGTGCATTGTCAATTTATATTATTCATCTGAGAATATAATATTCATAAAACATAACCAAAAACTATCGATGTTTTAATATATCGATATATTTTATACTTTCTTAACTCCCGCCTACCCCTGCCTACTTCGCAGGAGAAAGCACACCGAGCCTATGTTCCTAAATTTGATTTCTCTGAATGGGCGCACTCACACAAATGCGTACGTAATGCAATATTTATCCGGTGACTCATAGAAGGGGGAGGATTTGCCCTACAATATATCTATCTACCTGGTGGAACAAACGTTTTTGAACTCGCTGGGGTGCTATTAAGTCGATGCTATTAAGAAATGTAATGTAATGTAATATACACAAAGGTATGTAACTTTGTATGGCATCAAGAATTATTCGTTAAATAAATGAATTATTATAATTTGTTGATACCCGATATATAAATATTAAATAACAGGTGAATAAAATTTGCTATACTTACAAGTGATCAATATATCAAATAGGTACATCCTTATGTCGTCTTTGGAAGTCTTCTCTAAGTCGTTGGACAGACTATAAGGTGAAGGGCCATAGCGACATTTAAGTTTTTTTAAGCGACAACGAACTAGCAAGACAAGCATAATCGGAATCCTATCTTGGGTCAGAGCCAGTATTGGGAATACCTAAATGGTATAACCCATAACCCGGGACATCCGACTGAATAACACTGGAAATAGTAGAATAATATATATATTTGGGACAACTAATACACAGCTCGAGATCTCTACTACCAGAAATCAATAGAATAATTAAGTTGGTATAGAGTACTTATGGAAGAAACTCAATAATATTCATTTCTAGAATGCCACTCTATCCAAAGAAGAAAACATTTGACCATGTGTACTACCAGTCATGACCTATGCATGCGACACTTAAAAAGGACATTATAAGGAAACTGCAGGTCGCACAACGTTCAATACAACGAAATATGCTGGGAATAACCAAGAGAGACAGTAAAAGTATAGAGTGGATACGACAAAAGACCCAGGTAATAGATTTCATCCACAGAGTCAAATCCTTCAAATGGCAATGGGCAGGACACCTGGCAAGAAGAACGGACAACAGATGGACCACAAAAATTACAGCATGGTAGCCACGAGGAATTAAGAGATCTAGAAGGAGACCAAACCTGAGATGGGACCATGATATTAGAAAATTAGCATGTATAACTTGGGGTTGATAGCCAACAATAAACAATAACGGGTCCAACTACAGAGTATCTAAACATGTGAGGGAGGCTACACCATGATTGGAAATGGTTGAATAAGCTGAGAATGATGATGATGATGATGATGATGATGATGATGATGATGATGATGATGATGATAACCCGTAGTTCAGTTGAATTCTAGATCACGGAATAGCAGATCGTCCAGTGAAGAAACAGTCGGTGGCCCAGGCATAGCAAGGTCTTCATCCGAGGGCCTAATTCTAAAACTACAAAAAAACTGCTAATGCTCAGCAGTAAAGTACGAATTACAACAGGTCTCTTGAGTGAACATATGGCTATCAAATGCTACCTGAACAAGTTCAACCTGTATCAAAGAAGTTTTTGCTGGAGGCTCTGCGATAAAGATCCTGAAACAGCAGAGCACATAATATGTTACTGCGAGGCTCTGGATCGTAAGCGACACTTTCCATTTGAGAAAGCAAGGCTAGAACCGGAGGAACTATGCTCCCATCCTATCAAGCACCTGCACAAGTTAGTTTAGGGTACAGGGATAAGAGTGGGTGTAGATATATAAAGAGAACAAACACATAAAGTTATGTAATAACTTTATGTGTTTGTTCTCTTATTATGTGTAACACATAAAGTTATATAACCCTTAATATTATGTAAAAAAGACAACATTTTGTTAAAGATAGTGAATATAAAAAATGCGATATTTTATGACAAATATTAAGATATAAGATTTGTTAACAATTTCTTTTTAGCGATTCCAGTATTTTTTCAAAGTAAGTTTATAGTATTTTTTGGGAGACTTTAAAAGTTCTTAAATCCAGGGACGGCCGAGTTTTGGGATGAACATCTGTAACGAACATTTGGAATTAATTTTTACAAAGCACAGCCATTACCGGTCGCTGAATAAGCAAGGAAAAACAAAACAAGAAATCAAAATACGCTTTGGGCACTTCTTTTTAGGAGGGTGGCACGCAAACCAAACGAATTTGACATTTTAAATTGGATTTTGAGAATTATTTATTTTGGGGTCGATTTAAAAAAGCAAAGATTAAATTAATTTTTTCTTTTTTGAACATTTTATTCCGGCAATTTCTAAACTATACCGTGTGTCAAAATCCTTGATCCTTGTATGACATATTATTTGTAAAAAAAAAATAATTATATTTGTTCATACAGTATAAAATTATTTTTTTTTAAAATGTGTAATAAAATATACGTACAGAAAGTCCCCGGGTCGTTTTAACAAAAATAAAATATTTTTATTATTAAGTTTTTAAGAAAAAAAAGTTTATTTATTTGAAAAGCTTGTTTTAAAATTATTAAATTAATTTATAGTTTCTCAATACCATTTCAAAGTATGAAAATACGGTTTAATAAACGGGTTAATCTCTAGGGTAAAATGGAATGGGAATGGGAACCCTCCAACTGTCTAAGACACTGGATGAAATTTCTTAGGACTTGCGCCGAGAAAAATCAACACAGTATATCTTTAAAAATCCTCTTATAAGACGAACCGGGGACATATTTTATATTATACAGGGTATCCCAGAAATAAGTGCAAGTATTTTAAGTGGTGGTAGATCTCGATAAAAGAAACACATATTTTCTCTTTATCGTTTTTCAAATAAGTCCAAAATAACGGTGTTATTTTACTCTGAAAATTTCCAAAAAAAAATATTTTTTGCTAAAATTTTGAGAACCACTGGATCTTTTCTGGATTTTCTTTCTTGTAAATTTGATCTAATACCTGTGTTGACATATTATCAAGAAATTATGTTTTTTAACTAAAAACTAAAAACAATTCCGAATTTTCAAATTTTTTTTTTCGCGAAAAAAACCTCATAGGCTTGTTTCTGGGGTTGAACTATACTACCAGTTAAAATATTTGCACTTATTTCTGGGCCACCCTGTATATACTATAGTAATAAAAATATAATAAAATATTTGTGTTTGTTGCTTTTACAATATAAAACACAAGCTAAGAGTCGAAATTCTCCTACTATTTCCCGCTATCGGATTTCGTCTCTCTACTGAAACTATAACCTCAACACCCCTCGCTAAATCCAACCCCTGTTCTGACCCCCTGTGCCCTCCAATTGTCTACTGGACTGTATCAATTGGTTTTCCGAAGCTATACGGACGTGTGCACCATACCCTTGCATATCGATACTGTGTGCTGAGGTACGCGTATGGTAAAGTCATTCACCTCCCTTACATGTTTCCAAAGCCAACAGGACCTTTGTAGCAGGACGATATAAAGGCTATAGGGTGAATGTCATATTGGAACACGGAGACTGGCGAAAATTTTAACTGTTGAATGTGGAATATAGATATTGGTATATTCTTTGGCTAAATCATAAAGCAACCTTGAAATTAGTGGAATAAGTTAGTGGTTTCAGTTATACTTTTCACTTACAAATTTACGATCATTCACAATGTCTTAAAAACACAACACTATCCATACCGAGCCTAATAATTAGCTTATAAAACTATAAATTTTTCATTTCTAATAACAATTTCTCCTGACCAATGATAATCAAAGGCCAAAATGACAGTACTAGCAAATTTTGAAGTAAAATTAGTGGCAAAAGTTAATAGTTTCTTAACTTTTTTCACTAACTGAAAATTACTAGCACTAATTTTGACGTTCTGAATGCTTGTATTAAAATTAGAGAAACAAACTTCTATGCTAATTGAAACTACTAATTTATATCACTATTTTCGAGGTTCTAAAGGAAGCTGAAAGCATGGCTGAAAGTTGAACGTTTGGGAAATATAATTTGACATTGACGAAATCATAGGTCGACAACTTAAGGTATGTTGGCATTTGCCTGGTTTTGCATTGTTACCTGTTCAGTTTTAATCTAAAATGTAGAAGTAATTTTTCTTAAATTAGTTAAAATCGACTTATCCAAATTGCTGAAATTCGGCACGTGTGTTTATCATAGGCAGGCCTTCAAAAAACCGCTATTAAATCGACAGGGAGCCAATATTTGAACAGTTCAAAATTTGTGTAGCACTTTCTATGCTTCTGACGACGATGCCGTATCTATTTTTAAGAAATTTTATAATAAAGCTGAAACCGAAAAAGGTTTTTAATGTAAATATACATCTATTTTTTTAAATAATCCATTTTATATAATTTTTAAGCAAATAATGTTAAAAATTGGAAGCATTAGCAGCATTAAGACACAGACGGTATTGTATATTGAATTTAGACGAAAAAATATTTCATCTGTGGACCATTTATTCAAAATTTTCAATCTAAAATCAGGCTTTCATAGAAATAGAACATTGTTACATAGTTTTTCTTCATTCAGCGTTCATCTTATCGCACTATTGAATAGTTTCGAGGCTACGAGAGACTGAAAAGCCCTAGAAACTGCGAGATGTGAAACAATAGATAATTTTACTATTTATCGGAATTGTAACTGAATGGTATTATGTGCCTAAAATAGGTCAGAGCTAGCGAATGTCTATGAAGCGCCCGCCTCTATGAAACTGACAGCCATTGTCAATTTTCGCTTTGACAACATAAATGTGCCGCTTGAAACTGAAGAAAGAATGGGTGAAAATTTTGCGTAGATAGCGCCCATTGTCTCAAGCAGCCGAATTGTCGTATGTAGAACTAAAATAGTCGACTATTCATTATCTTTTAATGAAGATTTATTATTATTATATGATTTTAGATTGTACATTTGATGGAGGAAGTTAATCACCGCCACCTTATAGATCTACTGTTTCCCCCTTCCTTGACTTACAACCATCATACAGTCTCAGAACTTTGACAAAAGCGAGTATCTGAGATGGTTTTACCGATATCAGTCATACCAAAGTTCATGGCAAGAATGGTTATCGTCTCGGCGCACTCTGTGATGAGGTGTTCTGGTGTTTCCCCATTTTCACTACAGAATTCATTTTCCGTTGTTTTGTAGCTTCAATCTACTGAAGTATTCGTAGAAGAGACAGTGTCCTGTTAAAAACCCCGTAACAATCCGAAGATTGTTCTTACCTAAACCGAGGAAAATCTTTGGCTTTTCTTGATCGAAAGTTCTGAGAAATTTATTCTACTGTCTTAGACCGTTAGACGATTTCCATTCCAGGTTACGGATGGAGTCTTCCACGTTCTTGAGTTCCCTTAGCTTTAAGTTGGTTCCCATTTGGGAAGCAGAGAGGTTCTGGTCCACTTAGTGGAGTGTTCGCTTCTTTTCTAGCTAGATGCAGAGGGAGAGAGAGGGAGAGACAAAAAATGTAAATGAGCCTTTAGATAGATTTAATCATGGTTAGCATTTCGGTTTCCATTTTAGTTTCGGTTTAATGTTCGACTATGAACTATTTTATTTGTCTATGAATGGCATTGATGAGCCGTGTGTTTGGCCTTTTTATCTCCACTTTCCTTAAAATAATCATAAAGTGGTTTATTTGAATATTGTAACAATTTACTATCTAAGTGTTAAAATGATGTGCGTGTAATCATCATTTGCTTACGGAAATAAACGTCTCTTAAATGTATAAATATTACTTAATGATATACTTAATTTAGACAAGTAAAAAAATCGAGAACAAATAGAATAACTATGATTTTCTTGCAGTATAATTTTTTTCATAATTTGTTGTGGTATGATTAACATTTTCTCATAAAAATAACTGATGTGTTTTGTTTCAGATTGAGTGTGATTCACTGGGCGCCATGGCATCTTTTGGGCATTGTATGGGTCAAAAAAGGCGTCACTCGACGCCACCATGGAGTTGTTAATGCGGCGTCTCTTTGTAGATGCTCAGGTGAGCCGTTTGTATTTTATTTAAGCTTCTAATCACGTTTTTACAGCCTATAGAGGTTCTTGGTATAGCATAACTATCTTAATATGTCATGTCAATTGTAGTTAGGTTCTTTCATTGAATAAAAAGAAAAAAGAAATTAGTCAAATACATTACTATTTTATTTCAAAATCGGTTTAATGCACAGTGTATACTTCTGGAACAACATTGTGTCAGGACTTGACATAGTGAAAATTGAAGATAAGAAAGAAGAAGGGGTTTAATTTTATCCATGTATTTATACATTAGAGACAGAACAACATCTTAAACTCCCATGTTTGACTGTTCTGTTTTTATTTATTATCTATTCTAGTATTGATTTTGTTTAGAAGTAGTAAATCTAGAATTATATTGTGTCAGAACTTAAATTACAGGTGACATTATTGCGAATTCTAGAAAGCGACTGTAAAATGATTAGCTGTGCAGTGTGCGGTAGATCCTAGTCAATAATCGTTACATACGTTACATGTAGTAAACCAATCATGAAATTCGCTTCGAGTTTTTATGAACTTTTGTTATTATTTAAAACTTATCAAAAATAAAAAACACGTCAATTTGACTCAGATGTTTTAGTAGCGTGTCTGATATTTTTGTTATTAAAGATTTATTATAATTTATCTATTTTTATTAGAAATATACAGGGTGAGTCTTAAGTAAGTGCAAATATTTTTAATGTTGGTATATTTCCCTAGAAACACGTCTATGAGGTTTTTTTCGCGAATTTTTTTTTGAAAATTTTGAATTTATAAAAAAAATGGATATTATTTAAATTTTTAGTTAAAAAATATTCCATTTAAAAAAAATCAAGATGGCGTCGTATCTGTCAAAATTGACGTTTTAAAAAAATTTGGTGTAGAGAATCGGCATCCTCGCGAAAAATTACATTAGAAAATCTTTCTACTATCTTTAAATACCAAACAGGAAAATTATAAATCGAGTGAGACACTTAAAATGATGTCCCTGTACAATATCTCGGTTATTTTGGACCTATTTGAAAAACGCTAAATAAGAAATGTGTTTTTATGGAGATCTACCAGCTCTGAAAATATTTGCAGTTATTTAAGACTTGCCCTGTATGTTATTTTAACATTCTTAATAGCTAATAATATTTATTGAATATTGTAACAATTTACTATTTAGTCTAAGTGTATTTAAATCAAGAAAATATTAAGTCTACCCCACGTTATATTTTTACAAGATTTCAATAATATTAGAACGGCACTGATGTTCGAAATTTAAGTTAGCCATATTAATCCCCCATAGCGCTCCACCATGTTTGTTGATATGCTCCTTCCTTAATTTTTTTATTCAAAGGAAGAGAGGCTTCCAAAATAGTTACATTAAAAAACATTAATTATTTTTATCACATCATTATTAAATATATTATGAAAATTTGATGATTATTTTTAATGACAAAAAATGATTCGTTTAGGCCAAGCTTCGCAGAATGGTAGAAGAACATTCCGAATATCCGAATTCTATACCCGCCCCCGTTCCAGCGCCCGCTACGCACGCCCCTGACCTGAAAACTGCCGACGCACTTTTTTCTTCTCTGTCTTCCGCTACGCCACTGTCAGCAACCAAGTCCGATACACCCAATAAAAACCAACCGAACAACAACTCTGCTACCCCTTCAGGCACCGCTACTGAACTGCCTGCCACGGAAGACCCTCGCAGCGATGATGTCAAACCTATCAAAAACGGTGACGTTAAAAAAGAGGATCATCCTAAGAAGCAGAATTCTATAGAGTTCAAGCAAAGGAGCAAGTCCTTGAATAATACCAGTTCAGTCGACTCTAATGAGGATGTTAATAAAGTAAGTAACAAAGTAACAACGGTCTGCAAAAATCTTGAGGTTTGGTACCATTTCTGCTGATTCTTGTGTAAAATGACGGCAGTTACTAGACCTGAGTGACATGATCATCACTTTTATTTTAGCCAAAAAGTTCTTACATATGTTTTGAAATGCAAACCAATCTCGTTTATATTTGTGACTCAATTGATCAATAAACGTTAAGTCTTGGAAAAGCTGTATAATCTGGGGATCCAGAAGAACTTCTTTATTGATTTTAGCCTCACTAAAATGAGTATTATATATAATTTAAGTATTCAAAAATTGAAAATGCGTCACTTGTCTTGTTTGTTGCTTTCACAAACTGTTTGATCAACTCTACGGTTCATATCAAATAAACTTTCAGTTACGTCATCGACGGCACGATTTTTATATATTAATTGACATATTCGGCGCCATGCTGATTAAGTGGAATTTAAATTTCCCGCTGGGGATTCATGCTGTTGTCGCATGCTGTTCCAGAGAGCATAGTAAAAGATATATCAAAGAGCCAGACGTCTTAAAATACTTTCTCGAAAACGTTGCTAGCTCTTAGACTATGAGATATGTACAAAAATAAGTGAAAAAATGCAATAAAAAAACACAAAATTGATCACGTTTATTGATTTTATTATAATTTGAACGGGACTTCCTCCCCTCTACAAAAACTTATCGCCTTGTTCCAAAATCTCTTGTTTTCAAAACACAAAAATAATCCTCTTCATTTCATTAAATTAGCGACAAGCAGTAAAAATAGGTAAAGTGGTATTCCCCAAAACCGGTTGGTGATGGGGGAAAACGGAGATCATATTTGGTATTCAAGAAGTCATTTTACACAAGATTATCCACACGGAACCCAGCGAAGCGTAACAATAATATCCACAATAATTAAACAAACAACATTTTTTCAGAAAGATATACACAAAACAAAATCAAACCCAGTGAAGTGCGAGGTTTTAGATAGTAGTGAAGCAAAGTTAGATGGTAAGAACAACATGACAATACAGGAGAGCGCCAGTCCCATGAAGGACACCAGATCGTCACCAGAAAATCAACGGTCTGAATCACCTAAACCTGGTTGTAGCAGTCAACCAGATATGGGTAAGTTCAAATAAAAAAAATACACAAGAAATTAATATTGGACCTTAATTTTCATTATTCCCGATTTTGCATCGTATCCACTCTAGTGTATACATTGATCGAATGTTTTCTTCTTTATATATGAGATTGAGTTTCTTCCATATATGTAGTCCATGCTAACTTAATACTTCTGTTGATTTTTGGTAGTAAACATCCTAAGCTGTGTATAAGTTATTAGTAAATATCTATATTTTTGTGTGTAGTTATTATTTAGTAGAATGCCTTTTTTCGCTACTAGTGCGTTGTTGTTATTACTACTAGTTTTTGCTAAATTAATTTTGAGGCCTACTTTATTCCTGGCTGTATTTTTTAGTTAGTTAATTTGTTTTCTTGTAGTTCTTTTGGACTGTTGGCAATTAGGACTATGTCATCAGCAAATCTTAAATGGTTAAGATATTCGCCATCTATTTTCAATCCTTCGTTGGTCCAGTCTAATTGATGGAAGACCTCTTCTAATGTAACCAGTTTTGGAGATATCGCGTCTCCTTATCGTACCCCTTTGCTAGTTGGGAATTCTAGATTTGTTTTATATATCATTTCTCTTGCTTCTTTGTATATATTGGCAAGAGTTTCTATATAAAGCATGCACATTTCTTGTTTCGTAAGGCTTCTATTATTGCTTTAGGACATATCGAATCTAAAGCCTTCTCGAAGTCTATAAAGGCAATATGGCTATAGTTTCTCTTATTGTATGTATGTGACCAACTCTGCTGAAGCCGTTTCTAAAGCTTGTAATGAAAAAATGAAGCAACTAGCATGATAAATTTTAAATTTACTAATTATGCTCAACAGGCAGATAATTTTAGATAGAATGTTTAACGTTTGTTAAATCCTAAACACTTTTTTTTGAAAAGTGCTGTTCATTTGTAAAACAAAATTGGAAAAAATCCTAAATAATTCAGGCATCATTTATGTGCCGCCGCATTGAAAATTCTCTGAAAGCATTTTTCAATTTTACAGTAAATCAAAATGGAAATGGTTCAGAGTTGAAGTTTTTCAGTATTTTTACGAATGTACGCGTTTCCTGAAAAACGAATAAATTGAAAAATAAAATCTTTTATGCACTTGCAGAAAAAAATAAAAGCGTTTCCTGTGTGCTTGGCCTAAGGGCGCTGTATATCAGTGGTCCAAAAAATGCTCTTCTATTTATGTTCCTTTTAAATGATATCAGATTCGAATGATTTAGGTATATGTGGGAAGTTTTTAACAGAAAATATAAAACTACGGTTCGCTAGTGTTTCGCAATGACAGCGATATATCGGATTTTTCATTCTTTCAGAGCATTCCGCATGTAATAATTGTGATTGTATTGTAAATTTCATTAAATTTGCTTTATAGTACTTAATTATTCATCTCAAATGTCATACAAAAAGTGTACACGATGTCCTCCTCCTCCTTCCTGATACTCTATGAGAGTTTGGTGAGATGATGAAGCAATCAACAAATGTATTAACAAACTACTTATTATACTGGTTTTAATTTTATTTTCAGATTCTTCATCTCCTAGATCACCTCATAGCTCTGACGGGGGAAACCCCGACGACCTCTTGGCGCTGTTGCCGTCTCCCTCGAATTTCCCTAAACCTTCCTCCGTGATACGGAGACTGAGGCAAGAAAACGAAAGGTAAACATACAAATAATAAACTTGATTACTTTTTTTTTTATGTAAAATTTGATATCTGTGTTGTATAGTTTTTTTTTATAAAATTCGGTATGTATATCGGTCTTTAGGCGTCAAAAATGGCTTACAAGTAATGATGGAAGATAGTCACCATATAATTTTACATATAAAATAACACCGATCTTCATTTCCAAGCCAACTTTGACGTAGTTTTTTTATTATATGATTTTCCGGTTGAATACAACTATACATTATTGCAGGTATTTTTGAATTAATGAAAAAATACGTACATTAATCTAGTTAATTATATAAAATGTTATTTAGGTTGCAAGCTGAAGTAACTAGATTGAGACGACTGGTAGTGTCTGGTGCTACAGGATTATTAAATGAAAGAAAAGCTCTTTCTGAAGATCCATCAGCGGATGCAGCTTCACAAGACTTAGAAATGGAGCTTCAACTGGCCAAGGAAGCCCTATCAAGTAAGTTAAAATGTTTATATTAATTTTAGATCTTCCATGTGTTGCTTTTACATCTAAGAATCTGATCTATTAACAAAAATTGATATAGTTGGCTAATCGATAATTTGTTTTAGCATCATTCAGTACCAATCACTAATCCTCCTAAAATCTTCTAAAACAGAGTATTGCTAACTCTTTCAATCATTCTTAATCACTTTATAGTTTATTTGTTCATTTGTATTACTACTGAAAATAATCATGTATTTTGTCGATAAAACATTCATTAATAAAAAGATACTTCTCTAATAGACCCATTCATATATTTTTCTTTATTTTTCTCCAAAAAATACACAACATCAGTGTTTCTCTCCACAAGAACTTCTCATCTTGCTTATTTGGCTTATAAATATTTATGAACCCTTTTTCCTCGGCCAATTTCAGCACTGAAAGCGGACAAACGGCGTTTGAAAGCTGAAAAATATGATTTGCTGAACCAGATGAAGCAGCTGTTTTCCACTTTGGAAGACAAGGAAAACGAGCTTCGAGACTTTATTAGAACTTATGGACAGGTAAGGGAGAAATTTGTTCGAACTAGCATAGTTAATTAGAAGTAATTGGATTAATTTTGCGAAACTTTATTAAAGAAAAGGTTAATATAAGATGATGAATTGAGTACTAAAACTTGAAACTTGTTTCTATTTAAAGTTTTAAGTAAATTAAATTTAAGATATTTTATGCTTGCTTTTATTCATAGATATGATTGTAGATTTATGGGAGGAGGAAAATCACCGCCAAGTTATCGATCTATTGTGTTCTCCTTTCTTGAGTTATTACATAATTTATTACAGTTTCCAAGCTTTGACAAGAGTAGTATCTGAGACAGTTTACAGAGGTTAATTCTTCATCTCCGATATCAGTCATACCAAACTTTATGACACGAATGGTTGTCGTCTCGGTGCACTCAGTGATAAAGTGTCCTGATATTTCTCCATTCTCTCCACATAATCTGCATTCGCCGTTGTTTCTTAGTTTTAGTCTATTGAGGAGTTCATTGAGGATACAGTATCCTGGTAAAAACTCTTGACAATCCGAAGATTGCTCTTACTTAAATCCAGGAAAATATTTGATTTCTCTCGGTTTCAACTCTTAATAAATTTGTTTGAGTGCCTTAGACAGTTGGAGGATGCCCATTCCAGGATAGGGATGGCGTTTTCCAGGTTCTTCAGTTCCGCTTTAAGTTGATTTCCGTTTGGAAAGCAGAACGGTTCTGGTCCAGTTAGATTATTTGCTTTTTTTTTATTTTTTATATCTGGGTACCAGCCCACCCAGAGATAGAAAATAATGAACCCAGAGTAGGAAAACTTTTTTTTTCCTTTGCCTAATTTGTTCAGCTTTTCTAGGCATGCATAATACATATTTTTCTCCGCGATTTAATTTTGAAATCTTTATTTAGTCTTGTGGTTTCTTGTCTACCTTTTGTCTATCTGTTTCAGCGGGTCAGAGATGAAACTTCCCTTCAGCAGCTTTCTACTGAACGAGAAGAAAGGGAAAGAGAAAGATGGAGTTTGCTGAGACATGCGAGAGATGAAGCTGAAAGAAGTCTGTCTTTAGCTGCACAACTGAATGCGAAGGAATTGCAATTGCAACAAGCCCAAGAACAACTTGCAGAGGTAATGTATGGAATCACTAAAAGAAAACATTTAACGGCAACAAAATAATTGTTTCCTCCCACACACTAAATTATTATTCGGAACTATTGATTAATCATCATTGGCAACTAGCTAGAGTCACCTGAAATAAGTTTAGGCTTTCCCGGACGCACAATTGCCGGTATACAGTTTCTCATCTCAAATCTTTACAGGGTGCTACAAATTTGAGGTACGAGCACTTGTGTCTCGGAAACCTTAATAGATACGAAGATGGTTAAATTGGGGCAAAGTTGCGCCTTGGGATGTTCATCAAGATGCCATCAAAAAAGTTTTAAAAATTTCAATAATTGCTGAGTTTTTTTGGAAAAAGCGGATTTTTTTGAAAATCAATAATTTTATTCTTTCCTGTTGTCCTTAGAAAATTAAAAAACTAATTGCACATTCTCATAGCCACTTTATTAGGGCTATCTGATAGTATTTTTAGATTTTTAAATTAACTGATAATTTGTGAGATACAGAGGCCAAATATTTTTTTTAAATACGGACCTGCATTTTTTATTTCAAGTATTGAAAGAACTCAGTCTCCTGAGTTTTTTTGAGAGTAGACCTCTAGTAACTTACAAGTTGGTTCTCTCGAAGGCAAATACTATGAAATGAACAAGAACCATTAATTTAATGTTACATTTTTTTCTTATTCCAGGCCCGAAGACAGCTCGCTGCTGGCGGCTGCCTCTCTGACCAGGAATCACTCGCCTCCCTTCCCCGGCACAGCATGAACGGTGGCGCCCTCACGCCCAGCTCGGGCGGTTTGCTCTCCGGCCATCTGGGTCTGCTACCGGGCGATAGAGGAAGCTGCAGCGCCGACTCAGGCGTGCGCGTCAGTTCGGACAGGGAGAGTGGTGGTGCCACTTCCGTAGCGGGGAATTTGTCGGACTCGACCACAGATGGTGCTCCTACTATAACGGTGGAGGGTAGTGTGAGGGATGTTGATTCGGTGTCGATGATGTCGGCCGTGCCTCCTCCACCAGCACATATGTATCAATGTGAGTGTTTTTGATTTGTTAGTTTTATTGGAAAAATAATTATGAACAATTAACAGTTTACTTGATTTCATATTTTCAATAAATAATTGTATAAATTTTAGTCCTAAAATCCTTCGTTTTGGAGACACAGGGTGTACAAGCTTCATTTTTATTTCGGGTTTTCATCCAAAAAATCATCGGAAATATTTGGAATTCTTAAACTTTTAAGTGCACTTTGATCAGCATCAAATTGCGCAACCGAGCCTAAAAGACACCCTGTATCATAAAAGATTGTAATATTTTTTTTTCATATTTTGATAGAAGTATCTTAAATAAATAACATTTTTTGCTGTTACTAGTTGTTAATCATTTAACTGTATTTCGTAGGTAATTAGGCATGATTAACATGTAGACTAATATTATTAGGTACTAACAGTTGGTTTGTTTTTTGCAGCAGTATCAACTAAAGACTGTAGCCCAACCTTATCTCCACTAAATGCTAACAATTTTCCTCGATCGGTAGATCACACTAGTTTATCAAGGTACTTATACAGTAGCGGATAAAATATATTTACTAATATTTTTTTTTCTTTTTGGTTTGAAATAATCTAATGTCAAAAACTTTATAAACTTATTTTTACAAAAAATAGAGAGAAATTTTCTAAAATACGAAACAAAAAAAGTTTTGGTGTGGTTTTATTTGTAATATTGATAATAAGTTTAATACATAAAAAAATATTTTTCTAAAACATATATTTTCCTTGGTAGACTATAATAATTAAACAAATTAAAAAAGACTTGAAATAAAGTCTAAAAACTTATTCTTTAGGTCTGTGGAACAACTGAGTTCGCCTCTGGAACAAGAACCAATAAATCTAGGCAAGAGGATCAAGCAACCTACGCGATTGTCTGGAAGAGGCGGGACTTGGGGCAGTATTTCCAGAGTATTCGCCCGATCCAGACACAGGAACAAGACGAATTCTCTACAGGAAACCAGTAAGTCGAATGTTTAATGATAATCTTTGGAGAAATTAATAAAAGTTGGCGTGCACTTCTCATTAAAGACGTCGAAACTATTAGCAAATTAAATTTCTAATAAATAAAATTCTGTTTGAAATATAGAACGCATTTTTTTTCATTTTTTATAATCTTATATCCTGGTTAAAAATATAGAGCACGCTTTCGCATGAAGTTAACGAATTAGTCGATAAAAAAAATTGAAATTAAATCTGCGTTTCTAGTTATTTAGCAAATTTGGTTGCAACAAAATTCCACAATCACTAAATTATCGGAATCAACTTTTCTCGTCTCTACTCAATTATTTTGAACAAGAAAAATATTATGACGAGCTCCTTTTGCCGTTAAACTGCACTCTTGGCCCTAAGTTCTTTTTTACAGATAATTTTAACAATTTTATGTCAACAATAATTATATTAATGATCTTCTTCTTTATTTCAGGTGAACATGGCTACGAATCATATCGCAGTTGGTCTCCATTAACGGAGGAAGGTTATGCAGAGAAGCTACGTCTTCTACGTGAAGCTAGTTCCATTCCGATGGAGAGATGGCGAGCTCCAACAGTTTTGGCGTGGCTAGAAGTCGCTTTAGGAATGCCTCAGTACGGAGCAAGGTGTTCTGAAAATATCAAAAGCGGAAAGGTAATCAAAAGGCAAGATTTAATAATAAAAGGCAAGGAAAAATGGGAATAAAAGATTGATTTTAGGGCATTCCTAATCTTTGTCCATAAAAATTTGGAAATATATATTGCCTTATATCACAGAATATCTAGCTACGCAACAGAAGCCTCGTTACATGTATAAAATTGTAGGTAGCAAAAGGAGACAGGCTTTAAAAGTCTGTCTCCAAATCAGATATTTTGATGTCGTAGTTTCGCTACTACATAATAGATGGTAATAAATTTAAAAGAAAACAGTTTTCTACAAACAACATTTAAAAGAATTTTGTGCAGTGTTGCCATTGTGTAATTCATATCGTAATACTTCCTGATAAAGCCTACCTTCAAATTTGTTACATCATTTAAACATATTAAAATAGATCAGAGCTGTTTTTTTCAGTTTGCCATGTTAGTTGGAATTAAATCTTATGAGCTAAATTACAATCACTTCCTGACGTTTGATTGTATAATTGAATCCTGAATTTTCATTGTAATTCGGCGACAATATAATAAGTATTGTTCTACTATTATGATACCACTTCCTGACGTTCGATTGTGTTCATACCAAGTTCATATTGTATAATCGGGAAAAAACGGCGTTAGCGATAGGTATGAAATGAATATCACTGTCATTTTATATGTAAATTTATATGGGAAATGTCATCGATCGTCCTTTTCCTTCCAACTGGACGCCGTTTTTTTCAGAAGCATATCAAGTGATACCATAATATAGTACTATATTACGATACATGGCGTTCGATTGGGTTTAAACTTGGTATACTATATCTTCAGTGACATTGTAATATCATGGTACCATGGAGCATATAAAGTGGTACCTTCTATAGTACCATATTTGATGACATAGCAATATTAGGTACATATCGGCAATAGGGATTAAACTTGGTATACTACGTATTTTCGGTGATATTGTAATATGATGGTACTATGATGCATATCATCTGGTACCATAATATAGTACCATATTATGTACATGGCGTTCGATTGGGCTTAAATATGGGATACAACGTATCTTGGGTGATATTGTAATATTATGGTACCATGGAGCATAATAAGAGGTACCATAAGATAGTACCATATTACGATACCATTTCCTGGCGTTCGATTGGACTTAAACTTGTTATACTACGTATCTTCGGTTACATTGTAATATGATGGTACTATGATGCATATAAAGTGGTACCTGAATATAGTACCATATTTCAATACCATTTCCTGGCGTTCGATTGAGCTCGTATTTGATATATACTTGCGTATTTTTGATGACATTGCATTATTATGGTACCATGAAGCATATCAACTGGTACCATAATATAGTACTATATTACGTACATGGCGTTCGATTGGGCTTAAACTTGGTATACTACGTATCTTCGGTTACATTGTAATATGATTGAACTATGATGTATATAAAGTGGTACCTTAATATAGTACCATATTACGATACCATTTCATGGCGTTCGATTGTTCTTAAATTTGGTATACTACGAATCTTCGGTGACATTGCAATATTATGGTACCTTAAAGTATATCGAGTGGTACCATAATATAGTACAGTATTATGATATCATTTCCTGGAGTTCGATTGGGCCCAAATTTGGTATACTTGCGTTTCATTATAAATATTTGTTTAATTAATAATTTTAATTTATTTTACGAATTTTAATTTATTGTTCGATGTCGTGACAGCAACTTTTATGCCGAACTAATATATTATTAATTGTACCTGTGTCACTTTTTAAAATCTACCTAGGTCTATATAAATAACGTGGCAAACGGAAGAAATTTGTTATTATAGTATTTTTTAGTCAGTTAACATTTTTTCTACTGCATTTTAATAAATTATTTCCATTATTATTAAACTTATATTTCATTACTAACGTTCCAGCATTAATAAATATCACTGCATCAATTGCCCTGTATATTATTAATTTTAAAGGTAATTAAAGGTATTTTTCTTAGTTAACATTATAAGGTATAGTGTATATTAAAAATGTATATGTTTTGTAATAATATACTTAAAACTATTTTAATAGCCAAAGGAATAATTAATTTAAGTGTATCTGACAAGAAAAGAAGAATAGAAAGAAACACATACTGCATTATACACAATAAAAAGAATGGGATGCAAATTCAAGTCTTTTTGAATCTGGCAACTGTGCATATTTAGCCGAGCTATAAGGCCGTCGACGAGCCGTCGATCCAAAACCGAAAGTTCAAAATTTCTAATTATATTCTGATTATGATATTGTCGCGCCATCTAGTATTCTATTTGTGCAATTTTAGCTCTTTTATTTCGAGTATTTTTCTGTTGCGTAGCTAGATATTCTGTGCTTATATCTTCTGCAATGTAGTTATACACGGTCGGCAACGCCTAGCTTTGGGTGTCGATTTTCGTTCCAGGTCAAAAACTTTCACAAACCCATGAAATGGGGAGGGGTTAAATGGTTATGTACAAAACAATTCACATTTTTCTCTCTCTGACTTAGAGCTCTTTCACACGAAGTCACTTTCACGGCCACTTGTGTACAACACCAGTGTCCGCCACCGTTGTCCGACCAGTTGTCCGCCACGAAAATAATTCATACCAAACCAAAGACACGACACAAAATGTGTGTGTGTTTGTGTGTGTGTGTGACTGGTGTATACACCTCAAATGAAAACAATGGACTGCTGAAACTAAAACAGCGTCCGGTAGTCGGGTCTGTGGCGAGGGCGAGACACTAGACAGTAGAGGTGGGAATTTTAGTTCTTTGGGAGGAACTAGTTCATTAGTTCTAGTTCCTCCAGAGGAATAGTTCCTTGAACTAGGTCTTTGGTTCACAATAGTTCCCGACTAACATTGACATCCCCGTTTCTTGGTAATGGGTTTGGTTGTCAGTCAGAACTATTCACAGTATGATCTGTATAATTTTTATAATGTACGAAATATAACGAGACGTGTAATTGCGTATGTTAAAAACATATAGGTAAGTTTTATTGCAGATAAAAAAATTAAAAAAGAAACTCAAATCACTTTAGAAAAAAGTATATAAAAAGTATATAAGTAGTAAATATAGTTTAAAAAACTATATCACAAATCAATTGGAGCAAATATTGGATAATACAAAAATTTTACGAAAACTTTCATTTTTTCTCACATCAAGCTTGTTTTTGTCAAAAAATTCAGAATATCTACTTTGTTTTATAAGGTATTTCTGAATTTTAGGGATCTAAAGTGAAACATTCTCATAAAATATTCAAAGAACAAACTAAAAATCAAAACAGTATCCACGACAATTTTCTGTGGTAATTACGCCGGTAAATACTGTGGTAATAGACAAGACCGAACCCATTGTCGTTGCATTGTATTATATCTCGGATCTGCCGACTGAATGGGTTCCCTTGAACTAGTCTTTTAATTAGTTCCTCTAGTTCCTCTCAGTCCTTTCGGTCCGGAACAGGTAACGTCTGGTACTCTCCACTCCCGCCTAGCACCGGCTACGATCGCGCTGGCCGATCCGTACACTAGTATTTTATCTAGTTCCTCTAGGTCCGGATTCGATAACATAAGGCTCGCACTCCTGCCTAGCATCGGGCTATGATTGCGCTGGTCGATCTGTCGCCGTCACCTCTGTCGTCGTATATTAGGAATAGGTCCCTAGAAACTAGTTCTTTGAGAAACCGGGAACTAGTTCCTTTCATTCCAGGGTTGGAATAGTTTATTGGAACTAGTTCGTTCACGAACTACGCCCCTCTACTAGACAGAGACTGCTCGCCACTAAAAGCAGCGTGGTCCGCAAAGTGGTTCATGTGTATACGTAGATTTTAAACAACGCTTTGCTAAATCTGAACATCGATGGCGAACTCCGATATCGGACACAAGTGGCCTCGTGTGAGAAAGCTCTTAAAAGATTATCATAGCAATTCACTCCTAAATATGTAGATACCGACCCAAGACTCTCTTTTGCCGATAGGGTATATTTTCCCAACTCATTATTTTAAAACATCAAGAAATAATTCTTAAATTTCTCCTCCAATTTTATTTTAATTACTTTTAAATTATAGCTAGTGTAAAAAAAACTTATTTACTAAGTTGATCATAACTCAGTAGGTTATGAATCACATTTTGATATTTTTTAAATTTTGTTACATTTTTCTTTATAGAGGTCATAGCAATTATAAAGTAACTTCTCAAATTTTATATATTTTTTTAAAATTTGTAAGCAATAGGACATAAATTTACATACATATTATATAAACAAGTATTTTTAAAAGACCTCTATTACACTTTCTAAACGAAATATAATTAAATAAAATCATATCTTTTATCATTTTGAAATACTTTTCTGCTGATCCTACATCACGTTCTTCTAAATATGTTGTCGGCGACGGTTTTAGTTCTTTAAAAATTTCACAAACACCCTAGTTCCTATCTACAAAATTGGCTCGTTAGGACCCCATAGCAAAATTAGCGAATCCCCTTATAGATTGGTCGTTTGAACGGGCAGGTGCTCCTGGAACTCAGTGACCTGGAGCTGGAGTGCGGCCTGGGAATCACCCATCCCATGCACCGGAAGAAGCTGAGGCTGGCTATAGAGGAGCACCGTCATCCGGCGCTGGTGAGATACCCTTGCATCGCGCAGTTGGGGCACACCTGGGTGTCCAGCGAGTGGTTGCCTGATTTGGGACTCTCTCAGGTAATATTTGTTTATGTTATATAGTGGTGTCATACGTTTCATCATACTTAAGTCCGGAACTACAGCTCAGGCATCTACAAGATGCCTGAGCTGTAGTTATGGGCATTGGTATATTAAAACATAAAATTTTATTACTAAAACAGTTCACTAATAATTACTGATCTGAATAGAAACTCACGATTCATTTTTAATACTCGTTCAGTCTTTGCCCACCTCTACCGAGCAATATTTTTATTTATGAAACCAGAACAATTTCGAACTACAAATGTTCTTATTTATCTTTAAAGGTGCGTTTACACGAGTCAACTGATCTAGTCACTCAAATACCAAACACAAAATTAGTTAATGAAGGGTAATGTCTATCTGAGTTCAAAAAATTACGATATGCATTAATGTATCTTGTGAAATTTATTTAATTTTATTTAATTAATTTCTTCAAAATTGATCTTGTTTAATAATAATAATTCTGAGAACAAATTTTTCCAACAAAAAATAATTTAAATTAAATTGGTTTGCATCCACCTGGGGCATCCACCCTTTTTTTTTGTAATATCTAGGATCTCCTAACTATAGCTTAGGTATTGAATTATTAGATAGTATAGTAAGTAGATCTGTAGCCCGTAGCTAATCAATTTTTAACCCTTTTACGTCTAGTTTTTTTATCGCAATAAGCTTTCTGGCAATTCTATTGAGGAAATTGTGGCATTTTGAATCATTGTCGCCATTTTGAATCAACTAGTAGAAGCTTTTTGATATGATATATGTAAACTCGGAATATATACTTTCCCCTGTGACTAGATCATTTTACTTGATTTGTGAAAATGCGCAAACAAACACCAAATGTCGCGTTAACAATTATAAAGTTGACTTAATACTACCTGTGATACTACGTACGTACTACTTAAAACTAAATAAAAATAAATATCAACTAATTTATTTTTATTTAGTACTCAGAGAGTTTCGCTTCAAATATGGTAGACGCCAGAATGCTTGAACACTTGAGCAAGAAGGAATTGGAGAAATATTTAGGCGTAACTAGAAAATTTCATCAGGCTTCTATAGTTCACGGCATCCATCTACTTAGAATAATGAAATACGATAGACAGGTAATAACTTTCTGAGTTTTTTCCGTTATATTTGTATAATTCTTATTAATTTATAGGCTCTAGCTTTAAGGAGACATCAGTGCGAAAATGTGGATGCCGATCCATTGGTGTGGACCAATCAAAGATTTATTAGATGGGCTAGAAGTATCGACTTAGGTGAATATGCTGATAATTTAAAAGGTAAGTCGATATAGTTTAGTAGCATTTTGATAATTTTTTCACTAAATTTAATGAAAAACTGACGATTCGGCAACAATGTTTCAAAAAATTTCACTAAATTTAGAGAAACTTTTTAAAACGTTGCAACATGTCATTTTTTCCATTTTTGCAGACACGTAACCTATGGACATTTATGCACGATTCTCACTATAACGTACTGTCACCGTCATGCGTCACGGTAAATATAATTGCCAACAATAAACATATTCACACTATCAGTAACGTCCACCTCCTATTTACTTCATTACTGTTTAGAGACTATGCGTCAACGTTACGTATAGTGAAAGTCGCGCATTATTGCCGATTTTTTCCGTAAATTTAGGGAAAATTACGACTTGGCAACATTGTTCAAAAAAATCCTTAAATTCAGGGTAGTTTTTTCAAAATGCGATAACATGGCATGTTTCTTCTTCACTATTTTTGCAGACAGTGGAGTGCACGGTGGTCTCGTTGTACTGGAGCCGTCGTTCAACGGCGATACAATGGCGACGGCGCTGGGAATCCCCGCCAGCAAGAATATCATCAGGCGCCATCTAACGGCCGAGTTGGAAGCGTTGGTACTGCCAGCCAGGTATGTGATCTTCTGCCAAATGGACGAGATCCAGGCGGAAGCGGCCCGGGTCATCGCCAAACACAATAGATGAACAATCAGATTTGATATAATATAGAAAGTACTAAAATATGCGTGGTGGAGCGATAGATCAATATCTGTTGTTTGCTAAAAATTATTAATGTTATTTTTTTTTTCGGTTGTTTATACAGTGAGGAAAAGTAATTGAAATTGAATTAGACGATTGAAAAAATTATCATAATTTAATTTGTTACGATTATCATTTATATATTTTTAATACCGTATGATCGAAAAAACGGCGTCAAAGACGGCGGGGAATGACAATCTGTGTTAATTTTGGCGAGGTCAATCTCTACACGTACTATTAAAAAATAAAAAGAAGAGTATAGGCCAAGCAATGACGTCTAGGGCTTAACCTCGCCACAATTATCATCGATTGTCATTCTCAGCCATTTTTGACGCCGGTTTTTTTCGATCGTATGGCACTAATTTTGAAGAGAAATTACATATATATTTTTTATTTACATTACTTTATACATTACAGAACAGTTTCCTCATTGCATAAGCGATCTAAATAATTTACTGCCTTGGATATTTTTTGTATTAATTTTCAGCATTTATTTGAAGCATATAAATCGTTTGCTAATTTTTTAAAAATACTGAAATTTGAAAAAATATGATATATATTTTCCTGTTGCATCAAGAAATTTTAGAAAATGTATTAAAATAATTTTAAATATGCCAGTACATGCATATACTAGATACATAAGATTAACCTATACATTGATGTGGTCTTAACCCAACATGTACAAGCAAAATGTAAACAGACTGGTTGATTTCACCACAGTTTTAATATACCTAATCTTTTTTTTAAGATTTGACATCATTGGCATACTTTTGGAATATTCATAAAAATAGAATAACTGCTAGTACCATGAGGATATATAATATGATATATCTTAAAATATTTCTATTATATATCTATATTTACTAAATATTTAAAACTAGTCAAACAAAACAAACGTCATATTACAACGAATACCATGCTCAATTTAAAATGAAAATTATTGTCGAATAAATGTTGAAAATAATATTCCAAATCATTTTTATCCTAAAAATATATATGTGCAATATACATATATATTCAGTGTTTATATTTTAACTTTTCACATACAGTTTATAATAGGTACAATGCCATTTTATATTTATAGTTTTTCTATAATATTGTATATTATACAATTTTATACAAACAAATCTTCAACTATAAATGCGACATACTATATGAAAAATAGCAAAATTTAGTATTTATAAACTGTATGTTTAAGTGGAAATTACAACACACAGTATATACAGGATGATTCATAAGTAAGGTAAAATATTTTAGAAGGTAACCATACAGATCATTTTAAATAAAAGTTTACATATTTACACCAAAGAAAATGATAGTTACAGGACTAAGAAAATTTAGGAAAATAATAAATGTTTAATTCAAATAGCTTTGGTTCGAAGTATCAAGTATCCCCTGTATATTTATATAAACATTATTTATAACATAATCTGAGGAATATTCTCACGAAATATTTTACATTACTTAGAGAACTCCCTGTATAAATACATTTCTTTCTATTCCAATTTCTAATAAGATAATTAATAAATCAAAATATACAGAACTATTATTAAATAAGTAACTTAATTTAATGAAATAGTTAAAAATAAATAAAGGTTGTGAAATGCAAACGTATTTCATTTCCTTGACGTGTTCCTATTTATACAGGGTGTCCCAATATTCCGTGGATGTAGAAACTACTACGCATTTTTAGAATGAAAATAAGATATTTGAACACTTAATTTACCTCTATACAAAAGTGCTTTTTTTGTCTGTTAGAGAGCATAAAAGGTACACAAACAAATACAACCGATATTTCTATTTGAATGAGATTTGGGAGACTATATTTATTTTTGATTGTAGAGCTCTACCGGACAAACGAGGCACTTTTGTATAGAATCAAATTGTGCCCAATTAACTAACATAACTTAAAAGTAGTTGGTCTTGGTCCACTGAATATTGCAAAACCCTGTATCTATCACGATAATATTTCTTTGGAATATTATCGTGATAGATTATATGTTAACCTTGTTTTACACACAAAAATATTAAATTTGGGGACACATGACACAAACATTCTATGTTATATATTTTGTTTTTTCGCTTACTATGCTTCAGCACCGCCTTCGATGTCAGTTGTTTAGAGCACACCATTCTAGAAGTTTTATATGTTCATAAAAGTCCTTTTTATAATATTTATATCCATAGAAATCTTGAAAGTAACATAAAATTGTTTGATCTAATCTATAAAGATACTATTAAAAAACACGGAAAAAATGTCTTAAAATATTTTATGTTGCTTTTCAGATTGGCAAGTGTTATGCTTGATATTTAAAGATATTTTTCGATAATTGCAACAAAACTAGAGCAAACTAATAATACAAATTCGAGTCCAGAAACACCCCAGAGTTTTTAACGTGACGAACTCTATACATATAATATGTATAAATTACTATACAGGAATTTTTGAAGCAGCCCATTTTCTTTTAATTTAGATACAATAAATTTGACTGTTTGAAGTTTTTTAATAAAAAGATTAGGAAAGGAGCATTATCGACAAAATTGGGAGGAGCGCGATGTGGGATTAATATGGCTGACTTAAATTTCGGTTCATCAGTGGCGTTCTAGTTTTATTTAAAACGTGTAAAAATATAATGTAGGATCAAAAAATTATTGGTTTTATGTTACATAGTCAGTAAATGTTATTAATTATTAAAATTATTAAATTAAAATTTTGTTGATGTCAAAAATATCAGATGCACTACTGAAATACATAATAAATAATATTAAATATGCTCAGAAAAGTACACCAAACCCGTAAAGTTTCAGAACAAATTCAAATATGTCATTTGAACCGTCAGAGAGAACTCTGTCAAGTATGGCGGTTTATGATGTCGATTACGTCTCTAATGCATGAATACATGAATAGCATTATACTCCTTTCTTAATCCTTTTATTCAAAGGGAAATCTTAACTAACTAAAATAATTAGAGCAGTTTTCGAAGATAATTGCCTTTAAATGTTTTTACAAAACTCGTTTTTGTATTTTTAAATTCAAAATTGACAATTAGTCTTCAGGTATCACAATTCGGACATATCTACCTATTTTTTTAATAATAAAGACAATACCTAAATGTTCTGTTTGGAATGTTGCTTGAATTTTGGAGTGAATAGGTGTTCTATTTTTCAGACATTTTTGTTTGAAGACAACAACTATTTATTAGAATAAACTTAATTAATTTTATATACAAAGATATATTAACTTTTAAACCTTGTCTTCAAACACTTGTTTTTTATGCATGAATAGGTGTTAGTTTAGATTGAATTATTCCTCAAAAATGTTTTTTTTATCTTTTTATATAAAAAATAATATTTATTTTATATTTTTTACTTATGGATGTAATTTACAAATTTTATTACAGCTACAGAAAAGTAAAAAAAAGTAATGTTTTCATTAGACTAAAAATATACTGATTAAACAGGACATCATTGTAGGCAGAGAAATAACATTACCAGTTCATGCTGTACTATGTACAATTACAAAAGTGTATCAGAATTTCAGTGACAGTTCTGACTGAGAGTCTTTGTTGAACGTGAAAATTAAAATATAAAAAATATAGCGTCTGGTCGAAAAAATAAAACGCGTCACAGTAGACTTTCAACCTCCCCGATTCCTATTTTTTACGCTATAAAATGCCAATTCTATATTTATGCCACAAAATATCGAATATTTCGACACTCTCAAGAGAATCAAAATTTATAGGGTATTTTCCGTTGATCTAAAACTATGAAATTTGGCAAGTAATACCGTCTTATACCGTATGATCGAAAAAAGAACAGCGTCAAGTTGGCTTGGAAATATGACGATCGATGACATTCCCCATATAATTTTACATATAAAATGACAGCGATCTTCATTTCATAGCCATCGTAGACGCCGTTTTTTGTTTCGATCATATTGTACTATAAGTATAGGGAAAACTCTGAAAGATATACATTTGTAATTAAATCATAAAAAATATACATATCCCCGGATCGTTAATCCTGTTCATACTACTTTCCAAGTTTCCATTCCGTTTTAGAGAGAATTAAAAAGAAACCTAAAATATAATTTAATTTTTAAAAGTGTTAAAAATCAAAACGCGTTTCTGTGATCATATAATTAATTCTGTTTGTAATATGTACCTACAAATTGGTACATGCCTCGGTGGCCGAATCCGGCTCCCTTTTTTATTTATTATAAATTGATAAAATTATGTCCAAAATTAATACTTCATTTAAGAACGAATAAGAGTTGATTGGTATGCCTGGAAACGACTATTTTTTATTTCAAATTAATATGTTTATAAATTTCGACATAGATTAAATACTTGTTTATTGTCTAGAAACTATTTACATTTTTTATGTTGTAGTTCCAAGTTTAACAAAGACCTACAAGCTGTTACTGTCAGTGCCAAGAACTGCGCATCGCCAGATATAGTAAAGCTTGAACTGAAATATTTTTCTCTACGTTCATCAATTTCATTCGTTTGGTTTGGTTCTGTAATATTTTCATTTAAAACTGTTTATTTTTTTAATTTAAATTTTCGAATTATTTTAAAAAAATCTTGGTTTTTATGAATATATATGACTATAATATCTCCGTGGACTATTATATTTTTGTGACAATTTTATTGCCTTTTATAGTTCTTACAGTTTTGAAGAGCTTTCAACAGTTTTTCAAAATAATCAAATTTTTGTTTCCTTTAATTTTTTAACAACTTTTATATATATACATAGAATGCTTGTGGATCCCGCACTGCTTTCTTCGATGTTTTTTTTGATTTTGCACTATATATATTACGCTAGATCCACACTAGTGCACTATGTGAGAGTACGAACCAAACAAAGGGTACCAGGCGGGTCTCTGGGGCGATCCTTTTCGAAATCTTGCGGCGGTCTTACCGCCCCATCACCATCTCAGATGAAGGACGCCACTGCCCTTGTAATCAGCGACCCTAAGAGGACCAGTATTAAGGTTAGTTTCATATACATTTATATATGATGATCATACATAGTTTATATGTGATATCATATATAATTTTTATAATGTATCATATAAAAATTACAGATATGAATCATATATAAAAGCCTATATAAAATTATATGTGACGATCATAGATAAAAATACCATATATAAATGATACATGATGATCATTTATCAAATAGATGATGATCATATATAAAATGTCATACAGTATGTCCCGGGATTGTCTTTACAAGAAGCAAAACTTTTTCATTTTTAAAATTTTGAAGAAATTTCATTCTTCATAAAAAATTGCTTGTTCTAAATGTTTAATCCCGTTTATACTTTTCCAAATTTCCATACCGTTTTGGGGAAAATTAAGACATGAAAATATGGTTCAGTTCTTTCCTAAAAATCAAAAGGTATTTGTATGGGAATATAATTTCGATTTTGTTCTTTGACAAATGGTTATTATTAATTTTGATTAACGTCATATTTTTTGCTCTTGTTAAAATCTCACATTTTCCGATAAATATTATCGTCCTTTCCGTAACATTGAACTAAATATATTTTGTGCTTCTTTAACCTTTTAGAACAGCAAAAAATATGGCGTTAATTAAAATTCTACCAATAACAATCTATCAAGAATGAAAATGAAAATATATTACCACTCAGAATAAAGACAATTTTTTTTAATTTTCTCTAAAACGGTATGGAAATTTGGAATAGTAGAAACGGGATTAACGTTTTAGAACAAGCAAACATTTTTATGAAGAATGCATTTTTCTCAAAATGTCAATAATAAAAAAGTTTTTCTTCTTGTAAAGACAATCCGGGGACGGACATACTGTATATAAATTATATATAAGCAACTTATATAATTTATATGATGCTCGTATATAATATATTATGATGAGCATATATACTATATAAATTATATATGATGATCATTTATAATTTAAATATGATATATTATATATGTGAGCATCATATATAATTTATATGTAATATTTTTATATATGATCTATATATCGACGTTTGAGACTTTATATTGAATTGTTTACTAATAAAATATGGATTTTGGACTATTAATATAATTTCTTCTGTCATTTTTATTATCACTTTTTTCTGAAACTAATATTTTTTAACAGAGATAGGATTGGCTAAAATATATACATAAACACACTGCACTTGAAAACATCGGTATTAACATAAAAATATTTTTATTTTAAAGAAAATAATTGTATTATTCTTTGTTGTGTCATCTAGGGTTCTCTAAGTCGAGCATTCGGTTTGTCCAAACCCAAACAAATAACCGAAAAAGAAAAAACCTCCCCTACATCAAGTTCAGAGAATTCGTCTGTCATCAGTCGGATTAGTCCACCCTTGCCGTATTTTACAGGGAGATCTACAAAATCTGGAGGGGAATCTCCCATATACGCTCAACCATTTGCCCATCAGTATCCGAAGAATATTTACCAGAGAAGATCTGAAGACTATGACATGTATACATGCAGGTAAGTGTGATTGGAACATAGTTCTATGGTATAAAAAATATGATACAATAAATATGAAAAGAAAACATAATTTGTCTCGCTTTGTCTTGTTAACGTCTGACATAGTGCATGGCAACGCTAGATTGAATGATTTTGCAATTTTTAAATGGGATATCCTAAATAGGATATATCGGCTCAGGAAATATGCCCTGAGCTGATGCATAAGCTCGTATATATATCCTTCAATACTGGGAAGAGTATATGCGGTATATATAGTATTTCCGAAGTCAATTGGAAGTAGTGAGACTCTTAATTCCTTAGTCTCGACGGTGCCGACAAAAACAGTGCTGAAATTAAGAGTCCCAATCTATTCCAACTGACTTCAGATAAACTATACCCGCCAATGACTAAAGAATACAAGGACAAGTAACGCCCATATACGGGCTGCAGCAGAATATTTGTTACGTTAGACGCCATTTTGTTGGTGTCAACGAATGAGTCATCAGCTGGTGATCAGCGACAATTTTAGCGATTTTTAATAATTTGTGTGTAATGAACTTTGTATAAACTTTATTACAATGGTGATTAGTTGTTCAACTTTCAAATGTAAAAGCCGCAGCGATAAGAAAGAGCCAAGAGTTACGTTTCATAGGTAAATAAACAGTCTACAACCTAACCTACTCCACCTTTTTAGTGTTTTCTTAGTTTTCTTATTGAATTCAATAATTATTTTTCTGATATTATATGTACTTGATGTGTGCTATACGTCGATACTAGTTTTGTACCTTTTGTTAAAATTTTAACACGTTTTTTTCGTATTTAATTAGTATGATACCACCCTATACACCATAGGCGTAGTCAAAACATTTATCAAAAAATATAAATATCTGTTTGCACTGTTTGGTGACATGGTAACAATAAGCTCGGGTGTTATTTGTCCTTGGTTTTTGTAGTCATTGATACTCGCATTGTATTCCTTTACTATGTGTATGGTTATTGGACTACCCTATAAAAAATAAAATATACTTTTCAAATTTTAGTTCTATAGACGAATACGATATCACCAGAAGTATTCAGAGCATTCAGTCTGAAAGCAATTTCTCTAGGGAAGCTAAGGCTTTTCCTGAGGGAAGCCTCAGAACAAACAAGAAGCAACACAGAAGGGTGAAGAGTATCAGTGATATAGATGCCATTCACGTCGAAGGAGTCAAAATCTAAATAATTCATCGACTAAATATATTGGTCAAGTAAACAATCGTTTATTCTACCACAAAAAATAATATATTAGTTTGACCAAATTCAAACAAAGAAACAAGAAATTGTGATGATTCATACAACAAGTACTATAAAAATTTTTCAAAAAAAAAGGAAAATTTTAGATAGATATTGTTTAAAACAGAGCATTTTATATATTAAACTTTAGCTCTATATTTTGAGTAAGAATTATATGAAAAAAGTTATATTACTAATACTTATCTTTAAAAATATCAACTTACTATAAGGCTCAATAATGAAATTATAATTTTTTAAACATTAAATTTCAGAATAGGTATGTTAACTCACAGTATTATTATCATCACTATAATTGGTTCTATTTTATTGTAATTTATATAATAAGATAATACTATATTTGCATAGGTATAACAGCAAATAAAAATGATATAAAATCAGGTATATAGTGCTTTTCAGATATTTTACAGAAGGCTGTAATTGATAGAACATCACTGCCGCTTATTAAATATCAAAAAAATTAAGTATTTTACTTCAATAAGTCAGTGTGCACTAGGTATTTCTATATTGTAAATATTTTCCTCATTTTCATGAAAACTAATTTATATAATCTAGAATAATTCATTGTACCAAAAAAATAAATAAAACAAATTTTATTTAACCCATTTTAAAAGTAGTCTGCTCTTTAATTTGCTGCTAAAAATTACGACAATTTAACATAATAAAACAATCATTTTTAGTTGTAAGTTTTATAAGACTCCTAAATACTTTTTTACAGCAGTATAGATAATACAAGCTTTGTCACTTTTATATTAAAGATCAGTATTTTTAAGTTACAAGTTAAATACAATTTAGTGTTTAAGTCTAATTTATTCATAACCATATTGTGATATCGTGAATTTTTTGTTACCGTGTTTGTTTTTCAAAATAAAATGTATGGTAATTATTTCTCTTTGGAATTTTTATTTAAAATTACTCCATGACCATTGAGCCCCATCTACATTTCGAATTTCAGCATCCTAGCTCACGTAGGGCCCGAGTTACGACGCTCCGTCGTAACTTCCGATCGTTACCACTTTTCCTGACGCTAGCTCGTGTGTCACGGCCTTGAGTTTTTACTCCCACCGCGTGTAAAGAAAGAAGTTTCACTACAAAAACTTTATTAAAAATTTCCACTATTAGTCTTCTAAACTTCCACTAGACGTCGCTTCACTATTGCTGACAGTAAAGTCCCTAGATATATAGCTGACAGGGAGCCTAGATCAGAGACTCCCTGTCAGCAATAGCTATGAGCAATAGTGAAGCAACGTCGATATAACGACATTGAAAAATTGGCGCTGGCCACCTTTTCGGTAGATTATAAAGCATAAAAAAAATCACGAAGGTACACCACGCAGCCACGCAGCATGCTGCAGAAACAATTATTATGGTGAGGTCAGAGATGGGCACACCCGGTATATTAAAATTTAGGTGAATACCCGATATTTTGCATCCGGTAAAGAGCTGCAAGCTCAGTCGTTTTCAAAATGATTTTTGATTTCTCTTTATTCCGAAATTTAAAATGATTTAAGTAATTAAAAAAAGCTGAAATTTTTTAAAAGGTTTAAGTTAATTTAAAAAAGATTTGTCTTTAGAAAATATTTGTTAATGTCCAAGATTTTATGGTAGGCAACCAATAAAACACGTCTAAAGTGATAGTTTTATATATCTGTGGTTATTTTAATTTAATATTTTCTGTGGTTTTGTTTACGTTTTCCTAACCTTACTTCTTACTTTCATCAACATGTCCTCAACGCAAAACGTGTTTTCTTTTATATAAAACTATTATTTACAAGCAGAATAATGGACGCTTACGATGTATTTAAGAAACTTACAAAAGGAGCAATATTTAGGAAGAATAAAAATCCGAAGCAAACTTTAAAACCAGTAAGTAAAATTAATATATTTATACAAACCAAACATACCGCTAAACATCTTACTTTATAGGCAGTTTCTGAAGATAATAATATTTCTGTGAAAACTAGTAAAGTATCTAAATTTTTAAATAATGGAGAAACAAGCCAGATAACCTTATTAAGTGGTATGAGCCATGAACCCAAAACTGGCAAAAAACGAAAACTATTAGACGAGAATGAAATACAGAAGAAAAAAAGACTTCTTGAACAAGAAGAGGTATTTAAAAATATCACTTTGTATGCATGAAAGTAAAATTATGTGTTTTTTTAGATCAATCATTACAGAAATATAAATAATATATCGGTAGTTGGTAGGCATGTACCGAACCCTGCAAGAGCATTTAGAGATTTCAATATTGATGAAGATATCAAACAAAATCTTATTAAATGCGGTTATACTGAACCCACACCAATTCAAAAACAAGCTGTTCCAATTATGCTACAAGTAAGGATAATAATTTTGACAAAAATAAATTAAAATTTACAAATGTATTTGTCTTCTAGGGCAGGCAAATGCTGGCATGTGCCCCTACGGGTTCAGGAAAAACAGCAGCCTTTTTAGTCCCGATTATTCAGGAACTGAAAGGACCACAGAAACAAGGCTTCAGAGCTCTGATCTTGTGTCCCACTCGAGAATTAGCTAATCAGTCTCAGAGGGAGTGTATGAAACTCTCGGAAGGTCGGGGGTTTAGAATTCATACTATAAGTAAAATAAAGAAGGCTTTGACACAGTATGGGCCTAAAAGTAGTAAGAAATATGGTAAGAACAATTTATACTAAAATCAATAAAAGTTGGCTTGCATATCATCAAAATATCTGATTAATAAATGTCGCAATTTTGCCCCAAGGCTTTTTTTACTTTGACTTCTTGACAAATAAAATTCTTAATTTTGTCATTGATTTTTCACTTCTATTTTAGACATAAGTTATATACACATATTTTTTTATATTGACATTAGTCGTTAAGTTATTAGCAAGTCTTTTGAATGAAAGCTGAACAATATAAAGTTCTATTTGGTTTACATTAGTCCTCAATTTTTGTGAGATTGTACTTACCGTTTGTAAGTTGATATTGAGCGCAACTGAAACATGCTGAAAGATCTACGTTGTATTTCCAATAAAAGCTGCTAATCTTAAGCAACAATATCAATTTTACCTCTCTAATGCAGTTTAACGGCAAAAGCTGTAACTGCTATAACTATTTGCTTAAACTGCTAACAAAGCCTTTTTTAGAGGCCAGTTTGTTTACTTGAAAGAAAGTGTGCTCTAAGTTTCAAACACAGATGCAGGTTAAACCTAGTAACACAGTAACAGTCTATGTTAAAAGGTTGGGTCTTGAGGGTGAAGTGTAATACTTTTTCTATGAAAAGTTTGTAGAACTTAGCCACAATAGACCCTCGCGGCCGCAGTGGGTGTCTCACTTATAACCAATTGTAGTAAACACAATAAAGGTTTCAATCAAACTTTTATTTAGGTACTAGAAATTTAATTTGGTAATAGTTTTGATGTCTTTGGTGACGCGCACGCCAACTTTTATTGAATTCTTTATATTTTCAGATTATAAGGCACATGTATTATATCAGATTTTATTATTTATTTTAGATATTCTAATAACAACTCCTAATAGATTATGTTACTTGCTTAAACAAGATCCCCCGGCTATTCAGCTGTCGAAGTAAGTGACATTTTTATTGAATTATATTGAAGTATTTTTAAAAAAATGGTATTTTAGCGTGGAGTGGTTGATTATTGATGAAGCTGACAAGCTGTTTGAAGATGGTACTAGAAGTTTTCGAGATCAGATGAAGGAAATTCTTGTTGCTTGTGATAATAGTAATAAAAAGATAGCTATGTTTAGCGCTACGTATACCCCGATTGTGGCAAAATGGTGTGTGCACAATATGAAAGGATTGGTCAGGGTGACAGTGGGACAAAAGTAAGTATAAAAAAAAATAAAGATAGAATAAGGCATAAAAACGGTAAAGTCAAGCCCCCAACACATCATTTACTTGGCCCCAACTTTTCTTAATTTTTTAATGGCGCTTACTGTCAGTTGGCCTTAAGAAACTTATAATTTATTTTTAGATTAAGTGTACATGATTTTTAAATGGTGTAGTGTAAAATTTGGGACAACATATTTTTTTGGAAATATATTTGCTTGTCTGGAAACGTTCTATTTTTTTTTTAAATTTTTCTGTAATTAGTGGTCATTTTTGACAAGCTTTATGTCGATTTCTAGTAATTGACGTGTCGGGTTTGACCTCGCCAAAATTATCGATTTTCATTCCCCAGCCGTCTTTGATGTCGTTTTTTTTTTCGATCGTACGGTATAACCTTTGGTTCTTTGATGTCGTTTTTTTTTCGATCGTACGGTATAACCTTTGGTATAATCAACAAAAGTTATTTACAATCTAATATTCCTATTACGAATTTATGTCTAATTTATTTGGGCTGGGTTGGTTACCCTTAATTACCCAGGTACCAATACCAATACCCATGCTGGGGGTTGTCTTATATTTCGTGGATCCCTTTATAGAGACGCGGAACCAGAGTAAGTAAACCTGTGAAGAAAACTGAAAAATCTGTGAAGTAAACCGACGAGTAGCGACAGTCCCGTTTTCAATTTTCTTTGCGGCTGCGCGAAATAAGTAGGTTATCTGTCATATGAAGAAGCGAAGTTGCCACTGTTGCCATTTATCAAATATCTCTATATACTTTATTTCAAGTATGCCTCAGGCAACGAATCAGTTTTTTAATTATTTATTAGCTGTAAGATATTTTATACATTCAAATTTAGAAATAAGGATAAAACAAAACAAAAAAAATATGTATAAAACTTTATAATTAATTCCACTTCAAATTATGAGCAGTGTATACCATGTTTATAGGACCACTTTATAAGTTGAGCAGTTAAATATGCAGCATGTCTATCTGTCAAACACGTCAAAAGAGAGAGAAAGAAAATTTTTCCTACTACATCAAAAGAGCCGACGGTTTCTGTCGCTACTCGGCGATCTACTTACTCTGGCGGAACACCAAGAACGGTAAACTAATAGGATTGCTCATTCTCAGAAGACACATAAGACGTACGTTCGCCTCTTCCCGCGATTCAGCTGACAGGTGTGACGTCATTGTAGTCCTTGTCATGATAGTATGTATTATTAGTTGCCTATGATAAACTTATAAAAATAACAGCTGAGAAATTTTGAGTTAATTATTTTGTCAATTTTAAATGTGAAAAAGGTGTTTTTAAAGTTTTTAGAGCTATAGAGTGTATAAATACGTTCATTTTGTGTTGTGGATTGTGACAAAGTGCTTACTAAGTGCCTACTATATTGTTTATTAATTATTTTAAAGCAAAATATGGAAGTACTCTAAAAAGAATGCCTGCAAAAGGTGATGCTGGGAACTGCTGTTCTTAAAAATGCATTATCCGAGTATTTAATACGATTTATACAGTTAATTTTCTCTACTGCATGCATATAAGGTGTTTAAATAAATAAACTAAATAATAAACGTTTTGCATCCGGCAACCAATAATGCACGTGTGTGTATTATTGGTTGCCGGATAAGGACTAATAATCATGACAAGGACTACAATGACGTCACAAAGCGAGGAGTTTTCGCATGCACCTGGCGGACACTTTTGGCTGAATGAGCAGTCCTATTAGGTTAACTGTTCTTGGCGGAACACACCCAAGGTTACTTATTTACAGATTGCCTCATAACTTTTGAACCAATAGAAATCAGATTTAAACATTTTGAACCGATATGAAATCATAGATAAGGAATAAAAACTAAAATGCAAAGGACAAAGAGAGATAAATGTGGTAAAGAAAACAAACATCCAAGCGACTGTCGGACTATCGGCAGTTTTTATCCCTTTATTTTATCTATGATACATCCTGTGACGTAATTGATGACGTTTCCGATAATAGCGGATCGAGTTACGAGACAACCTTATCTTTTAATAACCTTGGAACGCACAAGCGTTTACTAGAAAATTCCACCTGACGTCATCGTCCTCGGTTTGCCATTAGTTCAGTATTTTTTAGACAATATCGAATATTCTCGTGTTTTCTTTTTGTTCTGCGACCGCTAAGTGTTCCGTTGCAATACATTTTGACTGAACATATAAGACTGACATGTAAACCGTTATGTGTAGACGAGACTTTAGATATGCGGTGCAATTAGGCGTTTTATTTTTTTTAAATTAAACAAAAAGATACGTTTCCACGGCACTGACATTGAATTGCTGAATATAAATCACCCACAACAATAGAGCTGGTCAGGTATAAAAAAAACGACAATAACCGAGAGACATTTTTGGTCATAATTCTCTCCTAAAACCAATGCCTGTGACAGTCGGGGGTGCTGTAAGTTAAACGTGCCTCTACCGCATTGTCCGGGACCTGATACTGAGCGTAATGGGGCACACGAGTCCGTTTCTAAAGTTTAGTAATTTAGCCAAGCGGTCGAGAGGCTGTATCGCCGCTGCCGCTGCTAGAAACTAGAACAATTAATTAACCCTATTTTCATTCATTTTGAAGATTATCTTTGTCGCAGACTGGTATGTCTAAATGATGTGGTTCAAGGGCTAGTATTTTTAAAGGGGTACAATATAGAGTCTATTTGCTCTAAAAACTTACTAAGTTTGCTTTTAGAGGAATAACTACGATAACATTATAGCGTTTATAATATTTATAGGACACCGGACACAAAATACATTGGAGCAATGCTAAAATTACGATATGAAAATAATAACAGGTGTAAAAAAAAATTTAAAACCCATTTTTAATTCAATTCGTTCAAGTAAGTTTCATTCATGTTAAGTTTGTACATTTTCAAATTTCCAGTCCAGTAAATGACGTTTCTGAAATTATTGTAGCTGCTTTTCGAGGTAGAACTCCACATAAATGCCTTTTAAAATGAAAACATCCTTTTGAAAAGACAATCATTTTATGCAGTTAACAGGAAAGGAAACATTTTGAGCGTTTGATTTCATCTAGCTAATTTTTGTCACATAATTATTATAGGTTTATATCTAGTTTTAATTCTGTAATAATTAAACTATGTTTTAAACGTGTATCTTTTTATTGCTGTTGAGTACTTTACTCGACAATCTTTAATTTTTTTAAATTAATAAAAGATATATCACACAGCCACCTAGATTTTTTCAAATAATAAAGATCTACTGACGCAAAATCATAAAAATTAATATCTAGGAAAATCTTTGTCTGAGGGGTAGGCAACCTTAATAATATTTTGAAGATATATAAATTCCCCATTGAACACCGGAAAATATACTGGGCGTTCCATTTAAAATAATGGAGTAATTTGCTTTTAAAAGTGACTAATGTTCCATATTAATTTTGTCTCACCCTGTATAACTTTCCGGGTCAAATTTCAATTTTGTTTAACATACAATGGTTACTGTAATTAAATATCAGGCTATACAAGGTCAAATAAAATTTAGGTAGCTGTTATCGAAATTTAAAATTTACTCTTCATTTTCACAAAATGTGAAATATATCAAAATCCTTAGATTTTAGGTATATGCGTCTTTAATAAAACTCAGCTTTATTTTTTTCCTAGAATCCGAAAATCCATGAATAGGGTGTTCCATTAGAAAAAACACCACTTTCATGTGTAGGTAACTTTTTTTGGGGACACCCTCTATAATTCTATATATTTTTATAAAATGCTTTTTTAGTTAACCTACATAAGCTCCCAAAATTTCATTTCGATATAAACTACCGTTCTCCTTGGAGCTTCCGCGGCGTATGAGAGGCGCTACCCTGTATACTATGTATAATTTATATAGAACCTTACCTTGGCTTTTAGCTCCATCTAAAGTTACGTAGGTGAAGCAGGGTTGAATAAAAAAGTGTTTTTCCTCTTGTAAAGACCACCCGGGAACATACTGTAGATTAAAAAAATATTTCTAATTGACTGCGAATTTTCTAAAACAATTGAAATCTGATATAGGAGGCATGATATATGTATTTTTTTACGTAACAATGGCTCACCAATTATTCACCCTCACACTACACGTAGTTTTTGTGTTTTCAACCATTTTCCCATTCACCATACTCTTTCATATCGATATTGTTCCTCTCCGCTTACTAAAAACCAGTAATTGGCCGGCATTATATCATCTGAACGGCTCTTTTGTATTGCTACACAAAAGCCAATTTTTTGGGCCACCGCGGAGAGATTTATTTGAAATTTCCTCGGCAAAATAATCTACCAATAACAAGGGGCAAAAGATAATTTCGTATTGTATATAGTTGTGTTTTTCTTTGATTGGAAAATATAAGAAAATAAGAGTTAATTATCTGTTATTTTCTCTCTTCTTGTTTTCTCTATCGCAGTTCTTTATTAAATTTGTCATATTTTAATACTTGTATTAGTGAGTAAATTAATAGTAAATTTGATATACCGGATTTTTCTCGAGGATGAGATTTGATATATGTTAGTATATGACATAAATTAGGATTAATTGACGTATTCAATTCCTAATATGTTTTCGGTCACTTCCTGTTTAACCGGAAATTACTACAGGGTGGTCGAAATTGGTCTGTTTTAACAGAGAAAACCTATTTCCTGACTAGATAGAGCAAAACCGACATAGATGTCATGGGCTCGATTTCTGAGGCACGTTTAATGGCGTAAACCGCCTGTTGATATTTTAACTACCAACTGAGATACAGGGTCTTTTTGAATTTTTTACCATTTTGAAAATTGCCCATAACTTTTTAATTTAGCGGAATAATAAAAATCTGTAACACTGTTCTTAAGGCACTTTCTTAAGCACAATCCAGTGGCGTAGTCAGCTTTTTTCTATACTTGCTGTTTTTGTCAGAAATAATAAAAAATATAATTTTTTAAATAGAAATCATAGTTGGCTATGAACTTAAAAAAATGCTGGCATTTAACCCTTTCCAACGATATAAAGTTATGTGTATTTATTTCTAAGAATGAGAGAAATATTAGGTTTTTTATCTTTACATCGAAGCGGGCCTTGATTTTGTGTTGACCTATTTGCCTAATTATTTTTTATCACAATATAATATTCGATATTATTATTTATCTACATAATTAAAGATGTTTGAAAAGGTAAATTAACATTCTATATTATTATTAGTAAATACAATTACTGAAATAGATATAATAAACAAAGAACAAAACTAAAAAACGTATTTTTTGAGTGACGAATAGAGTTTTCTAAAAAAAAATCATCAAATATGTTCAAACTGAACACCTCCTTTTTGAATACACAATGAACATCTTTTGCGCACAGAGTTACAATGATTTATTAGGCGAACTGGTGTAATAAGTCCAAAAGTTTGCCTAGTAGCCTTCTGCAATTCTTCTCTGAAATACTTCTGCTCTTCCCTTATATATAAGATATTTTAATTTCCCCCATAAACAAGTCGAAAGGAGTTAAATCACAGGACCTAACGGGCTAAGATATGGGGCCCCTTGTTCTAGTCTAAATTCTCCATTTAATAGTTCAGTTGTAACCCTGGAGTTTTAATTGTAATTGGTAGTATACTAATATAGAATATTGATACCTTTTCAAAAGTCTTTAATTATGCAGATAAATAATAATATAGAATATTAAATTGTGATAAAAAATAATTAGGCAACTATGTCAACACAAAATCAAGGCCCGCTTCAATACAAAGATAAAAAACATAATATTTCTCTCATTCTTAGAAATAAATACACATAACTTTATATCGTTGGAAAGGGTTAAACGCCAGATTTTTTTTAAGTTCATAGCCAACTATGATTTCTATTTAAAAAAATATATTTTTTATTATTTCTGACAAAAAGAGCAAGCCTAGAAAAAAACTAACTGCGCCAACTGGATTATGCTTAAAAAAGTGACTTAAAAACGTTTTTACAGAATTTTATTATTCCGCGAAATACAAAAGTTATGGGCAATTTTCAAAATGGTAAAAAATTCAAGAAGACCCCGTATCTCAGTTGGCAGTGAAAATATCAACGGGCTGGTTTACGACGCCATTAAACGTGTCTCAGAAATCGAGCCCATGACATCTATGTCGGTTTTGCTATATCTAGTCAGGAAATAGGTTTTTTCTTTCGACCACTCTGTACAACTTTTGATTTTTAAATGGCACCCTGGGTATTTTTTTACTTTATTCAATAGAAAATGACACTCTGAATAGTAGGCATATCATATGTGAACTTTTGACATTTTTGCATCGTATTTTAATTTTCAATCTAGAGTGCCATGGCTGTGTTAAAAACACTAATTTTTAATCAAGGAGCCGAGCCGTGGAAAAACAAATTTGATCGTCTAATGTTTTTCGTGTCTTGTCCTGGCTGGTTAAAAGATGCCCAAATCGTATTTTTAATCATATCTCAATTTTTTCTGTTGGTAGACCCACTACAGCTTTGACAGTCTATCTGTCTTTGCTTACTAGGTCTGCAATGAATTTTGGCGAATGTTCTACTGTAAAATTTTTTGCCTGTCTCTGCCTTTGTGAATTTCTTCCCCATTCTAGAGATTTGCTGGCCACCAGGTTGGTATTGTGACCATTCTTGTTTAAATTCCTGTGTTCTGGGTCTATGAATGGCATGGATAAAGGACGGATTTTGTCAGAGATTCATTTTATTTAAATATTTTTCAGGAGAAAGAAAGTTAATGCCAAATGACTTCACATTAACATATTTCTTTATTATTATTTCAGAAATGCTGCCGCTGACACGATTGACCAAGAACTGCTTTTCGTTGGTACAGAACAAGGAAAGTTGTTAGCTTTCCGAGATTTGGTACGACTAGGCCTGAGTCCTCCAGTTTTGGTCTTTGTCCAAAGCAAAGAGCGTGCTCAACAGCTCTTCAACGAACTAATTTATGATGGGATCAACGTAGATGCCATACATGCTGATCGAACACAGACACAGGTAAGCAAATATCCGATAAAAACAAGTTAAATGATTAGAGATTCAGCTTGACCGGCACAGCGTTGCCAATTTTTACATATTTTCTTTTTATCAAAATATTTTAGATAACAAAAATGAATTAAATCTAATCTATACTAATATATAAAATCCTTAAGTGACTGACATACTGATTAATCGCGCTCCTGCTCAAACCACTCAACCTAAGAAGCTCAATTTTGGCATACAGGTTGATTCTAGGGTGTAGAGGTTCGATAAGAAGCGATGTTTCGGAATTCCAGTTCCAAGAGGGTGAAACCACCCCTCAAATATTACAATATTTTTTATTTAAAAAACGGCCAAGTTTCCGAAAAAACGCTTAAACACGTATATTTTATTTTGTTTTCTTACATATTTTAAGATTTTTTAAAAATGTAGACAGGGTGTTTCGAAAAATCTGGTCATTGATTAATCACGATCCTGCTTAACTTATAAAAGCGCTTGACGTAAACCGCTGATTTGTGGAAAACAGATTGACTTTAGGGTGTAGAGGTTCGATAAGAAGGGATTTTTCGAAACTCGAATTCTAAGGGGGTGAAACTATCCCTCAAATAATAAAATATTTATTATTTAAAAACCGGTGAGTTTTTCGAAAAAACTCTTAAACACGTATATTTTATTTTGGTGTTTTACATATTTCAATTTTTCAAAGTTTATACAGGGTGTTTCATAATGTGACCATTGAGTAATCACGATTCTGCTTAAACTGCTTGACGTTTAAAGCTGATTTTTGGCAAAGGGACTGTGGGGTGTAGAGGTTCGATAAGGAGAGGTTTCTCCAATCACAAATTCCAAGGGGGTGAAAATGCCCCTTAAATATTACAATATTTGTTATTTAAAAAACCGTCAGTCTTTCGGGAAAACGCTTGGACAAGCATAATTTATTTGTTTTTTTACATATTTTGAAATTTTTTAAAAAATCATATAGGGTGTTCCAAAAAGTTGTGTAATTTCTTAATCACGATTCTGCTTAAATTGCTTGACGTAAAAAGCTTATTTTTGGCAAACGGATTTTTCGAAAGTCAAATTCCAACGAGATGAAAATACCCCTCAAATATTACCAAGTTATATAATAATATCGCCATATTGGTTTTTCTCATGCTGACATAAATGTGCGAAAATTTTATCCAGTTTGTATGTTAATGGAAATTCTTGCTTTGCTTGATCATCACCATTACAAATGATTAATTCGACGGGAACGAAGTCGCTGGTACACGCTAGTACATATATAAACAGATATTATTTACATCACAAATACACACCTCCTTAACAGCACTTAAGGTACATATAGGGCCATTATTAGCCCTTTTTAGTTCAGAATATTCTAATAAGGTTGTGTGGGCGATAAGTTGTTCGCAACGGCTGTTAAGCTGCTTCGGCATCTTTTACACTTCGCGGTACAAGCGGTTCTAGAAAGAAAAATGTTCGACTGGCAAGTCTGCTAGTACAAAATTTTAAGATTAAACACAATTCACTTTAACCATAAACTCGTTTTACAAAACTAATGTGTCAAAAAAATTAAAATATTAGGAAGTAAATAAATAAATGTGGCAACTTGACATGTTTTACAGCAGAGCTACCACCTGAATCGCCAGCGGAAAATTTAAATTCCAGTTAGTCAGCCCGGCGCCGAATATGGCCATGGTTGACCACAATGAATTTAATAATTGCGCCCTCGATGACGCAACTAAAAATTTATTTGGTGTCGATTGTAAAAAAATATTTTTATATATATTGTATCTAAAATTGAAAAAAGGTGACAAAATTACAAATTCTATTAGACACTTATCAAAAGTCACAGTAAAAAAAGTAACCGTGGAATCATTGTGATATACATTGCGCGCCAAATGTTATAAATTTTCCTTGTGCTTATTTTTTTCCTTTGTCTAAAATTAAAATTAATATTATTTTAATATTGACCTCTTCCATATTACTTTGGTATCGATTACATCAATAAATCCACTTCATATTTCACGATTCGGTGGAGTTTAAAGTTCTCTTTGTCAATTTGAAGTCGAAACCTTTTATACTTCACCGAAAAATCGTTTCATTTCTCTAGCTCCAAACTTTCAGCTAAGATTTATAAATCTACTTTGAGCCTCGGTAACATGTATTAATCTTCTACCACGCTGCAATGGTTCATTTATTTCTTGTTTTCTACCTTTGAAAAATTGAAGGTAGATTATGGTATTAAGTTTTTGGGGATATGGTCATTGCAAGAGACATTTAAAAATCAAAATCAAATATCTCTTTCCCTAGAGAATACTAAGGGCTGGCCAAGGTTAGTCTTGGGTCGAGATTTCCGTATGTAGGAAGAGTACAATGCGTTTATAATGTACTGAACAAAGAGTGGACAGTAAACACGTTGCCAAACGTATGAAATAAACCGAGACTGTGCACATCGCTAAGAGACCAGGGGTGCAACTTTGTTTATGTTTCAAAGCGATAGTAAAGTAATTTGTAGCTTGAGGCACTATGTTCAGTAGCAACATCGATTTGTAGCGATATTCTGATTTCTCGCTTTGTGGCGAGGCGACTGCCTATACATAGCCTAGACCGTGTCGCACACGTGTGCAAGAGTGTGATAGTGATATCATATTTCGCAGCATTTGAGCGACAATAGTTTTGCAGTGAACATAGTGCCGATCTGGCTTCGACATCGCTTCTAAACGATCGGTTGCTAACTTGAGCAAAGTTGCACCCCTGGAAGGGGATATAGCAGATTTGTCGCAGTTGACCGATCGACCCAATCAATACCTCTGTCAGTACTTAAAGTTCTAGGGAAAGGTGTACGTCATGCGTTCAGCTTCACGATTTAATTACGTCTCGTGATACTTAATTTGTTTATTTATTAACGAGTCGTTGTAATTTTCCCTATAGCTTGAATTTTTTTAAGTGCAAGCTAGAAACACTTGCATTTTTGGTAAAAATAAGTGGAATTGAGTATTAGAAGTCTGAATTCAAAAATCTATTAGAAATAATAGATTGTAGTTTTTTCAAGAACTTTGTTAATATTTCTGCTGTATTTTCTTTGTAAATAGTATGTGAAAATCTTTATCAATAAAAAAATTACACGATTGCTGAAAATTGCTATGCTCTAAAAGTAAATGGATGGATTGTTTACAATTTTTGAATGAAAAAAAAACCTTATCGAATTTTTTTTACGTAAACGTATTGTAAAATATCCGATCTTGAAAATAAAAAGTTTCAATATCTAAAGTGATTCTTGAGTTATGGCCTGTTATGTGTTAAAAGGTTGTTTTTAAATTATCGCGATTACTGACGTTTTCTCGTTATAAAAAAATGACACCCTAGCGATATCCTTATAATTCCATTTCAGATGCTCAGAAACATGTCTAATGATGTTATCTAGTTATCTCTTAAAAAGTCTTTTAAAAATAAGCGGTTTGCGATCGTGATTTTACTTATTTGATGGGAAAGGCGTACCGGCAACGCCGCAACAGCACATCGTCGCATTTCTCTCACTCCGACTTAATAAGATCCCTATGCGATTTATTTCCACACATGTAAATGCCGACCCAAAAGTAACAGTTGCCAGCACGGTATAACCCAATAAAATGTAACGTAAAAGTATTTGTCTTAGCTTACTTTGTTATTATATTTGATTTATATTTATTTTGGATTACGGTTCTTTATAGATAATAGAAAACTAAAGCGAGGTTTCTATGTTCAGTATTTGTTTTTTTCCTCACTATTAAGGAGCTGTGCTATCTCAAACAGAAAGTGTCGCTTGTGATCCAGAGCCTTGCATTGATATACAGGGTGTTTCAAAAAACATGTGCCATCTCTCGTAGGGAGATTCGTCACGTAAAAATAAGATTTATTTTTCATATCAACGTAGGTCCGATTCTGTTTTGTTTCGTAGCTACAGGGTGTTAAAATCTTAATATTTTTTCGATTTATTATAATTTTTTTTTTTAATAGAAAATGTTTTTACTGATAATACTTTCGGTGATAATATTGTTAATACTCTCTAATTTTCTTTTCCAGAGGGACAACACAGTAAGGAGTTTCCGGGAAGGCCGCATCTGGGTATTGATCTGTACCGAACTGATGGCCCGAGGTGTTGACTTTAAAGGTGTTAATTTGGTAATAAATTATGATTTTCCACCCACGGCTATCTCGTACGTACACAGGATAGGAAGGGCAGGGAGAGCAGGGCGTAAGGGCAAGGCCATTACGTTTTTTACCACAGAGGATACAGTAAATTTAAGGAGGTAGGTATTAATATTTATAGGGCATTGTTTTAAAAGGTTCTAGACATAAATTGGCATTACTCTCTATTAAGTGTTATAATGAAACGTTACAACCGAATTGTTATCAATTTTTGGTCTTTTTAGGGTTCCGTATTTCAAAAGGAAAAAAAACGGAACCCTTATATGATTACTTTGTTGTCCTTCCCTCCGTCTGTCAAGACCCTTTATCTCGGGAACTCGTGAAGGTATTGAATTGAAATTTAAACCATATACTAAGCCCTACAGTTTCTTGAAGCTGTGAAAAAATCAAACTTCTAAGTTAACGTCAAAAAAGATACGGCCGTTTATGCTGCAAAAAATGTATATTTCGACATTCTCCAAGGAATCAAAATTTATAGGGTATTTTCCGATAGCCTAGAACTGTGAATTTGGCAAGTAGTACCGTCTACAAGCATAGAGAAAAATTGGAAAGCTACACCTTTGTAATTAAATGATAAAAAATAGCCTAATACGAAACCCTCCGTGAGCGAGTCGTCCGACACGATGTATTGTTCAAATATGTATTTTTTTTGTATTAATTCCTATACAGAGTGCACATATACAGTCTTAAATAAGTGCAAATATTTTCAGGGCTGGTAGATCTCGATGAGAGAATCTTTTCTCTTTACCGTTTTTCAAATAAGTCCAAAATAACCGAGTTATTTTACTTTGAAATTTTCACAAAAAAAATGTTTTTTGTATAAATTTTGAGAACCACTGGATCTTTTCTGGGTTTTCTTTCTTGTAAATTTAATCTACTACTACGTTGCCCATATTATCAAGAAATTATGGTTTTTTAACTAAAAACTAAAGAAAAATTCTTTTTTTTTCAAGAAATCCCAAATTTTCAAAAAAAATTTTCGCGAAAAAAAACTAATAAAAATAAAAAAAAGTGTTCCTGGGGTCAAAATACAGGGTGGTCCGAACTGTATTCCGGAAACTTCGGCAGCATATTCTGCAGATAAAAATAAATAAAAAAGTTCGTATAAATGTATGTCCTAAAATGCTTAGTTTCGGAGATACAGGGTGTAGAAGTTTCATTTTTATTTCGAATTTTTCCAAATAATTTCTGAAGTAACGTCAACATTTGGATGAAAATTGGTGTCTGGGGATTTTTTCACATGAGAAATTTGATTTTGATGTGAATATGACTCCTACTTGTAAAGGGCGCCACCTACATATTTTTAACTGGTTTGAAGAGTTTATTAAACTTTTCGTCCGTACCTATGTAAAATTAGTATTTATGAGTAAAGAAATAAAAATTTATAACATTTTCTACGTAAAAAAGATCTTTTGGTAAAAATCGCTACAAGGAATGGTTCTCGAGATATTTGGAATCGAAATTATCAAGACCTATCATCATTGACAAAAATTAAACATGTTGACTAACAGTTATTAAACTGAAATCATAAATTTGAAATGTTTTTGTGCCAAAAGTTCAACAGAAACTGTTTTATCATCATTTTTTCGTAGAAAAAATTATGATTAATTTAAAAAAATAAAAATTTTCCAAAATTATTATTCCAGTCAAATAACTATATACTCAACGTGTTTATTTTTTTTTCAATAATGACATGTATTGACTATTTCCATTCTAAATATCTTGAGAACGGTTGCTCGTAGCGATTTTTACCAAGAGACATTTTTCAGGTAAAAAGTCACGGAAATGTACATTTTTTCACCCAGTAGTTTTATACAGGTATGGACAAAAAATTATTACGCTTCAAAACAGTTTAAACACACGTAGGTGGCGCCCCATACAAGTAGGAGTTATATTGACATCAAAATCAAATTTTTCATGTCAAAAAACCCCCAGATACCAATTTTTATCCAAATATTGACGTTATTTCAGAAATTATTTGGAAAAATCGAAATAAAAATCAAACTTCTACACCCTGTATCTCTGAAACTAAGCATTTTAGGACCTACATTTATACGAACTTTTTTACTTATTTTTATCTGCAGAATATGCTGCCGAAGTTTCCGGAATACAGTTCGGACCACCCTGTATACTACCCTTAAAATATTTGCACTTATTTAAGACTCACCTACATTTAAGACCTGTATAATGATATATGGAAAGTGTCTTAACAATCTTAACTTATATTAGCATTTTTTTTGAAAGAAATCCTTGAAAATATATTCAGCAAATTCGTTTTTAGGTCTTATTTGCATGACGATAGGCTTAAAGCCATATCCTTATTTAACTTCCTTATTGCTTTTTCCCTAAACGGATATTCAGAAATACCCCATCTAATATATGGGTGACTTTATAAAAAAAGAGCTTTCGATACAGGTCTCTGTGGGTGATATGCCACTATGCCACACTAAATTTGAATATATTTTCCCACTATTTTCCGTTGAATTTCTATTCTATGATGCATATCACTTTTGTGCAGTGGACAACGATTATTACAAATAAGCTACGGTTCATAACAAATAAACTTTTAGTTACGTCATCGAGGGCGCGATTTTTAAATTAATTGTTGCCAACCATGGACATATTCGGGGCCGTGCTGACTAAGTGGAATTTAAATTTCCTGCTGGTGATTCAGTTTGCAGCTCTGCTGTAAAGAATGTCAAGTTGCCGCATTTATTTATTTATTTCCTGACATTGTCATTCGTTTTGACACTTTAGTTCTTTATTATGAGTTTTTAGTTTAAATAGATAGTGTTGTGATACATTAAGCTTAAAAAGGTTTACTAGCAGACCTTAGGGCTCAAACTCACTCACGACCAGGTCGCAACGACCTGGCCGGATGTATTGCGTTTTTAGCTGCGGCCAGATGAACGACCAGTTTCAACAGAGTTGTCAAATCTAACGATTTTTTACGTTTTACCAATTAGAAAATATTGTTTCAGAAATGTTAAAATATCCGAGTTAACTAAAAAGCGAAGTTGCTATTCACAACAAACAAAAAGCATTGTGTACGCGCGACCGACAAAAAGGGAGATATTCTGTTTCTTTTTTCTACTGATATGGCGCCCTTATCGACTTTAGAAGTAAATATATTAGGGCGTAAAAAAGATTGTCAGACACTGGCTCTAAATATAAACAGGTAGAAAGTTTAGCTTCCAGTTATTTCAATGTTTACAATATAACGAAGAATCTACAACAGTAATTACTTCTATTTTTATGAATGTTTAAGTTGCTTTCTTAATTTTTTTTTCAAAATAATGTACCTAGTAGAAATATAGTCTAATGAACCCTGTTTGAAAAACGTTAAATTAAATATCATATTTAAAATACAGTTGTCCTCCTTTTACATGACTACAATACAACTAAAAAACGAATTTAATAAAAAAAACAAGTGGTTGTAGAAAAACTTGAAATATTATTTTTTTATTTTTTAAACATCCAAACTCAAAGGTATATTAACAAGTATCATACCAACCATAAATAGAGTAGGTATGTCATATAAAAATTTTTTACTAGAATCGACACTTGATAAAAAAAGGGATTAGATTTAAGTTTACCTCTGATCCTGTCTGTATACTATTTCTTTGGATTTTCTGCACGTGTGCAAAACCTACACTAAAACACTATATCTTATAGAAAATAAAATATTGTGCCTTGAATTTGAGGGATTTCATCTGAAAAATTATTAATTTGGAAGAAAACCGGCAACCAGCGGCAGAAAATAATAATATTTCCGTGCAGTCTTCTGGTCGCAACGACCAACGGACGGCCAGGACGTTAGTGTGCGCTATTTCATTTGATTTAATGGTTTTAGAGGTAGGTGCGGCCTGGCCGGTGCGACCTGGTCGTCAGTGTGTTTGAGCCCTTATAGTCGAACTAATAACTGTAAAAAACTCATCGCAACTTTATTAGAATATTTTGAAGGGGAAAGCGGTAATAATGGCCCTTTATGTCCCTTAAGTGCTGTTAAGAAGGTGAGTTTTTTTGTTGATATATTTCCTAAAATATTTTGATTAAAAGAAAATATATAAAAGTGGGCAACGCTGTGCCGGTCAGGCTTAATCACGTGACTAAAAGTTTATTTGGCTGTCATTTGCGGTAGATTCCATATAAAGTTTTTTTCTTGAATTTTTTCTATTGTTGCGTTTTTACGGGGTCCCGTGTGGATGATTTAAAGTCCTATTTATTTAACAAAGTTTATTTACACTACAGAACACAACAAGAAACTATATAATACTTAAAACTAATTATTAAATGTATTTACAAATATTTTATTACGAATTTATTTTGAATTTAGCTCGACCTCAAGCAACTCAGGCATCTCCTTAACGTTAGCCTTGTAGGATGTTTTACTTTCCGACACTGCGACATGCGATAACGACGTGCGATAAACTGTGGCGACGCGGATTGCGGGTTTGCGACAAACGTGTTTTCTTACTATGCGACACTTCAGTTCAGCAAATCGTTCGATGCAATGCAGTTTATTAACATGGACGCTATTCGTCGTAATCATGTCGTAATAGTGCTGCGGTTCTTTTGCTTTATGACGAAGAAGAAGAAAATTTAGCTCTACTACTTCACGCTCCTGAACTTTTTCAGAAACATTCTGACATATACAAGAATCGTGACAAAGAGGGAACTTACAACATTTTTATTGAACGCTACTTAAGCGATAGTGACACGCGATTCAAGGCGTGTTCAAGGCACATGAGTTTCTTTTCATATCCCAGAGAACTGGAAATGTACGTACACAATCTACTAAATGTTGTAAAAAAAAACAAATAATTTAACTGCCAAAAATTCCAAATAGACCGACGCCGATGCATTCGATGCTACAAAAGTACTACCTGCGATGTCGTTCAGAGAAGATTTTATTTTTCTCGACGACGTGCCGCAGCGACATCTGCGATACCGCAAGTCGATAGGTTAAACAACATACTAATTTGATTAGTTCTAGGTAGATTAAATTTACGGCACACCGCAGTGTCGCACGTCGTTATCGCATGTCGCAGTGTTGGAAAGTAAAACATCCTACTTTAAGCCCCGTTCTCAGAACGACGTCGTGTCGCTGGCGACACAGTTTGACATTTCAAACAACCAATGGGAGCTGTACTAAATTTAAAATTGACAGCTGTTTGAATTTTGTACAAACCTCATCGGTTCTTTTGACGTGTAGCTGGCGACAGTCGCTGTTCTGAGAACAGGGCTTTACGGAGTGGCCATTGCTACTTATAGGAGTGAAATAGATACCCCAGACGGCTCTCGATTTAATTATTGTTTATAGTTCAGGAAGTTCTGCCTTTTTGTCTTTTCGTTCGATGAACGTAGGCTGTGGGCTTGTTTTGTGACACTATATTTAATAGTTATTATGGTATTCGGAGTGGGAGAGGAATCCAACAAATCGAAGGTTATTAAAACTGGTCTTGCCATTTTTGAATTATAAATTGTGTAATTAACAAAAAAATGCAAAAAAATAATATAAAAAAACAGTTAGTAGTAACAGAATTCGCCCAAAATAAACTCATTTAACTAGCAAAATCATTTTATTTCTAATCTCCAGATATTCATCTCGACTTTTTCCAACTTTGATTTAGTACGTTACAACGTAAACGTGGTCTCCCTAGGCGTTTCTGCACTTCCACCAAACTCTAAGCAAATTTCGAATTCACAAGTTATACACATTTTCTGCGCCAAGTTATATTAAGTTCGAGTTTTCACTTCTTTGATAACTCGCTATCTAATTACCGGAGAGTTGCGTTTTATCAGCGCGTTACTTCCTACGTGAAATAGTTTGGCAAGAAAATATAATTTATTCTGTTAGACAGATTGACATAGTAATAGAATATTTCGCTTGTGTGGGATTGTTTCTCCCTCAATCTAATCGGAATCTGTGGATTCAATTAAAACATCTCTGTTTTTGGAGAGGAAGCTTGACAGAAATTAGTAGTAAGTCAAAAAGTAGATTAGCATATAAAGGTAGAGTTGGGAATAGGTAATTTCTTTAAGATGCATAGAATATTCGTTTTTACCATAAATTTAAATTATAAATAACAATACCGGGTGGGTCTCAAAAGTAGTCTCACCCCTATAACTTTTTTATTATTCCAGATAAAAGAAAAACGAAATATGGTATGTTCGTATATGACATAAATTAGGATTGATTTACGTATTCAATTGTTTTTCGTCACTTCCTGTTTCACAGGAAATTATATAATTATATATACCGGGTGCGTTTCAAAAGTGGCTCACCCTTATAACTTTTTTATTTTTTCAGATAAAAAATCATGATTTGGCATATGAATATATGACATAAATTAGGATTGATTGACGTATTCAATTGTTTTTTGTCACTTCCTGTTTCACCGGAAATGACTACAACTTTTGATTTTTAAATGGTACTCTCGGTGTTTTGTTGCTTTGTTCGATAGAAAATGACACTCTGAATAGAATGACATATCATATGTCAACTTTTGACATTTTCGAATATGATTTATTTGAAATTGCAACATGCATTCATAACGACAATTTGACTCGAAATACCGAGTGTGTGGCACCAAATTATTCGTAAAAAAATGCATTTTCCAAATATGCTAATGAGCCACCCTCGTTCCATTTGAAAAAATTGAGATTTGATTAAAAATACGATTTGGGCATCTTTTAACCGGCCAGAACAAGACACGAATAACATTAGACGATCAAATAATACATATATATTTTTCCAAGGCCTTCCAATATTTTTCCTTGATTAAAAATTAGTGTTTTTAACACAGCCATGGCACTCTAGATTGAAATTTAAAATTCAATTTTGTTTTAAGCAAAAATACCAAAAGTTGACATATGATATGTCATTCTATTCAGAATGTCATTTTCTACTGAATAAAGCAAAAAAATACCGAGGGTGCCATTTAAAAATCGAAAGGTGTAGTCATTTCCGGTGAAACAGGAAGTGACCGAAAAGAATTGAATACGTAAGTCAATCCTAATTTATATCATATACTAACATACCAAAAAATCTCGTTTTTCATCTGCTAAAATAAAAAAGTTATAGGGGTGAACCACTTTTGAGACGCACCCGGTATATACTACACCTAAAATATTTGCACTTATTTAAGACTCACCCTGTATTGTGAGTGTGAAACTTATAGATAAAATATGATAATACATATGATACTTTTAGCTTTTTTTAGATATTATATTTTATGATAGCATGTCATTTAATTTCTATTTATGTACTTTCTATAAACTTTTTTAACTCTATTTTTCTCTGTTTCCGTTTTTATGAACATCCTAAAACTATGCCAATGACGTTACCAGTCAAGTTTTCTTTAAATTATAACGAGACCGCATATTCTGTTTGATTTTGTTTTTGATTTATTTGATTTTTTTCAAAAATTTTCACTCTCTTGTGCTGAAATTTTACGATTTTTTGGAAACTAACATTCAGATATACCATACGATAAAAAAAAACGGCGTCAAAGACGAATGACAATCGATGATAATTTTGGCGTGGTCAAACCATAAACGTCATTTACTTGGTCCGTACTCTTCTTTATTTTTAAGGGCGCTTACTGCCAGTTGGCCTTAAGTTGTAATTTATTTTTATATTGAGTAAAAATGATTTTTATATAGTATAGTTTAAAATTTGAGAAAAAGAAATTTGGAAAAGTTTTATGCCAATTTTTATTAAATGGTGCCTAGAAATTGACCTCGTCAAAATTATCATTGATTGTCATTCCCCAGCAGTCTTTGACGCCTTTTTTTTTTCGATCATACGTTACTTTTCTGATAGTAAGAAATAAAATGTTTCCATTGCAATCTAAAAAAAAACGTTTACGTCATGCTCAGACCGTAGAGACCTATCTAAAGCTCTTTTTTCATAAAGTCAGCCATAAATTAGATGGGGTATTTTCGGATTTATTGGCAGAAAACGCCAATAAGGAAGTTAAATAAGGAAAGGGCTTTATATATAAGCCTATCGACATGCAAAAAGACGTAAAAACGAATTTACAGATTTTTTTAAGTAATTTTTTCTTAAAAAGTAATATATGTAAGTAGGAGATTGTTGTTGGCCTTAAGGAGGTTGTATTTATTTTTATATTCAGTAAACATTTTTAAGTGGTGTAATTTTAAATTTGAGAAAATAAATTTGGAAATAGGCTTGTATGTCTGGAAACGTCCTACTCTTTTTTAATCTTTCTATGATGATTGTTAATTGGTGAAGTTTTATGTCAATTTTTAGTAAATGATGTCTAGAGATTGACCTCGCCAAAACTATCATCGATTTTCATTCCCAGCCGTTTGTAACGCCGATTTTTTTTATTACTACTTTGTTATATTTTATTATTACTAAAATTTCTATAAATAGCCCCGATGATTTGAACCGAACTTTGTTTATATATTTTTTATATATTTAACATTTTCTCTACACAGCAAGACAACAGATTATACATAAAAAATTCTCAGCCACGACATTTATTATCAAAAGATATTATTTCACTTGCGATGATAACCTTAAGACTCGAACAATTTATTTTCTAAATTGGCATCTAGATAGGTCATTTTTTTCTTCCGTCTAGACAGGATGAATTCCTCAGGATTTTGATGTATTTACTTACGAGCTTTATTATATTTTTTTTGTTTTTTTTTACCCCGAATTGTACAACGTTATTAAATCTTGCGTTAAAATTAATTATTCCAAATTAACTTTTTCTACAAACAATCAATACCTACGCATAAAATGTGAATCAATTAGAGCGAAATCATCCAGTGTAATCATCGATCATCGTTGTTTGCTTATTTTCATTCAATCTATACTTATCGCTTTGGATGATTCTTCCAAGATAATCATTAAAAGTGACAAATCTCCATTTTTGTGCCTATTCTAGACAAACATTACTTCTTACTAGATTACAACTTCTTAATTAAATATCGATCATCGCTTGTTGTCTTTTTTTGTGCTCACCGGTTTTGATAGACTTATTAGTTATTTTTATTTTTTTTACAGTATTGCTCATATTTTGAAGGAATCTGGATGCGATGTTCCAGAATACATGTTGAAATTGAAGAAGAACCGAAAGTCTGAAGTAAAAAAGATGGCGAAATCAGCACCAAAAAGAGATGAGATTATAACCATACCTCTGTATGACAGAATAAAAGGAGGCAAAAAGTAATTTTACCATTTTGATTTTTAATATTTAACTAATGATACGTTCGGGACATTATGATTTTCAATCAAGCTTCATTCAGAAACCTCGAAATTGGTGGTTTCAATCAAGTGTAGAAGTTGGTTCCTCTACTTTCAATGTAAGCATTCAGAACCTCAAAATTAGTGGTAATGATTTTCAATTAGTAGAACTTTTTTAATTTTTTCTACTTTTTTTTAAATAAACTTTTAATTTTTTCCACTAATTATACTTTTTTATTGTGGTTAGAAATGAAAAGTTTATTGTTTTATAAGCTAATTATTACCTTTCTCTATGTACCAAACTACCGCAAGATGTTGCTAGAATATTCTATTCATTTTAATTTTTTTAGATACAGTGAAGCTAAAAAGTCTAAAGTATAATTAAAACCACTAATTTATTTTACTAATTTCGAGGTTCTGAATGAAGCTTTAAACCTTATACAAATTGTTCTAGTCTCAGTTATTGCTATGAATTATTTGTACTTTTATTTGTAGAAGGATAAATATCTGTAAATCTCTAACAATTTTTTTTTTATTAAAAATAGGAAGAAGTTTATGGAGATCTCTAAAAGGATGAAATCAAAGAATACAAAAGACTCCACTGATGTGAAGAAGAAACAAGGAAAGAAAGTGTCAGATCAGAAGAAGAAAATAAATTTTAAGACTAAAGAAACTAAGAAGAAAACTATTAAAGTTAAAAAGAAGTTGTCCAATAAACAATAAATTAATAAAGTTTATTTTTGTTTAAGATAGTTTGTGCTTTACTGCTCCGCATAAAAAAGTCTCCGTTAAATAGTGGTTTATTAAAATTTGACATTGAGTATGCATAGCACTTTTTGTTGTAATATGATGGAAAGATGTAATAATGATTTCTTTATAAAATATTTGTTGGTAGCTATTTCCGCTATAGTATCATTATTTAATCATAGTAATTTTCTCTTTAATTGCTTATTTGCTTCGAACTGCTTCAAAAATGTATCAACGTCAATGTCAAAGTGAACTATTTTTTTGTTACTGTATCCTTAGTTGCCTTAGGGTGCAAGTCCTTGAACTTTTCAATAATAATCTCGTAGGTTTGAGTTTTATTTTTCCTGCCACTGTATTCTGGCGATTTTACTACCCATAAACAAGGGAAACTCTTGTATATTTCAACGATACGCTATATACGCTACGATTTATATGTGCAAACCTCCGAAATCTATGCCCAGGAACTCAAACTTTTAAGTCAGTCTTCCAAGTTTGTGCAGTTCTGAAATTTGTTCAAACTTGCTGTCCGCACGCTATGTTTTATCTACAACGTTTTGTCGGCGTCAACGCAACGCCGCTTATTGTACGATTTGCGTACAATAAGCGGCGTTGCGTCTGAACCATTGTAGATTTTATGGGAGGGGGAACTCATATTATAACTCATCATACAATATTTGACAAAAACTAGTAGGAATCAAGCTCTATTTGTATATGAGAGACAAACCTGGACTCAATCAAATAATATACAAACTGTGATAAGAGAATGTGATATTTTTTGTGATTCAGATATAATAAATGCTGTCAAAGATATAAAAATTAACGAATCACCGGGCTGTGATAATTTGCCACCAAATGTGATAAAAACGCTAATATTGGACAATGTAGAATATTTTAGAACATTTTTCAATAACTTTCTTCAGAGAAATGAATTCCCTAAAGAATGGAAGAGATCCAAATTAACCCTAATAGAGAAACCCCGGAAGCACCTAAATGATCCACCAAAATATCGTCCGATTTGCCTCATTGATGTAATCGGGAAAGTCTATGAGAAACTCATCAATACGCGACTCTTGGAAGAAATTAGGAAGAAACGACAAGATGCATCCAAACCAGTATGGATTTGTAAAGGGGAAATCTACCACACATGCAATGAAGAAAATATCGGATATCGTGAAAAGAAAAGCCACTTGGCATAATGCTTTGATTTTAGTCGACGTTAAAAATGCATTTAATTGCGCGTCATGGGAAATAATTATTAAAGAACTTAGAAGATGGGGCATAAGTGGCTATTTGGTGAACATAATAAGAAGCTATCTTGATAAAAGATTTATAGTTCTCAATAGAGAAGATTAAAGAGAGGTATTCGGTGGCGTCCCACAGGGCTCGGTGCTGGGGCCAACTCTATGGAACATATTATACGACAGTGTCATGGAGCTTACTGTACCAGGTGGGACAGAGTTGATCTGTTACGCCGATGATCTTGCTGTGATAATAACAAAAAAAACTAATAGAAACAAAAAAATAAACGACCTCGACCTAATGCAGACTGTGGATGATACACTAAAGATCATAGCCAGATGGATGCGTGAGCACAGACTCGAAATAGCTGTGGAAAAAACAGGCGATTTTACTGAGCCGCAAGAGAAAACTTGACCATATAAGGTTTAATTTTAAGGATATAATAATAAATCCAGTAAAGCAAGTCAACTATCTTGGATTCCACATAGACCGTGCACTCACGATGGGCCTGCACATCAAGGAGGTGTGTCTGAAATCACAACGAACTGCTAAAGCGTTGTCCGCAATACTGCCAAACGTTCGGGGCCCAACACCAGCAAAGAGAAGAGTGTTAGCATATGCGTGCCAGAATATTATTATGTATAGAGCACCCGTGTGGAACGAAGCAACCAATATGTACGTAAATAAAAAAAACTTGAAGGTGCACAGAGAGTCATGGCTTTGACGGTCTGCTCGGCGTATCGGACAACTTCAACTGAAGCAGCATTGGTGATATCGGGTCTGGTGCTCTTGCATCTTCTCTCAAGAGAAAGAGAACGACTCTTTCTCAAGGGCGAAGTACAAACCAGAGCAAGCAGAGAGATGGAGAGAAACCGCACAGTGCAGCAGTGGCAGGTAGAATGGGAAGTATCACAAAAAGGAAGATGGACATATAAGCTCATCCCAAATATAAATATGTGGATTAAAAGAAAGCATGGAGAGGTAAACTTCTATCTTACTCAAATATTGAGTGGCCACGGAAATTTTGGGAGTTACCTGTGTAAAATTAGAAAGAGGGAAGTCGCGGAATGCCGATACTGTGCTGAACCCAATGATACTCCAGAACACACAATGTTTGCTTGTCCAAGATGGGAACAGGAAAGATGTGAGGCACGCATGACGATTGGTGGCAACATCTCCGCAGATACCTTCTTAAAATCGGTAACAGAAAGAAGAGAAAACGAAGAGCAGGGGTAATGAAAAAAAAAGGAACAGTCCGGCGTCTACTTGAGGAGATGCGTCCAGCGGGTCCAGGTAGACGTGGCAGGAGCGAGGGGGTGACGTTTAGTGGGTAGTGTCCTCCAGGCAGCTTAAGGAGAGATTGAGTCCCACACTCCGTACGTAAAGGTAAAAGTTCAATGGCACGAATGGTTGTCGTTTCGGCACACTCAGTGATGAGGTGTTCTGGTTTTCCCCCATTTTCCCCATAGAACCTGCATTCGGTTTTTTTTAGCTTCAATCTAGTGAGATGTTCATTGAGGAGACAGTATTCTGTTAAAAAAATCGTGTCCATCCGGAGATTGTTCTTACTTATTTTAAGGAAAATCTACGATTTTTCTCTGTCGTAAATTCTGAGAAATTTCTTCGTATGACTTAAACCGTTGGAGGATTCCCATTCCAGGTTACGGATGGAGTTTGGATCATACCCTGCTGGCAAACGAAACCTTGGGTCGGCGTTTACATGTAGGTATATAGGGGTAAATCGCTATGGCAATCTAGTAAGTCGGAGAGAGCAAAAATACCATAAAAATACGAAGTATTTATTACATAACCACTCAATCTGACGCTAGATGCCATGCGATTGGGAAAATATTTGTCTTCTATTTTTATTCAGTAGGTACATCTTATTTTACTAAGCGTATTGACCGTACGCTTCATACACACGATAATCGGCACCCAAGACGAGAAATACCGACCCTAGTATATGTTACCACATTCAAAGTAGTCTTGGTCACGATGACAATAAAACTATTAGAAAAATCTGCCAAAAAAAAATAGAGAAACTGTCATGTTGAAGCTATATTGAAGCTTTTTTGCCAGTAAAATTTTATAAACAATATACCAAAATGCAGAGCGAAGAGCCGATATCACTTAGGAAACTCAGGTCCTCTAAGGACCATATTCCTTACAAAATGAGCTCTTACTACGCCTTTGTTCACGGCAAATGGGCTTCGATATACGAAAAGCATAGTTGTGGACTGATCGACACGATGAAACAGACGGACATCGTGAGCGAAGTCATTGATTCTGGAGGCTTCATTGAAACTAGAAGAAAGTTGATCAGAATGTTCATGGTTAACGACAAACATCCTTACACTAGGAGGGTTTTTCGATCGGGAAATGACATAAGGAATGAGGAAGTAAGACATGCCTTGCGGTATATGTGGATGCTTCATCCTTTTAGCGTATTTTGGTAAGCTTTAAATCATCGTAAATACACATGTGCAAGTGAATACTCAAATATAATGCTTTTTTTTTGATAATTAAGACGCTCATTATTGAACGATTCAAATATGATATAAAACGTTATTACTTATTAGTTCAAAATATTTTTTTTAATTTATCGCACATAGTGTTTTTACGACTTTTGCAAAAAATATTACAAATAACGCTGATTTAGTATTGGTAAGAACTGAGATTGTTTGACTGACATGTGTACATACCTTTAATAGTGCTTGTTTTAAATTAAACAGGATATTTTGATGACAATCACTTTTTTAGTCTATACTACCAGTACTTTATGGCGGTCATACATATTTGGTACCTCTGCAAAATTCTATTGGTAGATTTTGCCCTAATTGGTGTGCATCTCGTATTTAAGATTGAGAAGATGATTGTAGACTCAATAATGTGTCTGAGTATGTTCACAACGTTTTGGATAGGGTATTACGATTCTGATCAGGTGCTAGTTATTTTTGAACCAAAACAAGTTGCCAAGTAAGTACGGAAGGAAATACCATACGCTCAAAAAAAGGCCTGAAAGATGGCTGGGGAATGAAAATCGATGATAATTTAATTAATTAATAATTAGCGAGGTCAAGCCCTAGGTATCATGTACTTGGCCTGTGTCTAATAGTAGCTGTTAAAAAATTCAAAATAAACCCTCATTGATTTCAATACCTCTTTACTATGAAACTTTTTGGAAAATTAAGGACAAATTTAAAAAAAATACCTCTTTTTAGACGTTACTTGAAAAGTTTCTTCTTTTTTGACCTGTTATCAGTTATCCCAACTTTGGTGCTTATACTAGAATTTACCCACGTGGCTCACACATATCCCAACGCTATTAAATGGTTAAGTCTGTTTCGACTGGTACATTATACGTCCATTGAAGAAGCCATCAGACTATTCAGATTGGTAAGTACACGAAAATATTGGAGTTTGGTGATATTAAGAGATTTCAAAATTTAAAAATTATTTACCAGTGCTACAGCCTATTCGTTTGACAGCCAGTCGATTTCTATAGTATTTGAGTACCAACGCTTCACCCTCTGCGTTTCGAATGAAGCCATGTGCAAGTTCTGTCAATTTGAAGAAGAAACGACAGGACACATTTTATGTCGGAGCGACAGCCTAGTAAATGTGCGATTTTTTGTACTAGACAATGATAAGCCATTGACAAAAGAGCTATATGCAGGGTTTAGTCTCCGAGTTGCTAGACTTTTTAAAAATGACAGGACTGGAGTATGTAACCTAATCAGAAGAGGATCACAATAGGTGTATATTGTACACTATATTGTTTGTTTAGCGATCGTTCAAAGAAGACAGACACTGGTAAAACACTTTTGACCGTCGATATATGAAGTTATTACATTGCAAACATGTGTAGTATTATGTAAACACAAATTCAGTGAATTTTTAAATAATATTGCGTGTTGGTGATGCTGATAATGGGCATTTCTTATACAGTTGAAGAAGTACGAGTAATTTAATTATTCTAGGCATCGTGAACTTGAAGAGCAATAAGGTGTATTATAGTGTATAGAATCTCAAGTTTTTTCAGTTAGTTCAAGTTATTTATTTTTAAAGTAGGTACGATTTACCTGGAAAAACTGGTATATGCGCCTAAAATTATAAATTGAAAGACAATCAGACTGAATATGGGCCTAACATACCTATATGGATACAGATATAAAAATGGAGCTCACTCAATTAATAATTTCAGAACGTACTTAAAATTTTCTAATAAATATGAACACACCCTAAAACGCATATTTGACAAATACTGATGACGTAACGTTGCACGATCGCTGAACAGACTATACATATAGAATTTCTTTGATTGATTATTTAATCTATACTAATATATAAAATCCTTAAGTGACTGACATACTGATTAATCACGATCCTGTTCAAACCACTCAACGTAAGAAGCTTAATTTTGGCATACAGGTTGATTCTAGGGTGTAGAGGTTCGATAAGAAGGGCTTTTTCGAAATTCCAGTTCCAAGGGGGTGAAACCACCCCTCAAATATTACAATATTTTTTATTTAAAAAACGGTCAAGTTTCCGAAGAAACACTTAAACACGTGTATTTTATTTTGTTTTTTTACATATTTTAAGATTTTTTAAAAATGTATACAGGGTGTTTCAAAAAATCTGGTCATTGATTAATCACGATCCTGCTTAAAGCGCTTGACGTAAAAAGCTGATTTTTGGAAAACAGATTGACTTTAGGGTGTAGAGGTTCGATAAGAAGGGATTTCTCGAAACTCGAATTCTAAGGGGATGAAACTATCCCTCAAATATTAAAATATTTTTTATTTAAAAACCGGTGAGTTTTTCGGAAAACTCGTAAACACGCATATTTTATTTTGTTGTTTTATATATTTTAAGATTTTTTATAAATTTATACAGGGTGTTTCATAAAATATGACCATTGAGTAATCACGATTCTGCTTAAACTGCTTGACGTTTAAAGCTGATTTTTGGCAAACGGATTGACTGTGGGGTGTAGAGGTTCGATAAGGAGGGGTTTCTCGAATCTCAAATTCCAAGAGGGTGAAAACGCTCCTCAAATATTACAATATTTGTTATTTAAAAAACGGTTAGTCTTTCGGGAAAACACTTGGACAAGCATAATTTACTTGGTTTTTTACATATTTTGAAATTTTTTAAAAAATCATACAGGGTGTTCCAAAAAGTTGGGTAATTTCTTAACCACGATTCTGCTTAAACTGCTTGATGTAAAAAGCTTATTTTTGGCAAACGGATTTTTCGAAAGTCAAATTCCAATGAAATGAAACTACCCCTCAAATATTACCAAGTCATAATATATAGTCATAATAATATCGCCATATTGTTTTATAAATATGAGAAAATTTTATCCAGTTTATATGTTAATGGAAATTGTTGCTTTGCTTTATCATCACCATTACAAATGATTAATTCGACGCGAACGAAGTCGCTGGTACACGCTAGTAGTTTTATATAAATATCCATAAGTCGACTGGCTGCCCAATAATGAATTAGCTGTGTTTTTACTAAATGAAGTTTGGTTTTTTCTTGCAGCAACACGAAATGTCATCCACGTTCGAGATCGTACTGAACATGATCCTCAAAATATACTGTGTGTATTTATTGTCTGTGAGCATTCTATTTTATATTGACCAATACAGCTACACTTTGACGCATGGTGGTCATTCGGAAGAAGAAGATCACTTACCGAGTCACGTACACACAGATGACAAAAAAAGCTTACAAGCAATGTACAGAGCTGCCATGTTGCTATTCAAGATAAGTCGTACCTCTGTCATGTACAGTTACTACAGAATTATTGAATACACTATAACGTGCTTTCTGGCAATCGTAGTTGAATTCTGGCTAATAGGTAAGATCACGTTAAGTTATGTCTTTTTTAGCAATAGTGAGTGTCATATGCCGGAAACACTAAGCTTTAATGTGTTGTAACCAGCTCGTGCAGGTCCTTAATAGGATGCGAGCATAGTTCTTCAGGTTCTAGACTTGAGTTCGAGTTCCCAAATAGAAAGTATCGCGATTGTGTTTCGATCCAGAGCCTCGCAGTGACATATTATGGGCTCTGTTGTCTCAAGATCATTATAGTCTAAGATCCGGCTGTATGATTATTACGCTCAACGTATTTTCAAAACCTAATTTTTAAGTATATTTATGAATGGGAGAATACACTTTTCACAGGGTGCCTATCAAAAACTTGCCGCAAATAATAGGGGTTGTTACGGTTCAAAGTTTTTCCTACGGGCCCGGCAACAGTGCGTCGGGCATCTGTAGCTCCTGTAATAAAAAACTTAGGTATTTTGTATAAGTTCCAAACTAAAGTATATAATAGGATGTATTTCAGGAAAATATTTTAACTGGTGCAGTGTGGCTCAAAAAAGTATGAGTATATTATTCCTTTGTTAGATGGAGAATTAAAAAAATGAACATTTTTAATAATACTTTTGATTTCAGAACGCTTCTTTTTTTATTTATTTATTAATATTTCTGAAACTATCAAAACATATTTAATAATATGTTAGGATTATGTAAAGTGATCAGAAAGGAAGCCAAAAATACATTAATATACAGGGCTAATAAGAGGCTAATATACAAGTATTTTAATTTTAAGTTTGCCGAATACAATTCGGACCACCCTGTATATTACACATTTCTTGCTTGATAAAATGCCCCTAAAACACTTATAATATAATAAATAACTATTAAGTTTTTAAAAGTGTTTTTTGTGTGGCTATAGGTACAGGGTGAGTCTTAAATAAGTGCAAATATTTTTAAGGCTGGTAGATCTCGATAAAAGAAACATATTTTCTCTTTACCATTTTTTAGATAAGTACAAAATAACCGAGTTATTTAAGTTTGAAAATTTAAAAAAAGTGATTTTTTTTTGAAAAAAAATTGAGAGCCACCGGATTTTCTCTGTATTTACATCCCTTTTAGAGCCGTAACCATAGAGTAAAGCCGTAACTATGGTAATATCAGAGATTAAGAAATTATACCATGGGAAAATTTGTGGTAAACAGGCCGTTCTAAAAAGTTTTCGAAAAATATACAGGGAAATTTAAAAGAACAAGAACGATTTTCAACATCTCTTTTTTGTGAAAAAAACTCATAGACCTGGGGTCATAGTCCTGGGGTCGAAATATACCATGCACCTCTGAAAATATTTGCACTTATTTAAGACTCACCATGTATATTCCAAGAGGGTATATTGACTAAACAGATACTGTTAGGTTTATACAATGAATTGTTACTTTCCAGCCAAGATCTATGTGATTTGGCAACGATATTTGGTTACGTCGAGCTTGGGAGAGGATAAATTTCAGCAACTGTCCGTCTATATGACCTATAAGGGCCTGCCGCCGGATATCCGAGAACAGATCTATCGCTTTTTCGATTTCAAATTTCAAAAGCGCTTCTACGACGAACAGGAGATCCTACATATGCTCACAGAGAACCTGAGAAAGGTATACATTTAACTAGAATTCAATTATTATTAAAATTGATTTAGTTTTGAAGTTTTAATTCATTTAGATCAAAGTTGCTAATTTTTTGTCTGATAATATTTAGTGTTTGTTGTATACAGGGTGCTACAAATTCGAAGTAGGAGCATTGGTATCTCGGAAACCGTAATGGGTAATAGATACGAAGATGGTTAAATTGGGGTAAAGTTGCGCCTTGGGATGTTTGCCAACATGCTATCAAAAAAGTTTCAAAAATTTCAAGGATTGCTGAGTTTTTTGAGAAAAACGGATTTTTTGAAAATCAATTTTATTTTTTCCTGTCGTTACTTTTTAGAAAATCAAAAAACTAATTGAACATTCTCGTAGCCACTTTGTCAGGGCTATCTGACAGTATTTTTAGATTTTCAAATTATCTGATAATTTGTGAGATACATAGGCCAACTTAATTTTTTTAAATACGGACCTGAATTTTTTATTTGAGTTTTTGAAAGAACTCAGTCTCCCGAGTACAACGATATGCCACACTTTATATTTTTTTTTGTTTTAGATACTTTAACAACCACAAAACTGTTTAATTATTATTTAAAATAATTCCAAGCCCGACTCTGGATTTTTAAATTATTTAACCTGATTATATTCATCGCAACAATAAGGAAAATCGAGCCAATTGAAAGATTTAAATAAATGATATCCAGATCAGCAATTTAAAATATATTATTTTTAATTTTTTTTGTTAATTTGAAATCTCAATGTATGATCTAATAATATGCATAATATTAATCCTAGTTATTATAAATATATAAACTTCTACAAACAAATTTCTAATGCTCTACATGTTCGAAATGGTTCATTTAATACCACCCTCCCTATTGCATACATTTATTTTTCGTTTAATTTTATGTATAGCCCTGTCAACAGGTTTTCTTATAGTTCCGAATGCATTTTGTACTCTTTGTTGTAAATGTTGAGGTATACAATGGCGGATACAGAGATACCCCCCTAAAATCTGTAAATTGTGTAAAATATTAGGCTTTTGGGTTAAAAATGGCGCCCTAAAAAGCATATTCTACATTGCTTTTTATTTTGGCCCCCCCCTTAAAATAATTTCCTGTATCCGCCCCTGGAGGTATATTGATTTCACTTTTACAAATGACCACACTGGTTTAGGAAACTTACTGGCCATTATACTGCTCCACCATTCCCAATCCATCTTCGGAGGAAATGATTTTATTGTTTATATTATATTTATATTATGTTCTGTTTTAAAACTCCTCAATATTGTAACAATGAATAGATTAAATATTTAAAAAAAAACAGAGCCGGACTTGAAATTAGTTTAAATAAATTGTGTTCAAATTTGCGAAACAAAAAAAATATTAAGTGTGGCACATCATTGTACTCAGGAGGCCGTGTCCTTTCAAAATCTGAAATAAAAAATGCAGGTCCGTATTTAAAGAAAATTAAGTTGGCCTATGTATCTCACAAATTAACAGTTAATTTGAAAATCTAAAAATACTATCAGATAGGCCTGATAAAGTTGCTATGAGAATGTGCAATCGTTTTTTTGATTTTCTAAAAAGTAACGTCAGAAAAAAATCAAATTGATTTTCAAAAAATTCTTTTTTTCCAAAAATCTCAGCAATCCTTGAAATTTTTAAAACTTTTTTGATGGCATCTTGGTGAACATCCCAAGGCGCAACTTTGCCCCAATTTAACCATCTTCGTATCTATTACGGTTTCCGAGATACCAATACTCAAACCAAACCTCGAATTTGTAGCACCCTGTATTTATATCTTTTTATTTCTTTTATAAATATATTAATATATAAATAGCATTAGTCAAACGAACAGTGATTTTAACATGATGATGGCTGAATACCAGTCATTATTAATAAAGAATTTTATAGTGGTTTAACATTGGTTTTTATTAATAACAATTTTTTTTTCTTATTTGTCTTCCATCATCCTGTATACGAAATATATTTAAATATTATACCGTATAATCGGAAAAAACGGCTGGGGAATGACAATCGATCATAATTTTGACGAGGTCAATCTCTAGACGTCAGTTACTAAAACCTGACATATAACTTGTCAAAAATTAACACTAATAGAAAGATTAGAAAAGGATACAATGTTTCCAGGCACACAAATCTATTTTCAAAAAATATTTTTTCCAATTATGAACTACATAAATATACCATTTAAAAATAATCTTTAATCAAAATAAAAATAAATTACAACATTCTTAAGGCCAACTGGCAGTAAGTACCATTTGAAAATAAATAAAAGTAAATGATGTCTAGGACTTGACCGCGCCGAAATTATTATCGATTGTCATTCCCCAGCCGTTCTTTGGCGCTGTTTTTTTTATCGTATGATAGAATATTTCAAGTTTCTTTTATGTATTTTAGGAACTACCGAAGTACAGACTGGAATTGTGCATGTCAAACATTCAATTAATTCGCCTACTACCGAACAAAGTCTTGGCAATCATAGTGTCTGGCATGAACTCGACATTTTACTGTCCTGGTGACATCATAGTCAGAAACGGCACTCAATCTGACAATTTGTACTATGTTAAAACCGGCACCACTGCATTGTTTGATGAGAATGATAAAGAGGTATAGGAATAGTATACAGGGTGCCAAAAATATTGTAACTTCGGTGGGTGATTCTACAGATTCTACAGAAAGTTCATATGAATATACCGGGTGAGTCTCAAAAGTAACTCACCCCTATAACTTTTTTATCTTTTTAAATAAAAAAACGAGATTTTGTATGTTAGTACATGACATAAATTAGGATTGATTGACGTATTCAATTGTTTTGGGTCACTTCCTGTTTCATCGGAAATGACTACAACTTTTGATTTTTAAATGGCACTCTCGGTATTTTTTTACTTTATTCGATAGAGAGTGACATTCTGAACAGAATGACATATCATATGTCAACTTTTGACATTTTCGTATATGGATTATTTGAAATTATAACTTGCGGTTCGTAACGAAAATTTGTTTCGAAATACCAAGTATGTGGTATCAAATTATTCGTAAAAAAATGCTTTTTCCAAATATGTTAATGAGCCACCCTCGTTCCATTTGAAAAAATTGAGATATGATTAAAAATCCGATTTGAGCATTTTCTACCTGGCCAGGACAAGACACTAATAACATTAGACGATCAAATCTATTTTTCCGAGACTCCTTGATTAAGAGTTAGTGTTTTTAACATAACCATGGCACTCTAGATTGAATTTTAAAATACGACTTTTTATTAAGCGAGAATGTCAAGAGTTGACATATGATATGTCATTCTATTCAGAATGTCATTTTGAATAGAATGTCATTTTCTATCAAAAAAATACCGAGTGCCATTTAAAAATCAAAAGTTGTAGTCATTTCCGGTGAAACAGGAAGTGACCAAAAACAATTGAATACGTCAATCAATCCTAATTTATGGCGTATATTAATATACCAAATCTCGTTTTTTTATCTGAAAAAATAAAAAAGTTATAGGGGGTGAGCCACTTGTGAGACGCACCCGGTATACTCTATAAAATATAAAATGCTTCCGGATATAAATTATTTACATTTCACCATTTTGCTAACACCAAAATCGACGCATCCTAACCTTTTAACGCAAATATCTTGAAAACCGTTCACCGTGTCGTTTGTCCCGTTTCTATGTCTGCACCCACTTGGTTGAGCTTATTCATGTAGCATTTGACAGCCACGTAGCATGTCAAGAGACCTATTGTAATCCGCACTTTATTCCCGCTAAATATTAGTAGTTCATTTGTGGTTTTAGAATTTGGTTCTTGGATGAAAGTTTTGCTATGCCTGTGTTCTTGTCTGTTTCTCCAGTAGACATTCTTGTCACAGTATATATTTTCGATTTTTTTTTAGATTTGTCACTTGGAGGATGGTTCATATTATGGTGACATATCTGTTGTTCTGTCTCAAACTCACAAGGTGACTATGGTAGCTATCACTCAGTGTGAGATTTACAAACTAAAGCAACAAGATGTCAAAATGGGTTTGGATCTTTTTCCACATACCCAGGAAATGGTTAGAGATACATATCATAAAATTATTCTTAACAACAGGAAGAATTGGGAAGTTTGTTGATCACATTTTTGATCTATGAAGAACTCTTTCTATTGAAAAAAAAAACAGTGATTACTTTATAAAAACTTTTTTAATGTTTTTTCTCTTTGCTTTTGTTAGGCACTGTATTTCTTAATTTATTGCTGTTTAATATTTGTTTTAACTGATGTTAAAATTGATATATTTTATATATTTTTATATTATACTTTAAGGAAAATATAGGTATATATGAAAAAAATAATTGGGGGTTTTATTCTTAAATTAAGAAAATTTAGTCCGGTATAGCTTAAAAATTAAACAAAAAGCTATTATTTTTTAAAATACTTTCAACTACTACTTTGTGTTATTATTGTTTCACAGTTTTTTTTTTAAACTGACTATACCTCTCTGGCGGATTCATCCATCTATTTCGCTACTGTAAATTTACAAAATAAAATATTTTTTTTTGTAAACACTGCTGCGTTAATCCAACGGAGACTAATTGTCAACAGTGGTTTAAACAAATTTGCCTAACGGACAAAAAAATGCTTAACGTTTTGGGAAGTAAAAAAAGCAAAAAGAACAAAAAAAATAACATATTTTATTTTGTTATTATTTTAATCAAAATACATGTAGTGTTGCTCCAACTTATAACTTTTTTATTTTTTCAGTTAAAAACGTTTTTTCAGTAAAAAAAACGGAATTTGCTTTGTTAGTATACACGGTGTTTCAAAAAACATGTGTCATCTCTCGTGGGGAGATTCCTCACGTAAAAATAAGATTTATTTTTCATATCAACATAGGTCCGATTCTGCTTTGTTTTCTAGCTACAGGGTGTTAAAGTCTTAATATTTTTTCGATTTATTATAATTTTCTCCCAAGTACTTTTAGCGCTTCGAATACAATTATAAGGGGAAAAGTTACTATAAAGGAAACATATTTTAAGGCTAAAAAATTGCCGACATATTCACCAGGGACTTGCATATGGGTCACCACTAGAATATTTTTCTAAAAAAAAGCATGTACGCTACTGACTTTTTTTCTCTTGTTAGATAAATAGTGTAAGCAGTTTAAGGCCGACTAAAAGTTGTCTCTTGATATTATGCCGATTTCGGCCTCCTTGATGAGATAAACGTGTACATAAAAAGTGTAATAGCAACTTTTAAAAAATTTTAATATCATTAATTTGCGAAAGTTTTAAATAAGTACTCATTGATTCCTCTTAAATAATATAAAAAATTATAAAAAATATTCCAGTGATAACCCATATGCACGTCCCTGATGAATTTATCGACACTTTTTTACCTTTTTTAGCATTAAAATACAGTAATTTTTCCCTGAAAATTTCATTCGAATCACTAAAAGTACTTGGAATAAAATTATGATAAATCGAAGGATTATTAAGATTTTAACACCCTGTAGCTAACACCCTGTAGCTAACGAAACAAAACAGAATCGGACCTATGTTGATATGAAAAATAAATCTTCTTTTTACGTGAGGAATCTCCCCACGAGAGATGGCACATGTTTTTTCAAACACCCTGTGTAAGATAAATCGGGATTGATTGATGTATTCAATTAATTCCGGTTTCTTCTTGTTTCACCGGACAATAACTTTTTTTACTTTATTTCATAAAAGATATGACATTCCGAATAAAATGACATATTATAGTCAACTATATTGCTTAAAAAAAAAGTATGTTAAATTTCAATCTAGTGTTCCATGACTAAAATCTGTATAAAAGATATTAATTCATAAAAATTATTAAAATTTTGAATCGCATGCGCTGAATGCGATTCTCTATCGTATCAGCGGTTCGCACAAATTCCAAACTAGCATTGTTACGCGCGCTTTCGTCAAGCCTTAAGCATACCGTTGCGCTCCCAAGCTTATTCGAAACTGCGAAAACTTCAAAGAAACTATCTCTATATCGGTTCACAGCTCTCGGAAAAATTTTGATTGCTTTGAAAAATTACAAAAAAGGTGTTAGAAGTGCTAGAAACCCGCGTTTAAGATACTTTCAAAGTAAAAATTTCATTTAATAACTTTAAATTTTCTGCCAAGAAAGTTGTTTAGAAGTGTAGAAATGAAGAAAAATGTTACAGAAAATGAAGCGTGTTTCTTACTAGGAAGCGGTTCGAAAAAATTAAGGTAAATATTAGAATTTGTTATTAACAGGTGACGTAAAATATTATTAAACAATTATAACGTCGAAAAATTGATATTAACATGTCCTTTGTGGGTTCTGAGTGTTTGTTTAACAATTATAAACGATTTAATATAAAAAATATCATTGTAGGTAACACATGGTGGTTTTTATGACATATTTAAAAAAATTTTTTTTTTTATTCCTTTGACATTTTCTACAGTATGTCCCGGGATTGTCTTTGCTAGAGGAAAAGCTTTTTTATTATTGGCATTTTGAGAAAAATGCATTCTTCATAAAAAAATTTGATTGTTCTAAAATGGTTAATCCCGTTTATACTTCTTTTCTCTAAATTTCCACACTGTTTTAGAGAAACTAAAAAAAACGTGAAAATATAGTCCTAAAAATCAAAATGCGTGTCTATGGTACTATAATTTAGTTTTCATTCTTTGATATATTGTTATTGATTGAATTTTAATTAACATCTTTTTTGCTGATTTAAAATGTTAAAGAAGCACAAAATTTATCTAGTTCAATGCTATGGAAAGGATGATAATAGTGATCGGAAAATGTGATACTTTAAGAGTCCATTTCACTAGTCCGAAAAAGTAGCAAAATAAGCGTTCGGCATTTAACGTTTTATGTAAAACTGGCTAGGTATTTTTACCACAAATGAAGAAGGGAATTAAAGATAAAGGATTATACTATATCCGTATTGTAGCACATTTTTAGACAACTTCTTTATTTTTAAGATTTTGATGGTCAAACATCAACAAAATATTCCTTATGTTTGGACTAAATTTTCTCGAAAATAAAGACATAATTTAAAATTCCGTTACAATGCGAAAATAGATTGAAGTTTTATAATTACAGTGATATATAATTTATATGGTTTTGTAACAAACTGCTCACTATTTTATGGCAAATGCTGAAGCTCTGCAAACCTTATTAAAGCCTTAATAAAAGTTCGTGTGTTTGGAATTTTGGGTGTGGTTTAACACGACAGGACCGAGCTAAGGCTTAAGGTACATTCAGGCTGAGAGCGTCGAGCGTCGCGTCGCGTTTGCGTCGCGTCCGCCCCATTCAACTCGAACCCCGACGCTCAGCGGACGCTAGCGCAACGCCAAACGCGACGCTGTCTGCCTGAACGGTCTAATTTAAGTTAAGTGAATTGATTCCATTTCGACACGTGACGCGACGCTCGACGCTCTCAGACTGAATGTACCTTTAGGCAAATTTCTGAAATATAATATATATTTCCTTTGGACACACACCCACTTTACCCGATCCCTGAGAGCGACCCGAACAGTACTGCGTAATAGACTCTTAAGAACAACAAAAAATATGTCGTTAATCAATTTTTTCGGATTTTTGGGACTTCAACCATATTTTATTGTTTTTTAATTTTCTCTAAAACGGTGTGGAAACAAGCAAAACTTTTTATAAAGAATGCATTTTTTTCAAACTGTCAATAATAAAAAGACAACTGTACCATACATATAAGCCTTTATATAAACAAGGATATAAGGTACTGTACCATACTTCAGTGGGAGATTCTTGAGAAAAAGCAAACAATCCAGCTAGGAAAGGAGCAAACAGCCCCCACTAACTGGACCAGAACCGTTCTGCTGACCAAGTGGAAACCAACTTAAAGCAGAACTCAAGAACCTGGAAGACTCTTCCGTAACCTGGAATAGGAATCCTCCAACAGTCTAAGACATTTCTGATAATTGACGACCGAGAAAAATCTAATATTTTCCTTGATTTAAGTAAGAACAATTTTCGGATTGTCACGGAGCTTTTAATAGGACACTCAGTATGTCTTCAATGAACAGTAAGCAGACTGAAGCTAGGAAACAATGGAGAATGTAGATTCTGTGGGGAAAACGGGGAAACATCAGAACACCTCATCACTGACAACCGTTCGCGCCATTAACTTTGGTACGACTGATATCGGAGATAGAGAGTTACTGTTTTTCAAACAACCTATAGAATCACCCTGTATGTATATATTTATCTCATTCGTTAAGTAGCTAGATTTTCCTAATAATATTTTAGGAGTAAAATATTTGTTCTCGTTCAAGATGTAGGTACATTACTCTATAACTTACCTACACATTTTCATTATGATAGTAGTATTGTTTACCTTCATTCAAACCTATTATTAACTAAAACGTCTAATAATAGTTAGGTACATTTTTGTGCAAATGTACTATTCACACACAGCATTATAGCCAAATCCTACACAACATAAAATGTATGTATGTATTATTTTTATGAAGCTGTCATAAAATTTAACGATTTTTGACTTAAGTTTTTAACTACCTGCTTAAATCTAGCAAAAATGTTCAATATTGCATAAATATTTAGCTAATATTAATATTTTTAACATAGCTACAGTGCTATGATCTTTAGAAAAAACAAATAAATATCAGAGAATTTTTTTACTGCTCCCATTGACGTTAAAATAACCATATACATATTATTTTCTCGCAATTCATAATAAATATTTATGTAATAATATATTTTTATGAGATATTTAAACGTAATGGAATAATTTTTTGCAATAGGGTAATGATTTAGAATACTATACATATACAAATATAATAAATTCTTTGAAAAAAAAATTGTGAAGTTGATATATATAAGTGTTATTTGAAAAATTTCTGGCTTCGACGCTTGGAATAAAATTATTAAAGATTTACATCTTTAACTCATATTCTTCTGCAAAATGTAATCCAAGCAATATCAACTTCTCAAAGTCTAAATAAAATAATGGGTTTTATAGAATTGTTCATTTCTAGTGAATAAATTGAATCAATATTAGGGTTCAAATTTCCATTGTGGACAAATGATCACAAAGAGAAGTCTTAAAACTATTATAGACTGATTATAGTCTAAAATAATAATTGTTTTAATAAATCTTATGATTCAAAAATTATTTGTGCTTCATGTATATTGTAGATTGTACGGGAGGGGGTAAGTAATCACCACGACCTTATAGATCTAGTGTGTCCCCCTTTCTTGAGTTATAACTCATCATACAGTCTCAGAGCTTTGAGAAAAGCCAGTATCTGAGACTGTTTTCAAGAGGTTAGTTCTCTCCATCTCCGATATCAGTCGAAACAAAGTTAATGGCACGAATGGTTGGTCTCTGCGCACTCAATGATGAGGTGCGTTATCCTCTTTGGTTATCCCATTTTCGCCACAGAATCTGCATTCACCATTGTTTCTTAGCTTTAATCTACTGAGTGTTCATTGAAGAGACAGTGTCCTGTTAAAAAATCCGTGATAATCCGAAAATTGTTCATACTTAAATCAAGCAAAATATTTGATTCTTCTCCATCGTAATTACCAGGAAATTTCTTCGAGTGTCTAGACCGTTAGATTATTCCCATTCCAGGTTACGATTGAGTCGTCCAGATTCTTCAGTTCTGCTTTAAGTTGGTTTCCACTTGGGAAGCAGAATGGTTTTGGTCCAGTTAGTTGAGTGTTCCCTCCTCTTCTAGCTAAATCGTTGGCTTTTCATTACCGTCCATCCCTTAGTGAGTTTGCACCCAGAGTAAGAGTACTTTGTTTTCTTTGCCTAATTTGTTGAGGTTCTCTAGGCATTCTTTGGCCAACTTCGAATTGATGTCAGTAAGCATCAACTTGATCGGTCTTAAAGTTGCTTGATTATGGATTAAGATGGCTATTTCTTGTTTCCGATAGTTGCTATCTAAGATAAGTTGTACACATCTTTGGATAGTGTAGGTTTCAGCATGAAGGATGCTTGTGTAGGTGCCCATTGGTTCGGAGGATTCAGTTTTCGGCCAAAATATTCTTGGAAAATACGTGCTACATTCTGACATACACGTAGGTGCGCTTACGAGTATTACGACTCTGAAATGATAATAATACTTTACACACAGATATTGTTTACTTCGCCTGCCATTTAACTTCCTGCCTAGCGGGGATTCCGTCAAAAGTTAGGCGAAACGTAGCTAAAAATAAGGCAAAAGTGGCCGATTTTTGCTTTCTTTTAGTTAAATATTCGCCAAGCGCTGGAAGTAGCATATATGCATGTAAACACACACGATTATAACATGCAAATTTCACTTTACGTAATGTTGAAATGGTTTTGCAATTGCCCGTAGTTGCTAATAAATTATTTAAAACACTTGGCACTTAACAGTTCTAGGATGATATATGTAGAGTAATAATTATTATTAATTTATTCTAGAAATATCTTATCATTTATGCTAATAGTTTAAATTAATTAAAAACTAAATGTGTCTATGATTACCATTCGGCGAGCACCAGCTTTGATCGATTTTGTAAACATTAATTATTCAAAATTCTTGTAATTTTGAGATCATATTCAAGTTTTTCCTGAAGTTTTTGGGCTAATTTCTAATATTTTAGATTTTCTTTTCTTAATTGATAATATTTTAATACTGAATGTATTAAATAAAAATAATAAAACTTAAAAAAAAAGAAAACTTATTAACGAATGTATTAAAAAATAAATCCTATTACAAAATTGTTTAATTTTTCAGTATCGGTAAAATTAATCTCGATAGGTGATCAATACCTCTTGGACCGATGAACCGAAGCAATATTTTATATTTTAATAAAACAGTATTGAATAATGTTATTATCAAATTTAATATTTTATAATATTAAAGTTCTATTTTGCAGTTGATCCATTATTTACGGGAATTTTGAAGGGAAATCATTATTAATTGTTTGGATTGAACTGTTCACGCATGTTAAATTTTATTTATATATTGTTAAAATATCAGATATTTGTTCTGTACATATATCCACAATTTCAAACTTTATTTCTGTATAAGCCATAATCCAGTATTTCAGTATGAGTAAATAGTTCTGATTATATATATATATATATATATATATATATATATATATATATATATATATATATATATATATATATATATATATATATATATATATATATATATATATATATATATATATATATATATATATATATATATAT